ACTTACATTATCTCCTTCGTCTCGCCAGTCGTTGCCTATTTGTGCGCCGTTCCCCATGTCCCATACTCGGAGCGAGCCATTCCTTGAACAGGTCATGATGTGCTCTCCGCCAGCCAGGTGGATAACGCCCTGTATCCAGTCGGTATGACCCTGCATCGTCTAGCGGGGCCTTATCATTGATGTATCTTGCATCTCAGCGGTAGTGAAAGGCGTGGTTGGCGCTTGGAGATATCAAGTAAGGATGACGTGGAACTACTACGTATGCCAGAGCAGTTCACTGGGATCTTCTTTGAACTCGCGTGCGTTATCTTGAAGGGCAAATATTGCCTATGCAATGGAACTGTTTCTCGTCAATTTTTGTTAACAGAAGGGTAAAAGATTTGCTTACAAGGATAAATCTGTAGAGGAACTGGATCTTTGCCCATAAATAGGCCTTCAGATTAGGTATACAGGAATTTCGCGTTGCGGTGTTCTTCAAGGAACCTGGGAAGACCTCCGCAGGGACTCGCGCTTTCTGACACTCAGGTACTAACACCGCAAAGAACTCACACAGCTATGCTTCACTTACGATAGAAGTGTACGGACGGATAGCTTAGTCGACCCTGTCCATTGACCTTGTGATTGCTTCACGGGTCCCGAGTCACTTTCCATCGAAGGATTGACAACTTACAAGGTACGACAACTGTTCGTATATTTTGGGCCCAGTGTTCTCAACATAACTCCAGTCCAGCGGGCGTGCTGCTCCACATGCTGTGTGGTAGTTGACCTCAGAGTGGTCAACAGCCAAGTTTTTGCATTTACGTCTTTCATGTCCCACAGTTCCCTCAGACACCTGATGAAGCAATCGGTCATCTACCAGACTGTTCGGCGCATCAGACACATCTGATATTCTTGATTGGTTTCGTGGCAATGACGATGCACATCAAGGTTCACATGACATGTGCCCCAAGCTATGGCGGATTGCCTTGTCGCTCAGCCCCCCACAACGGGACGTTTCCATCATTACAACCACCAAGGTGGTCTCTCACCCTCTTCGGCATCATGTCCGCGCGCGCTTGCCTTGCCTCGTTCTTTCGTCATTTTCAAGCCAGCAGCCACGACGCAATGGAGCTTTTGCCGCGGCCCAGGCAAGGTTTCCTCCAACCTCGTATCATTAGTAGAATTCACGACTGCCCGGGACAAAAGGGTATGTCACCTCCTTCTGCTGCTCAATATCTCGTAGATTTTATTATGTCGCTCCACTATGTGCGAAAAAGACCAAAACTCAAGGCGGTCAAACCAAAGGACAAGACCAAAGCCATTCCTATTCGCGCCATCAAGCCAATGTCGCCGTTGCAGCATCTTCGACATCTCAGATAGCTCCCGCTCTCGCCACCACCACCCTCGCACCTGAAACCAGCAGACCCTCTCATCCCGCTGCAATCGTCAACAACCCCGTTGGTGGCGTCGTGTCGTGCCCTTCGTTTGCTGCACTGATGGACATTGCTAATGGACAGGCAGTCGCTCATTATTCAGGTATCAAGCAGTCAACGGCTCTTCCATGATCGTGAAATATGCTGCGATACGCAAAGTTAAATTCCAGCCCATTTTTACATCTGTAGCCGGAGGTGTCATGTCACATCGCTTTCAAATATTATGTGGAACTTCGAAGGGTTGAAGACATTGAATTCGAATATCAACAATCCGGAAGGATGTGGAAAGCGGAGATGAAGTGCACAGCCTGTATTCGTCAGAGCCGCATATGAGTGTATATGGTAGTGCCTGAATATAGGAAGATGCCCAGGATCCACTGCTCCTGAATAGTGCCCATGGTGAGCATTGCCCCGGACCTGCCAAGATAAGCTGGGGTGAAAAAACCACTTAAGTATACATAGAGCCATTCGACCACTCGCTTCCTTACGACTCGGATCCCCACAAAGATCTCCCACGAACTCTCAAAGGACGCGGTACCGAGGAACTCCTGCATACATAGTTCTGAATCTGTTCCGTCGGTGACGTCCGAATCCCTCTGAAAAGTTCCTCGTGAGCTATTCATTTGCACTTCTATTGGCAGGAGTTGAGGTAGAAGCGAATAGACCATTCACCCACCCAAAGTCCCGCCCCTGAGGGTTAACCCGCTCTAGTTCAAAGCGAGCTGCCCTTGCATAGGTATCAGCAGACGTCAGCGATGAAACAACACCAGACACAGATGATGCGAGGACATACTGACTGGGTACGAGCTGCTGTACACTTGCCTGGTGGACGGCGCATAATCACATGTTCAAATGACGGATCACTTCGAATATGGGACCTGGAGAGTGGTGCACAGATAGGTGACGACTGGCGAGATGAGAAAGATAAATCAGGTGTGATCACCATGGCATTATCTCCAATCGGGAACACTGTTGCTAGCGGAAGCAGTGATGGGATAGTCAGATTATGGGACGTCGAGACGGGGGAGGTTACCGCCAAATGGAGAGGGCACGCTGAGAATGTTAATATTTGGTCAGTGTGCTGGAGTCCAGATGGTGAGCGGGTGGTGAGCGGATCCTGGGACGGCACGGCAAGAGTGTGGGATGTCAAGAGCGGCCAAACTGTCCTTGCTTTGACCGGGCACCAATATGTGTTGGCGGTGATTTACTCGCCCGACACGACAAAGATTGCAACTGGCGGATACAATGAGCATGCAGTGAAGATCTGGGACGCAAAAACGGGCGACCTGCTCACCACAGTCCGACAGGATCATCCAGTTTGGAGCTTGACATGGACGTCGGATGGGAAGAAGCTTGTTTCGGGATCATTCCATGGCCCAATTAGGATTTTTGACGCTAGTACTTGGCAGCAGATCGCCTTCCTTGAAGGTCACCAAGACACTGTACGCGGCATCACTTTATTTCGGAATGACCGTCTCCTTGCGAGCGCATCATGGGATGGCACAGCGCGTCTGTGGAATCTCGGCACGAGCCTCCCAGTTGGTGTCACCCTCGAACATGGACGTGACGTGAACTTTGCGGCCTTTTCTGCGGATGGAAAGCTGCTTGTCACATGTTGCGATGATAAAAATGCACATGTCTGGGACGTTCACGCTATCCTCAAAGAAGTTGATGCTGGAGACCTCTTGTCGATATCTGATGTGAGTATCAGCTACCCTTCTTAAGTTCTATTCATTGACAATGTCCACCACTCAAATAGAAGGTGTGTATTATATCTCATGATGAGTCTTCAAGAATGGAGCAACTAATCTCCCATTAGCCGGACGCAGCTGGCACGCCGTCTTTGAGCGTACGTGACGCGTTTGTTCAACTTCTCAATGCTCACAAGATCGACATTCTAGGCGGATGCTACACGACGTCCAGTCCAGATCAAGAACACAAATCGACTACCACAAGGGTTTTTTAACGACACACGAGACTGTGTTCATGTGCGTCGACATAATTTCAATTGACTAATTCTCACCCGCATGCTCTCAGTCCTCTGTAACACGTCGTCCCAGTATTCTCGCACCCTCCTCGCATGCGCGTGCTTTCCTTGATCACATTTCCTCGTTGTTCCGGCGCCCTCATCCGAGCAGCCACGATGCAATAGAACTTCAGCAGCACACGAGGCAAGATTTCATCTCTCGTCGCCAATCCCGTGTCGTGGAAGTTGCGACCGTCAGGGATAAAAAAGTATGTATGTTCACATCATTCACCACACTGTTTGTGCTCATCTACCTTGTAGACCTTGTATGTCGCCCCGCCCCGTAAGAAAAAGACCACAACCAAGGCTGTTCGAACTCCAGGACAGCGTCAAGTTCAAAGTCAAAGTCATGTGTCTGAGTCGTCGCGTCCTCAAGCTACTGTTCCCGCTGCCACCACCACCATCACCACCACCACCACCCCTACATCTGCGACCAGCATGCACTCTGGTCCTACTGCCACCATCAACAACCCCCGTTGGTGGATTCGCATCGTCCTCTTCATTTGCTGCGCGTCCGTGAACTATACCGACAACTGTCACTGATGAGCAGCCTCATCGCGCTCGCTTTGCGCTTTGTGCGTGCAGGCATTTATATTGCCGTGTTTTCACCTTTATAATCTCTCCGTGTTACTGATGTATTCGCATTTAATATCTTGCTTTGTCCTGATACTAGACGACATATAATTCTACCTGTGCGTGCAGAGAGTTGCTTGATGATACAGCGACTAGATCTTGCCTTTACCTCTGCTTGCTTTCAGCTTAAGAATCAGTTCGCTCGTATGGGGATCGACTGATTCGTCTTGAATCGGACACAATGTCCATCGCGACAGGGAAACCCCAACAAGTTATCATCCTACTCGTGCCTAGTTGACTTGTGGCCAATCCGACCAGTCGTATCTGGTTGTAAGCCTTATAATGTTATTTCTGTAGGCGCAATGCGCATATCTTTTCCATCGCGCTGAACTTGGGGTATGTATTGTTGTCGGAATATCCAAGTTAGTGAGTAGCTTATTTGCTTATTGTTCCTTTTGATGCAATTTGTGGGCCAAGCATAGAAGCCACCCACAGTTTTTTTCTGCCTTCGTCTATGATCTGCATAGGGAACGCTGAACTCTACCACTATCTCATCTGCTCCACTGGTCTCTGCGCATATGACAACCTTGCGCGCTAGTTGTGCATAGCTTGACTTCCGATATGGGCGTAGCGCCCAGGAACTAGTCTGTGCTGTGCACAGCATCCAATGACAACGCAGAAGCCACAGGATTTCTAATTATATCGTCTAAACATTCATATAAGACTGGCTCTTCAAGATAGGTAGATCCCAGCGCCATCTAATGTCTGAATCGCTCCGCACTATTAGTACGCCGCCTCTTCTTAAAGTGTCACCATCGAGCTCAGATGTTACTGTCTGATAGGTACAATTGTCAATGTGCCATTTCCACTGGCAGAAAGAGCACCTGCGCCGGATCTAGACCAGCAGCATTTGCACTCTCCCTGTCCTGTATTGGTTATTGTCCCACCAGCCATGGTCGTACCAGAATCAGCCGACGGAGACTCGCTCAATGAATCATTCATCCCGCTTCCACTACCGCATGAACTGGGATCCCCGGCTCCGCCACATCTGCGATCACCGTCTCCTGGCGGACAACGTTACTATCGGGAATGTGCACCTATTATATGCCGCCGTCATAGTCCTGATAGTCCATATTCATCTCCGCAAGTTCTCCGGCGTTCGATCGAGCCATATGAATGTCGTCGTGATGCAGGAGATAATCACTTTCTTCGCCGGTGGCAGAAATGGTAAGATCTCGCTTACATTCGGTCTTCGCTTGCTCAATGGGTTGTGGCGCACAAGGGATCAGTACAATAAGGAGTGGGTTCTCGATATGTATAGGCCCAGGTTCTCTCCGCCCGTTACTATCGACGACTATTTCTATCTCAACATCCGCACCGACAGCCACGGAGGTAAGTTTCGCAATCTAAAAATGTATTGCATAGGATGCACACTGAACAGGTTCACAGAGAAAAGTTCGCTTGTTTTCAGCAACTTCAGTCCAGTCCTAGACTCTTTTCTCCGGTATGTTGTAGTGGAATTTGATGTGTGGGGGTATTGATGCCTTTTTCTCAGAACTGTATTCGTTGACGACAAACGCCTTGAATACCCGATCCATCGACTGTTCCAAAAGATAAAGGCGCTTCAGTCCAGATTGGACGATGCACGCAACATCTTGGGTGGAGAGCAAGTCCCAGAAGACCTAACATCCAAGGCCGAGCTTTTCGGGTTCAATACGTCTTCTGGATGTTAGTTTTCGTGCTGTTCGTCTTATCCAAATAACTCTGATCGCAATGGACAGGCGAAGCAGCCGTTCAGTACCTTACTGATCTCGTGACGCATTTAGGGAAACTGTTGGAGGTCGTGGAAGCGGAATGCAAGCAAACGTGCGTGTGCTCCGGTCTAGCATGTTGTACCTTGTTGTTTATGACCATGCAGGGTCAAGCAATTTGAAGAGTCGCTGTCTAACAACCAAATTTCATTCGACCTTCTTGAGTATTACTACGAGGAAGGAGCGTGGTACACCTACAACTTTGGGAGTAACTTCAAAGACGTGGATGTCGAGAGGCGGATTGTGAGTACTATTTCTGTTCGCTTATTCACGGTTATTGGTGATACACTGCATTAAAGATCGTGGGAGCCTTGAAACGTGCGTGCTTCAGTGACGAGAAGGAGTGAGTGAGCCTTGATGACATGCTCTCTATGGAATCCTGACGGAACCAATTTCAGGTCGCTGGCGCTCGAGATAGAGTCTTTTGGTTGGGATGGTGTGGGTTTCCAGAAGCGCACCGATACGCTCGTTCAAGAGGCTTACCAGGTACTGTGGCAATTCTCCAGCACGCATCTATCAAATGTTCACCTAGCGACTTTAGGGAACTCGAGAAATATCATCCCTGTTTCTTCAACGCACGACAGATGAAACGCTTGTTAAAGTGACTGGTGAGAGCTTTCAAATAACTCTGTCGCTATGATATCGAATCATGATTGTAGAGCGTGGACGACTCTACCTCTCCTATAGCAGAGTTTGGCATGCGGTGTGTAAGTGCCTTACCCACTCCATCGTCATGTCGTTTAAATTACTCCTACCCGTTTGCAGATTACGACGATACACGAACGCTGGACCCGTTATGGTGCGGCGACAACACCGTACAACCACGCATGAGACGGGTTATGATCGACCCAGTTGGATTTCACCGAGCACAGTCAGGCCACAATGCGAATCTGTGAGCAGTTTTCTCACTTCTTCGTACCGAGACTAAGGAGCACAGCAGACGTATGCCACTTCCTGACAACGTGGAGGAGTACGTCGCGCGCCTCCCATACTCCATTGGTGGGTATGACCTCGAAGCACGAGTAAGCAAATTGTATATCTTGCTGATGTTCGAAGTTCATTATGATATGAAGGAGTGGCGAACATTCCGTATGTGGGATTTGAAGCCCGTTGAATCTGATCAAGAGGCGTGGAGAAAATTGGTTATGGACGAAAATACCAAGGTACAGACCATGTGTTCGATATCGTTGAATTTAAAGCTAAATCGTTTATTACAGGATCTTATTAGAGCACTAGTGGATACGACCGGCCGTTCTTTAGGCCTCCCACAACCAGTGCAGCTCAGCAAAGGAAAAGTGTGTTTCGAAGCACCATGATGAATTGTCTTTCGCTTACCAATTCGTAGAATGTCCTTCTCACTGGATCGCTAGGTACTGGCAGAATGACAGCCGTTCATGCTGTCTGCAATCTTTTTAAGAGACCTCTGCTTGCTATCTCTGCTCGCGACTTTCCTGGCAACAAGCTGGATCTAGTGCCGCACATTGCTGGCTATATGTCGGTATGTACAACTTACAGCTTGCATCGCTTCTCTCACGAAACATCGTGATTGTTTAGCTGGCAGCCACTTGGAATGCGGTGATCGTGGTGAAAGATGCCGATGTACGTACCGCGTCCAAAACTTGCATTGTACGATGTCTGAAGACATGCTGCACAGGTTTTCTTGAAGTCGGCGTTTCTACGTGATAGGGTACGTTCTTGACTGTTAAACTATTACTGTTCAAGACCCGATTCTTGTGCTATTAGGATAGTATCAATGCCGCTTTCCGCCAGTTCGAGTCGGATGATTGTATCACTTTTTGGGTAACAACTATTTGTGACAAAGACCTCCTGAGGTCATTTACTGCTGGTGCGTAACTGTTATGTGACCTGCCTCCATTGCTGATTTAAGTAATTCCCTTTAAAGTCGTTGAGTTCCCTGAGCTAGATGCTGCAGCCCGTCGTCGTCTTTGGCTCAGCCACTTTGGTCGCGATGAGCCTGCTAGAATTTTATCGAACAATAGCGAGCGTACGCTTACCAGTTCCTCTTCCGGAGATCAGAAGAAAGCAGACTACTTGGCGCACGTTCGCGATATCGAGAAGCTCTCGTGGTACCAGTTTGATGGTAAATATCATTGTCTACCATGGGATGATAACGCGGTGCTGATAGTGCTATTAGGGAGGATGATTGAGAATATTATGGTCTCCGCGCGAGCGTTGGCTGCCTCGAAGTAAGCTAGCTGCCGTGATGTTGGTCGTACACTGATCATTGTCGTACAGCCAAGAGCATCTATCCACCCACCACGTCAAAGTGGTTATCAAGGCGCAGCGATTGGATAACCTTCCTTTATGGCGCAAGCTAACCCAGTTTTTGACGCTTCCGGTGAAGGTTCTGCGCACGAGTGTGGTGAATTGAACTCTTCGATGATAGTGCTATGTTATGTTCCTAACGTCCCTTGTGGTATGAAACCCTAAAGGCCCGCGTCCGTACTTGCTCGTTTGTAGTACAAGATGTAAATGTACCCATTGATTCACTAACGACACGACGGGCCATGATAGCACTTCTCGGTACTAAGTATTTTTTCGACAATGACGGTGGCTTAAGACTGACGCGAAGTTGATATGGCTCATTGCAGTGCCATGGTGATCGCAGTTATTGCTCTGGTCATACCTAGTCGACCACACGGTACATGTCATCGATCGTTCGTCGAAGAACCGATCACCAATGTGCGATGTGTGCCCGCCATGTTCCAGTTCCACGAACTAGTACAGAAACTAGCTGGACGTTTAGGCCATCATAGTACTAGCTGTTGTAATAGAGGTATTAATTCTACGACACTGCACAATAAATAGGTTGATAGAATCTACGATGTGGGTAATTATTAGAACAGACCTCAGGGGATCTCCTATGTTCTTTACTGGTACCTGTCGAGTGATGTAATGCATTGCCTGTGACGTGGTCTACACTGGTGAGAGTGTAGGCAGCACCTACGGATAAACAAATACAGCCTGAGGAACGGATGGAACACTGTATGCGATGGACCGGGGAGGGCTTCGTTCATATGTTATCGTTATCACAGTTGGGATGTTCAATTCACATTGGAGTGGGCTATGCCCGGAGACTTGGTGATAATCAACTGGAGACCTTCTACCGCTTCCGACTGCTCTAACAACGCTTTGTTCGGCTGACTCCGACCCAAACACCGCCAAACACCTTCCTTGCCTCACCCTCTGCCTAGGGGTCCCTTACTCCAACATCTCGACATATACGCCCTCATTCGGGCACAGCCAGTACTTACCGGGGATAAGTTCTCGTCTGCGTTTGTTCACTCTTCAACGGAGGTGGTGTTGAGATCTTAGTAAAGCGCTCCTATCACCGTACGCTTGGTCTCTGAACCTCTGAGTATGACCTGAGCAATGACTGCGATCATCATGAAACTGGAATGAGCCATATCAACCTCGCGTCAGCCTTGAGGAAAAAAAATATGCCGGGGAAGTGCCACCATTGCTTGTTGTGTCATTGGTGGATCAATATATACATTTACATCTTGTGCCATTGACAGCACACAGCTACCTTACAACCGAGCAAGTCCCGACACGAACCTTATAGGTTTACATATCACAACACATGATACGAACATAACGTGACACCTTGCCATTGAAGAGCCTTTCCATGCTTAATTCACCACACTGGTGCGTAGAACCCTCTCCGGAAGCGTCAAAAACCGGGTTAGCTTGCGCCATAAAGGAAGGTTATCCAATCGCTGCGCCTTCAAAACCACTTTGACGTGGTGGCTGGACAGATGCTCCCGGCTGTACAACAGTTATTAGTGTAAGGCCAGTGTCACGGAAGCAAGCTCACTTTGAAGTGGCCAATGCTCGCGCGGAGACCATAATATTCTCGATCATCCTCCCTAATAACACTATTAGTACCGCGTCGTTATCCAGCGGCAGACAATGATACTTACTATCCAACTGGTACCACGAGAGCTTCTCGATATCGCGAAGGTGCGCCAAGTAGTCCACTTTCTTCTGATCCCCGGAGGAGGAACTGACAAGCGTATGCTCGCTATTGTTCGATAAAATTCTAACAGGCTCATCGTGGCCAAAGTGGCTGAGCCACAGCCGACGACGGGCTGCAGCATCTAGCTCAGGGAAATCAACGACTTCAAAAGGGAATGCTTAGCAGTGGAGGCAAGTCACAACAATGGAGTTACGCACCAGCAGTAAATGACTTCAGGAAGTCTTTGTCGCAAGTAGTTGACACCCAGAAAGCGATGCAATCATAGGACTCGAATTGACTGAGAGCCGCGTTGACAAAATTCTAACAGCACATGGATCGAGTCTTGAACAGCCATGATGCAACAGGAAAGAACATACCCTATCACGTTGAAACTTTGGCTTCAAGAAATCCTGCGCAGCATGTCTTCATAAAGCATACAATGGAAGGGTTTCGGACGCGGTACGTACATCGGCATCTTTCACCACGATCACCGCGTTCCAAGTAGCTGCCAGCTAAACAATCACCACGTCTCATCAAAGAAGCGTTGCACGCTGCGGGTTGTACATACCGACACGTGGCGAGCAATGTACGGTACTATCAGATTGCGTGGTACCAGATCCAGCTTGTTGTCAGGAAAGTCGCGAGCAGAAATAGTAAGCAGAGGTCTCTTGAAAAGATTGCAGACAGCATGAACAGCTGTCATCCTGCCAGTCCCTGGTAATCCACTGAGAAGGACATTCTACGAATTGCTGAGTGAGAGACAGCACGATTATGCTTCGAAACATACCTTTCCTTTGCTGAGCTGCACTGGATGTGGAGGGCCTAAAGAACGACCAGTAGTATCCAGTAGTGCTCTAATAATATCCTGCAACAAACGATTTAGCTTGCAATTCAACGATGTCAGACACATGAGCAACCATACTTTGGTATCTTTGTCCATAATCAATTTTCTCCATCCCTCTTGATCAGATTCAACGGGCTTCAAATCCCACACACGGAATGTTCGCCACTCCTTCATATCATAGTGAACTCCGAAGACCAGCAAGATATACAATTTGCTTACTCGTGCTTCAAGGTCATACCCACCAATCCAGAATGGAAGGAGCGCGATGTACTCCTCCACATTGTCAGGAATTGGCACACTTCTATTGTGCTCCTTAGTTTCAATACGAAGAATGCAACGAACCGCTTACATATTTGGGTTGTAGCCTGACTGTGCTCGGTGAAATCCAACTGGGTCGATCATGACCCGTCTCATACGTGGTTTCAAGGTCATGTCGCTGCACACTAACGGGTCCAACGTTCGTGTATCGTCATAATCTGTCGATGTATGAGCGATAAATGCATATGGTAATGCAGTGGGGATGGCACTCACACACCGCATGCCAAACTCTGCTATATGAGATGTAGAATCGTCCACGCTCTAAAATGATGATTCGACATCATAGCCAGAGTTATCGGGAAAGCTCTCACCAGTCACTTGAGCAAGCGTTTCATTCGTCATGCGTTGAAGAACCAGGGATGATATTTCTCGTGTTCCCTAAAGTTGTTGGGTGAACATATGGTAGATTTGTGCTGGAGAGTTACAACAGTACCTGGTATGCCTTTTGAACAAGTGTGTTGGTGTGCTTCAGGAAATGCACACCATCCCATTCGAAAGATTCTATCTCGAGTGCCAGCTCTCTGAATTGATCCCGTTAGTATTCCACAGAAAGACGTCATGTCCTCAAGGGTCGCACTCACTCCTTCTCGTCACGGAAGCAGGCACGTTTTAAGATCCCCAAGTTCTTAAACGCAGTGTATCATCAATAACAGTAAATAAGCCAACGGGAATAGTACTTACAATCCGCCTCTTGATATCCACATCATTATTTTCGATACCAAGGTTGTGAGCGTACCACGCTCCTTCCTCATAGTAATACTCGAGAAGGTCGAATGAAATTTGGTTATTAGACAGCGACTCCTCGAATTGCTTAGCCCTGCATAGTTATAAACAACAGGGTATGGTATGCTAGACTGAAGCACACGTACGTTTGCTTGCACTCCACTTCCACGACCTCCAATAATTGTTCTAGATGTGCCACAAGATCAGCAAAGTACTGAGCAGCTGCTTCGCCTGTCCATTACGATCAGAGTAATCCAGATATGATGAGCAGTGCAAAACTAACATGAAGGCCCTTTGAACCCGAAAACCTCGGCCTTGGATGTTAGGTCTTCTGGGAGTCGCTCTACACCCGAGATATTGCGTGCATCGTCCAATCTGGACCGAAGTACCTTCATCTTTTGGAACAGTCGATGGATAGGGTATTCAAGGTCTTTGTCGTCGACAAATACAGTACTGAGAAAAAGGCATCGGTACCCACACGGATCAAATTGACGACGACATACTGGAGAAAAGAGTCTAAGACTGGACTGAAGTTGCTGAAAACAAGCGAACTTTTTTCTATGAACATGTTCAGTGTGCGTCCTATGTAATACATTTTTAGTACAGCGAAACTTGCCTCCCTGACTCTCGGAGCGGATGTTGAGATGGAAATAGTTGTCGGCATCTAGAATAATAGGCGGAGAGGACCTATCGAGCACCCACTGCGTGTTGAACTGATCCCTGGTGCACCACAACCCATTGAGCAAGCGAACACCTAATGTAAGCGAGAACTTACCATTTCTGCCACCGACGAAGAAAATGGTCATCTTGTTCCTCACGACACTGATATGGGCTGCTTAAGCTTATCTTGGGACGTGGTGAAGGTGAATATGCGGTGCGTCGACACCGGCGAAATGGCGAAGGTGAATATGAAAAATCACGACGATCACTACGGCGTTGGCTGCCAGCAGATGTCGAAGGTGACCATGTACGATAACTACAGCGTGACCCGTCAGGGGATGGCGATCGCGTATGCGGCAGGGGGGATCCTAGTTCGTGTGGTGGTGGAAGCGGTATGAATGGGTCATTGAGCGAGTCCCCGTCGGCTGATTCTGGTAGGAACATTGCTAGTGGGCCAGCATGCATTACAGGAGACGGAGAGTGCAAATGCCGTTGGTCTAGATCCAACGCAGGTGCTCCTTCTGCGAGTGGAACTGGCACATTGACAATTGTGCCTATCATACAGTAAAATCTGAACTCAATGGTGATGCTTCAATAAGAGACGACGTACTAGTAGTGCAGAGCGATTCAGACATTAGATGGGCCTGGGATATACATAGAACGTATGAAGATCCGGCCTTATATGCAGGGCGGTGAATATCATTAGAAATCTTGCGAACTCCTGGATTGTGTTTAGATGCTCTGCACAGCATGAACTGATTCCCACACACTACGCCAATACCGGAAGCCAAGAAGTACTTACATGCACAACTATTGCACAGGGTTGTCCTATGTGCACACTTTCTCACCGGTTGGGTTCATGGGCCGGTGTTCGAGACCAGTGGGCCAAATGAGATAGTGGTCAACACTGGGCCCAGTTTCCCCAATGCGAATCACAGACGAAGGAAGAAAAAACTGGGGGCTTCTATGCTTGGCCCACATATTGCATCAAAAAGGAACAATAACTTCATAATAAGGCACTCACTAACTTCGAGTGAGCATGGAAACATTCTGACAACAATAACATCCCCAAGTTCGGTATGATACCACTGACGGAAAAGAGATGCGCATTGCGCCTACACCAATAATAATCTCAGGCTGGCAATTTGACTACATAGCCGAAGTAGCATAACCTATCGATGGGCCAGATAAGTACGACTGGTCGGATTGGCCACGAGTCACGAGTGGGATGATAAATTGTTAAGGTTTCATGGTCGCGATGGACGTTGTGTCTGGTTTAAGACGGATTAGATTAGTTGAACCCGGTCATGATGCAGTAAACGAACTGATTCTTAAGCTGAAAGAAAGCGAAGGCATCTAGTCGCAGCATCGTTCAGCGACTCTCTCTGCACGCACAAGGAGAATTAGACAAAGTAAGAAATGCGGGTACATTAGCAACAGAGAGAGATCATAGCGGTTAGAATATGGCAATGGAAATGCCTGCATGCTGCCTGAATGACAAACAGCTCCTTGCTCACCCGTGATGGTTGTAGGTATGATTCACGGATGTGCAGCAAATGAAGAGTACAATGCGAAATTCGCCAACGGGGGTTATCAATGGTGACAGTGGGATGAGAGGGCATACTAGTGGCCTGAGGATGCATGAATTTTTTGAGTTTGATGCTGTCCTGGAGTTCGAGCAGTTTGGGTTGTAGCCTTTTCTTGCGCGGGGGGGACGACATATAAAGTCTATAATGTAGATGAGTACAAGCAGCGTGGTGGATGATTGGGACTACTCTCAGAGTCCTGTTGTCCTGTCAGTCACACCCGATGCGATCCACTCATCCCTCGCTCACCGTGATCTCTGCTCCAACACACTGACCATACCAAACCCCGCGGGTCCAATCTATTTGACGATGATCTTTTGAGGCACGACACTCCTGTGAAGTTCTGCCTTATCCCGCTAATCATCGCATATCTGCACGCCACTCTTCGCCAGGTTCTATAGTCGGAGTGAGCCATGATTCGACGGTTCACTCCGAGGACGTAGGCATCAGCTGAACGCCTGGCAGGTGCACAACACCCTGCTTCCCCTTGCCACTTGGTCTGGCCTTGCGTTATCAAGTTGGACGCTATCGTACGTGTTTCCTGCATCTCAGTAGCTTCACTGTGGTCGGATGTGCTGTGCAGATCTTGAAACTAAGTACATGAGGTAACTTGAGGTTCTGCCACTGCTGGGCTGTGTTTGGTCGCGACAAACACCTGGCACAATTTTCCACCTTCATCTCTTCAACGTTTTCACGTTCGCAAGGGCGGTGTAGCACGCTGCCCCACGCGCTGTACAATGTTGAATAGCCAACTACATGACGGTCCTGACAGGTCACTCAAAGATTCGGACTGCCGCATCCGAACCGTCCAACCGCGCAAGGAATCTGTAATAGTGCGTGCATACGCATCTTCCAAGGAAGGACTCCAAGCTTTCAGGCCTCAGGAGTCAGGAATCAATTGAAAATTCCTGTTGTTGTATAATACTACAGAAAGCAGGATGTTTAACTGACTCGGGATGTATGATGATTTCGTTAAAGTTACTTCTACCACAAGTTACTGTTGCGAGTCGCCGGGACTGTATGAACCGTGATTTATCCACACTTCGTAGGTCGGTGTACTAATTGTACCTAGATAGTATTCCTGCAGTTGAGAACACGATTCAACGCACTCGAAGTGAGTACAAATATGCACAGGATGTGGCTGACCATTGCTCTATCAGAAATATTAGCCTCACAAGCCTAGGCTGACTCTACGGAAGTTCTGTCAGCCTCCTATCCGGAGACATAAAATTCGGACAGCCCGAGCCTTTCTGCCCACTTCAATCTTGTCTTCAACAGTCACTCACAACCTCCACTATCCTCGTCTACATCACCCTCATTTTTCATCGAAACCATGCGTACATTCATTCTTATCGCCACCCTCGCCACGGCAACCGTTCATACCGTCCATGCCATGCCTAGCTCCAGCCTCACGATACGCAGTACCTTCGATGACACTCCAGACTTCACGCACGCATCGCATCCTTCCCACTATCGCACCAAACTTTACCAGGGAAAGAAGCTCATCGGAGGTGAACGGCGGATGGTTCTTGATCAGGCTGCGCCAGGATCCATCCATCTAGCTGAGCCGGGTGAGGAGCAAGAGGCGCCGATCATTAGACGGAGGAAGATGAACAAACGAGGAGTGCTTAGAGAGAGGACGATCAAGAACGCAGACTACGGTTCTGGAAGTGCTCCTGCAGGAGAGGCAGCGGCAAGCGCACACACCCAAGCTGAACCTACTCCCAATGCAACGACCACGCCCGCAGCCGCTCCTGGTCCCGAAACGCCTGATGATGCAGGACCTGCTCCAGCTGCACACGCCTGACACGTTTCGAAGGATGTTTCAGTGAGCAGTCGGAAGAGGCGGTCCCGGAAGCACAGGAGTGGAACTTTGCAGAATCTGGTAACTTTTTGCCCTCGGCCCGAATATCATTGCATCATGTAGCTGGAAGCCCCATTAATATCGAATAGACTGTGTTTTCATCCTCCACAAATCTGGATCATGACTGCCATGAGTGAATGAACGGTAGAGCCTCTGATCAACACGCCAGCTTGGCCACTGGCCACCGCAACCAATGTGTACAGCCACATATTATTCAGCAACTTTTCGGCGCCTATTCTGTGTTCATTAACTTCTCTGGAGTCTGCCGCAGCTCAGCTTCTCGTCTTTCACCTTTATCTCTTACCACAATGAGTTCAAGCCAGTATCCGGTTCCGCCACCATCGTACCTGCCGTCAGGCTCGTCCAGCAAGCCTGCATTTACTCCTCAGGACGATGCCTCCTCGCCGTTGCTCGGTCGCTCCAGGTCTCCAGGGGGTGGGATCTATGACCAGCCCCGTCAGGGCGACCTTCCTGACGACTTCAAGGTATTTTTTCCGAGTCGATATACGTCATGTGTCCCTTCTGACTCTCCCGACAGTATGGTGTCACTGTCTCCGAGAGCTCTGCGGAAGTTCGAAGTGCATTCGTTCGCAAGGTTTACACCATTCTCTGTACGCACAAATGTCTCTTCGTCTGCGAATTTTACTCACCAAGCTACCTTCTGTAGTCTGCCAGATTGTACGGGGTGCTTCACATTGGTTTCTGCGCATATACTCACGATCATCTCCAGCTTGCCACTTGTCTTGTCGCAGGCGGAATCTCCCAGTCATTCTCGGCTATAACTTGGGTTATGGAGCAGTCCGTCCTCATACTTCGAAATGATGCACCGCTGGTATACTGATGATGATGCTTCTTAGCTCCTGGTCATTCTATGTTCCCCTCTTCGGTACCCTGATCAACCTCGGATTGCTGTACTGGAAGCGTCACAGCCATCCCCTTAACCTGGTTTTGCTGTCCACCTTCACAATATTGGAAGCCTTTACACTCGGTGTCGTAACTGCGTTTGTTGATAACATCATTGTTCTACAAGCACTGTATGTCTCGATCGATCTCCTCGTTTTATTGAAGGCTGAGCAATTTGTCAGGCTCATCACGCTCGGTGTTTTCTTGGGATTGACTCTGTTCACTTTCCAATCGAAGGCACGCTCCTCAGACTAATCTATCGCCACTCGATACTGATAATCTCACAGTATGACTTCTCCGGTCTCGCCCCTTGGCTCTTTGGTGGTCTCGTTGCCTTGCGTATGCGTCACGTTTCATATCTAGGCGTTGAAATTAACCCTCGTCCCTAGTCATGACCGGCATGGTTGGCATATTTATCCCCTTCAGCAACACGATGGACATCGTGTATGCGATCGGTGGATGCCTTATCTTCAGCGGCTACATCGTTTACGACACGTATATCATCAACAAGCGTCTCTCGCCTGATGAATTCATCATGGGCTCGATCAGTTTGTACCTCGAGTAGGTCCTTTGCCCTCCTCATGTTTTCCTTTGCTCACGGAATGCTCTCTTTCTAGCTTCATCAACCTTTGTAAGTCATCTCTGCGAGCCCCTATGAATTTCATGTTTTCTAATTATCACTTTCACAGTCCTCAACATCCTCCGACTCCTGAACGACCTTCAGGACCGGTAGATTGTCTTATTTCCAAAAGACGGGAGTGGTGTATTTTAAGTGCTAGTTGGGTTATTGGGCCAGTATCTGTTATTGATGGACGTTCTATGTAGTATACGTATGCGACTGAACAACAGAATGATATGAATTTGATTCGTGTTTGAACTTGTCGTTGTTAGTGACGCACCCCCCTGAGCTTTTCATCGCACCCTAGACCTGGGGAACTGTGCCTGTCACCACATCACCCGTTCACGGAGGTTGTTTCGTCAGCTCATGCAGTGCAAATTACTAGGTATACCAGTCACCAATGTAGCGGTGTTTCCAATCACTTGCCGGAATCGCCACCCTCCCGACAGGGACCATCCATACAAGGCAGACCACACTGTCTTAGCGGGTAGTTTAATAGTATCTGGTGTTTGAAAACAACAGAAATACCATATATCTGTGTGTTAACTTGTCATGAAGAAGCAGCGGAGTGCGTTCAGCGTTAAGCTTCAAGTTCTCAACGCAGTCAGCCGTTCAATGTTCAACAATTGTTACATACCAAATACTTCCCAGTAATAATAACCTGTGTCATTTGATGCAAGTGGACGCCTGATTGTACATGCACCTGGCAGACCTAACCTACAAACAACATTGTTACAGTTCAATTCAAATCCACCTTTGCATCCCCCTGAGTTTCTGTGTGTTAGCTTGTCGTGAAGAAGCAGTGGTAGACTAAGATTTGTTTCATACCGACAATATCGTCATTTGATGCAAGTGGACGTTTCATTAGACGTTTCAATTCATTACGCAACAACTGCATCAGAGGGCTCTGGGTGACTGATGGGATGTGACTTTAGCATGGGGAAATCACAAGGGAGTCATATCGACCATCAGGTACAGGCAATTGTGGGTGAGCCAGACGAAAGCGTGTCAATCATGGCTATCAGAAAAATCGTACGAATACAAATGGGTCCACCCCGAACCAACGGTGTAAATCATCCACATTGCGCTCCTATCAACTCTGACACCCTTTCCTTGGCGTGGCGAGGGGTGAAGATGCAAGGGAACACAGGATGTCTGCATCGGTTAGCTCGGATCAGTTCAACTGCGAGGAACCTCGAGGATGTTCAACTCACGTTGTTACGCCTCCGGTCCACTCCACCCCTTTAGCATCAGGCCCGACATGCCATCCTGGCACGCGTTGCACCCGGAAAATAGCTAAAATATTCACCACTGCGGCGAATAAGGAAGCATCTGCCACGTATCGTCCAACACTGCTGTAGGGTGAGATAAACCAATTGATCGGCAGAATTTTGGAATCGTACCAAACACGCCTTCCAAATCCAAAAGCGAATGAGATGTCGTCACGGCCATGTGTCGACGACCCTTCGACGGCGACTTTCGGCATGTGCCGCTCGGGCACGAACCTCGTCGGGTCAGGATATTTCTCTGGATTGCGCGACATAAACCTTGAATAAGAGGAAATGATTATGGTGCGATTTCTTTTCACTTGGGAAGATATTTCACCATGCGTTAGCCATTACGGTAGCACCTTGTGAAAGAACTTTTGAGCGGAAATACGGCTGTCGGTTTCTGTGGGCCCACCTTTCGGAATATAATAACCTTCATAGACGTCCTCGTTTACCGTGGCATGGGGAATCCCTAGACCCGTGGTTAATGCTCGCGTTAATCAGGGTTTAAGGAAGCACTAGTACTGACCTAAAGGCACGACGGGGAACCACCTCAGCGTCTCCTGTATGACAGCATTGACGTAGGGCATAGAAGCGCGATCGTCCCAGTCAGGTAATCTTTCGAGTTCTCCGATGACAGAATCGATTTCTGCTTGAGCACGTACTTGCACTTGAGGATAGAGAATCATCGCAAGCAGGAACACGTATAAGGTGGAAGTCGTCTGCGCCTCTAGTCAGCCAATAACCAACGTAAAATCACATCTAAACATACCGTTTCCGAGGCAGCTAGAAGCATGGAGAGAATCAGAAATACGTCAAAACATACGTGATTCATTACGAACCAGCATAACCAGAGGCACTGGCTTCCATTATCGCTTTCTCCAGAGCCACGGCCTCCTGTTCATTTTTTGCATGCTCTGGAATACGACACAATGCATCGGACACCATGGATGATGCAGCCGTGCCAGCGGCCTGAGAATTATCAGTATCTAAATGATGATGAGTACCAACAGGCACTTGCCATGTTCTTCTTCACGTGCTCGAAGGGTGTATTCACGACCACGGGAACGAGGGTTCTCTGAAGTAAGGCACCCCTTACAAAGTTTGCTCCAGGAAACCAGGGAGGAAGTTTCTCCACTGTGAGCGTGTAAGAATTGGATTATATCTTATTGAGAATAACAATACGCACGTATCGGGAACTCTCCTACGACAGCTGCAACCTCGGGTCTGAGTTCTCTTACAGATATCTCAAGTGAACGCTCGACAATCGCAATAAAAGGATCATCACGGGGCGCGGTGTCATAGTCATACACGATCGACATGATAATGGACGTGCTGAACCTATGTATGACGTAACGCGAGGCTCAGCACATTACAGCAAATACGTGAAAGGGGATCACTGACGTGTGGAGATGGGCTCCGTACTCCTCCGGTGAGGCTAGTAGGTTTAACACCAAATTATGAGCATTACGCATCTGGATCGGACGGAAGGCAGGTGCCGCTTCTGAACGGAATGCCTGATGGAAGATTCGCCTGTCTATGGAACCGAATAAGCTAGATAAGACAACTCGAAGGGCTGCACTAACGAAGTCTCCACCTGTCCGAGTAGGGTAGAAATATTGATGAAAACTCGACACCGAAACTAGGACTCGTTGAACGATAAGCAAACAAATGATATAGGGGCCTCACAAGTCGAGAACGCGTATAAGCCCTGGGGGTCTCGTGGAATAGTTATGTGACCGACGGTCGAGCAAGTCATGCGCAACTCTTTCGGAGTTGATGATCACAATATCTTGACTGAAGAGCCGAGAATAAACGATCTCTCCTGTGTCACGGTTCATTACATCGATATAAGCAATTTCCATGGCCATACACACCATATTCGACTCCCCATCTTGAGTACGCCAACCATGGATGATTTGTGTCAACTCCGACCACGTTTCCAACGAAAGGAAGAGGTGGGGGACCAGGGGGTAAAGGAAGCCCCTTGGTATCTCTCTTCTTTTGCAAGGATCGCAGGATCACGAAAGAGACGAGCGATAGGAGTGCAAAGACAGACGTGGAGGCCATGACGAAGTTGAACAAGTACTGGGTTACTGTATCTTTGAGCAAAGTCAGCGCATTAATGATTGATATATGATATGCGGTGTATTTGAATTTAGCCGTAAACGGTATTCGGCACCTTCCTGCTGAAGTAAATTATTTTAGCTGCATATGGCAAGTAAACTGGTACGCAAACTTACAATTTCAGTGACCTCGAGAACTTACATAAAAGACTTGAAGTTGATATAATCAAATGTACACGTAGACCTTGGATAGTGGAGCGCTACAATATTTAGAAAGTTGATGTACACTATGTTCACAGTCCCTAGCCTCCTTTGAAGTCAGAGATACATTGGGTGTTGTGTCGACTTCGCTCTTGCACTTGAGCTAATTGAGTCTTGACAACAAGTGTACATGTAAAGCTGTTCGTGCGCGAAACTTTGATTATCGGTGCGGAGATCGAGAGGTGTGTAGTCTCCCTTAGCTAGAATGAAGATAGTCGTTCCTTCTAATAAGGAAGTGTGGGTGCCGGTAAAAGTGCTAGCCCCTGACAAAGGTTACAAGTAAGCAAGTTTCAAAAGAGTGTTTGTGATTCTGTTTTCGCGCAAATTCCAAATTCGGAATGACAAGTACCAAGGTCGCGCGGAAAGCAGTCACTGGCTTTGTACGTTAAACGGTTCAGTGAATGACTAACGGTGATTTTGAAGCGGTACATACGTTTCAAACCAATCCCGTTCCAGATAGTAGTTGGACTGCGGGACTGCGGTCGGATGGCCTTGGCCCTGTACTCGCTGAAGAGCAAATTTGAAAGGCAAGCAAATCTCCTTCTGCCACCTAGCCCAACTCCACTACAACAGATTGGAAATGTTAGGGCGACGGACACCAACCGTATCTGATGGCCGGAAGATATGGTTTGGGCTAGAAGTCTTGGCTACTGGTTTAGTAGTCATACGTTATCAGGATGTCATAGGGCGGTTCAGCCGCCAGTGTGTACCGATTTCGGGTTGGACAGTGTCACAGCGTTTTCAATCAACACAGAATTGTGTTGGGTCTATCGATAGCTTGTATCATGGACATAAATCTATGAGACGCACCTAGAGAGCAGTGGATAGGTCCAACTTGCAGGACCTAGCAGGTGTCAGAGGCTGAAGCGCTGAAGCGTGACTATTTTGACACGCGCCTGCCACTGCTTAATGCGCCCGTGATGTTTATTTGTTTGATCAACTTGAAACTTGTTCCATCCATCGATGTTTTTTACCATCGGGAGGCATTCCAGGAATCAGAAACACATGTGAGTGCAGGGTTATGACACGAACTCTTGTATATATAGCCGTATTACTAACTAGAGGATGGGGCCGAACTTCGTCGGCAGGAACCTTGTTTACTGTTTCTGTACAGTGTAAAGTAGCAAACGATCTTCCGAAGTATTTTGTACAACATTACATAGTGAGATACATTTTTGTACAGAGGTGCGAGGCTGCAATCCTTGAGTTATTAAGTGACGAATTTTGAGCATATTGGTAGGAATATACGTAGTAGTACAACAATACTTGTTACATGTTTGGAGATCCTTTGGGTACTAGCCTGCACGATGTTCAACTGTGGAAGGTAATTAGTGTACGAACAATGATGATGCCAGTGAATAGACTGAACACATACCACAATTCTTCAAGGTGAAGACCCGGATCCTCTGATTGGTCGTTTTCCTTTATTGGTTCGTTCTGTTGAAGGTCCTGCGTTGAGGCGGCGACGTTTGAAGGGGCTGGTTGGCATGGCTGCCGGCGGTGAGAGTACAATGAGTTCTCGTAAAATGGAATTAAAAACGTCGCGCTTCGATTTGTTGATGCGATGATGGCAAAATGCCATGTGAACCTCCACAAGTGCACCTTTGAGTTTTGATTCGTATTGAAGGGGTGGGATCAGAACGTGGTTCTCGTATGCATGTCATGGTGACTTTCAACGTGGAAACTGACCTAGACATCGCCAACGGTTCTCGAGGCGAAATAACGAAAATCGTTCTTGATGAACGTGAAACAGAATTCTCGCCGACAGCTGCAATCGTGGAACTGACATATCCACCAGCATATGTTCTTATTAAGCTGAACCGTACGAAAGCGGTTCAGCTTGAAGGTCTGGAGAAGAACATAATACTGTTAGTTCCAATGGAGCGCATGTTTACCGTTATCCACGGAAATCACCCGAAATCCATAAGAAGACGGCAGCTGCCTCTCACACCAGCATACTCGTTCACGGACTATCGGTCACAAGGTCAGACCATCAATAACGCCATTATAGACATTGCGACACCACCTACCGCGGGGCTTACTCCATTCAATGTCTATGTCGCACTATCGCGAGCTCGTGGCCGAGACGGAGTTCGGTTGTTGAGATTTTGACGAGAACTTGCTGATGACACATCCGTCAGAACATTTGAGAATTGAAGATGAAAGGTTGGCAATGATGGATCGGGAGACGGAGCAATGGTGGAAAGAAAAGACGACACGTGAAGTAGTGTTAGAAGACATTGGGATGTTGTAGTACCAGTTGTGCGAGTTAAGGTGTATACTGTATGACAAGTGGGCGCTGCGAGTTTTGGTCCACGTTTCGCGATGGTGGCACAGAAGGCAAAGAGACTACGATCATGGCATACGCAACGGGTGCGAGATCTACCAGTGATGCGTCAAAGTGCGCGCAGGTCAGCTACGAGGTGTGATTAGGCAGTGCAAGCTCCACCTATTTACACCGTTCGCCACCCGGTTACACCAAAGGCAGTTACTAAGTGAGGAGGGTAGAGCTGCGAGCACCGCTCACATTCTCGTTCCATGCCAGAGTCGCCTACTTGGTAAGTAGTAAGATAAGTAGTGAGAGAACTGGATGCCAAATTTGTCCATAAATTCCCATGTGTACACAAGTTGGTTCTCTTCAGCCACAATTATCAGCCGTAGTGACCTTGTAAACAAGGTAATAATTTACTATAATTACTTGAACTTTTCAGGATCATATCATTTTATCTGATCATGATCCACACCGTACACCGGTGTGCCTACTATAACGATTAAACTTCTCTCAGTGACAGTTCAAATACAGACGAAATCTTTTCAAAGTAAAGTCGTAACTTAGTTCCATGGACAAGTTGGGCCTCTGGAATTTCTTTAGCAAACCAGTTTAATGCCTTGTCACGAGGTCTTGAGTTGGTTCGCTAAAGAAATTCCAGGAGAGTCGGCGGATGGGAGGACGGCCATCATAGCTGGAGCGAACGTTGGATTAGGATTTGAGGCCCATCGGCCCATTTTGCGAACAAGAAGCCTAGCTTGCTCATTACGACATGTAGAGACGCACTTCAGTGCGAGCAGACATTGGAAGGTATGTCCGTCATCTAATGCAGTGGTAAATAATTCATGCGCATGTGCTTAGCTCTCTACGAACGCTGCGCTGGAACTCAACCAGACAGTATTGATTCGCGGTCGCTGGAGCTGTCTTCTTTTGACAATGTCTGCTCTTTCGTTAAAAGGTTGGATGCTGAAGGGCCAGAGCGCCTGGATATTCTCGCCGCCAACGCGGGTACATAATACAGACCAGTTTAAATAACTGTCTTTTCTGTATTGTGAAGTGGTCTCCAGAGCGAGAACCTCCGAAATGGGCAGTCGTAACCTAGTCAAGTATATGTCAAGTCACGAGGTCGTCGAGGAATGTGGTTACCTATTGAGTGCTGAGGGCAAAGCGTTCTCTGACTTTGGGTAAGTTTTACAAGTTAATCAATGTCCATGAATTACTTTCACAGTGGGGGACCATCCAAGTTTTATCGAAGGGGGACAACCGCGTGCCTCAGATCATAAGCACTTACTTGCCGACTAAGTAGTATACCCCATCACAGGTGAGCGAATGACAGTACCTTCACCTTATCTGTCGAGCGGCTAGGCGGTGCCCCGCCCAGCGCTGGGCTCCATGAGGAGTATCGTAGGCTATGCCGTGTTTGCTGATCTTTTCATATACCAATATAGAAACTGCAAGCCTGCAACAGTATCGTTGGCTCAGGCTTCTGGACCGAGTAGATCCTGTCACCCAGGACACAATTGTGACTGCCAAACAACTGATACCCCTGAGCTATAGCTCGTACGACGCCCTGAAGCACCGCAATACTCTTGTATCACGTTCATTGCGACGACGACGCGCAAAAGGATTTTGGATCGTCGTGTCAGGACCACGTGCACGTATGCTCCATTTCATGATCATTACTTGCCATGAAAACGCCAAAAAGCTGCTCGTTTTGGCTCTCCGTCAACCCTCTCTACATGCAAGAATCCGCCACGTGTGAGCTTAGTTGACTGTCCATCTAACTTGCTTCATTTACTCACCTCTCAAGTAGCAATCTAAATCAGCTTCCATTCCCCATGCCCGATTTCGTGCCCGATGCAGGCAAGATAAGATCTCGCCCTCCACTCTACAAAGTTGCACATTTTCATGGTCCTCATTCTGTCACGGTCCTGCGACCTCTTTGAGTCGGCTGATCTACCAACCCGTTAGGGCCCAGGGGTACGACTTTCGGCATAATTTTCTATCCGTTCATCGGTTATACTCTACAGCCTGTATGTGAGGTTTTCTTTTGGACCTCCATTCCAGCACGATTAAGTATTCTGCATCTTATCCGACGTGAAATTCCAGATCAAGATTCAAAAGCGGGTGCCACTTTTGAATCAGATTCAAGACCAATGAAGGCGAGATGTGCCTTGCAGATATGTGCCTTGTAGATATCGATCAACCTTATTACCTCGCCTAGAAAGAAGACATCTGAGTCGGTTATGGCCAACGTGAGCCTTGCGGTCATTATCACAGGTATTGAATAACTGCATGATATACACAGGCTGCATGATCGGGAACGGTGACATGAAGGACTGAAGTCCACGACCATCCAAACGTGTCAGAGCAGTTGTCCAATCACGATAGCCGAGGTGCAGCCTGAGTGCGTACATTGATGAGATTGCCATTGCCGGTACACGCACTTGCTGAGCAATCAAGCGCACAATGATCCATGATGTTGAGGCCCAGCTGACCTCCACGAAAGGAGTAGGTGGTACTGTTTATTCCGGTACATCAATTGACGCAGCGTAAAAAGCTCCGTTTGAGTTTTGGGATCACGCTGGTAAGGAGCAACGAGGAGTTCCAGGCACCCACGGTCACTGTACATGTACTGCAACCGACTCCTTTGCTCTTGTCGGAAACCTACTCCAGGCGAAAAGTTTCTGCCAGCATCACTGAATCCCTGCGGAGATAACACGCTCCAACCTGCCCCATCGCACCCACGATACCCGAACGTTCACGGGGCCCCATCAGATCCTCATCCCCACACTCCTCGGAAGGAGTCATCAGGCTACCTCTACGGCTTATGAGCGAACGCCTCGGATCGAAATCAGGGCATCATGGAGTCGCGGGATCGATGAGGGCGTTCTGAGGGGATCTGGATGATATTCTTAAATAATAATATACCATGCAGGTGCCTAGCGACTCCGAGGTGGCGAGTTCGCAGCCCACGGCCACGGCCTCCCCACGTGCGGAACTTCTCGTCGACTACTGTATGACTCTCAGCAACTACGTTTTAACCTGCACATAAGTACCCACGTATGTACGACGTAAATGATCTATCACCGATTCATTCGCATCCAGTAAGCATCATACTAATCGCAAGTGACGACCCTCCGATTGTACATCATGATGACACATGCAGTATGTAACACGCACATCATTACTGATTCATAACTGTAAGGGGTGTTTTCATCAAGGTGACCTAAGCTTGGTTCTTGAAGTTTCATCTGCTGGTAAGTTAATAGATGACGATATGGTTGCTCTTGACGTGCGGTGATTTGATTGACGTTATCGTGTAGCACGAGTTTGCCAGGTGCGCACTCAGATGAAAATCTATTTAAACACGTTTCTTTCGACGCTCGTTTCATGACAGTGATAAGGTGTACTGGCAGCGGAAGCGACGTGGCGGTTACTCTCGCACTGATTGCTAGATGGGCATATTCTACTTAGAATGATAAGCATGGTTTTGACTTCCGCTTCCGTCCGCAGCAGAATCATCGTAAAGAAGGATGACTGTCTACGCTCTATATGGTTTGCATGGGGGAGGACTAGTACTAGATTCAGTAACTAGGCTACTCAAGGGTAATGGCCAAGCAACTCATCACGGCTGTGCCACGTCTCGAAGATCACCGCAAATGTTGGTTGCTCTCGGTCATCCGCAGCCATGCATTATAAATCGGGTATCGTAGCTATTTATGTGAACACTACACAGCATGTCGCAATCGAGACATTTTGGATCAGGAGCGTATTATAGCATCGTACACAAGGAATACAAAGAAGAGCTACATCATAAACGTAGCAGAGACACCCGTCCATGCATAAGCGGGTACAGGCATAAGCCTCCAGAAATCGTCGGAAAGGGATTAAATTAACATAACATAGTCTTGTTCCTCCCATTCAGGATGCCGTCCAGTATGATCGCGATGTCCTCTTTGGGGAAACCAAAAATCCATCCCAGTATATGTAATCTAGAAAACCCACCACCGCCCACGGCCACGGCCACGGCGTGGTTCCTTTATGCTCGCTTCGTCGTCGCCTACGCCGGGCGGTGCGCCGAGGCCAGCAACACTCGCGAAGCTCACGTATCCTGAAACCTGCTTACAAGCCTGTGATGCTGCGCGCAGATCAAACTGCGGTTGATTCACTGGTATTTTGGAGTTGACGCTCGAAAAGGTTGAGAGCATTGCCGGGTGCTGTGAGTGCGGTGAAGGAGTGGTGTATGGTGAAGAAGGTGACTTCTTTGATGGAGTCGAGAATGGCGGAGAAGGCGGAAGAGGTGTCGTCATCCACGGCGAGGTCTCTCCCTGCGATCGCGGTGATCGTGGTGATTTTTGCACGTAAGTGACAGACGTCGACTGCGAATTTCTATGCGCTCGGCCGCGATTCGATGATAAAGAAGGCGGTATTTCCACTTCAGGTGCAGTCACGTGCGACTTCTCAGATGAATGAGAATTTGAGAATGAATTTGATAGCGAGCGCGCTGATGAGGGTGGAGATGCTGATGAAGACTGCACAGGATATAGTTATCAGTATGTAATTCAGGGGCACACCGTGTGGTGCATGATAAGCGCTCACCTCATCATCCGGCGACCTCTTTATTCGCCTTTCCTCTTCGCGCATTCCCCGCTGGAGCACGCGTTCTAGGCGTGACTTCAAAACTGCCTCATGAGGCGCTGTTTCACTGCTGAGCACATAGGGACGTGGTAATGATGTCGAAAGACTTTCGTCCAGTTTCTCTTGCTGGATGGAAGAAATAGGATAGCCCTTTGAATCCGAGTCTGAGCTCGACCTGAGTAGCTGTGCATAGGACGAGTCTTCGTTCTCGTTCGGGACGTAGAAGGTCTTCGACTGAACATTCCGGGCAGAAGCTCCGCTATTCCTGCGCGACGATTGGAAGAGCAGAATAGGTTGAAAGAACTCGTCGTCATCACAGTCACTACACGTTGACCGCGACCGAGAACGTGCGCGGGAGGTGACAGTGGTACGAAGGGTATTATCTTTCCTGAGGGTATCTCGCAAGAGGCGCTCAGACCGCGATGATGATCGTGGAGGAGGTGAGCGGGGTGATTGAAGGCGTGAGGAAGTGCCCTGTGGCTGAGGAGTACGAGGAGTGGGTGCAACTATAGACATTGCAAGTGTAGGTTGTGAATGAGCAGAGGGTGTCAGTTTATTCGGTGTACAGACTCGACTTCGTGGTGAATGCGTTCCAGACGATGGGATACGTTTCGTAGGCGTTGTGTTGTCACAAAGTCTTGAGGAGGTCGTTGAAGTTGAACTAGGGGTGCGGGAGATGGATTGTTGGTAAATAGAAGGAGAAGAATCAAGCTTTGGGATGGCCATGGATGATATTATGTACTTCTTGTGTATTGTGATGGTCTGGTGATTCGCATTGACCGCCTCGCTGAAAACACGAGGATAACACGCAATTAAAGATTCCAAGTGGCAAGGGGGAAGCAAGGAGAAGATTCGTTTGTAGTAGATCGCCTGGCATGTGTGATTTGACTTGTAAAACCACACGTTCACGGCAATATCCTGCGACCCCAGAAAACGGTGTTGGCCTAGATCCGGTGTCATAGATGACGGAACGAAGCCTCTCCCTTTTCTATATAACTCCCAATTTCATTTTCTAATTTATTTTACTCCGCTTATTCCCGATAATTTCCTTTTAAAGGTCATTCTCATTGGTGCCACGCCGGGTGTCTCGCCGGATATTTACCTTTCTCATCATTCCCACCCTGAGGGAAAACAACGACACGTCTTTCCACGGCAAACAATGAGCTCCCGAATTTTACTCAGCTGCTCTCTCCGAGCGGCCGTGCCTACCGCATCAACTAAAACCGATCATAAGCTGCAACGCCACAGTTACCTTACAGCGCTGATCACCTGCGAGTCATAATTATTATCCCCCACCGCATATGCTATTTTATACGTCATGTACTTCCTGAGTTTCCCTTCCCTGTTATCTCCCTTCGGCGTCGCGACCTACGGACTCAGGTCAGTTACTGCCGTTCGACCGCGTCACTCTGCTGAGCTATCATCCGCTCCCTCAATCACTCGTTCGTACAATTTCCGCCAACCTATAACTTATCCGACCCTACGCTGGTTTAGTACTAGTTTCGGCTTCACTTTGCTTGTCGATCCGCAACCCCCGGTCAACGAGGCGTAGGCGAAGCTAGTCTCATTTCGTGGCCGCTATACTTCCGTGTTTTTCACTCATTCTACCTGTCACTGTGCCCGCGTTACCACCCGTTAGCCAGGCTGATCACTGACCTCCTCGTCGCCGACGTACTGAGTGCAATCCCGATGCCTCAACACCTGGTCGTGTCTCCGGCGTCCTTGGTAGACGGATTGATCCATGAATCTGATCAATATTCATGGCGTCAGTAATGTGATCATCGGTATCGTTAAGCCTGTACATCATCCCCGCATTTGCCAAGATTAAGAGCTTCTTGGAAGTTCATCATAGTACGTTAGAGTTTGTCGATAACATTCATACCGTATTCTCTCAAAGGGTCGTAGGGTTACGCTCCGTCGAACTATATTTGTTTTCGATGTTTGGATCCGACCGATCATGTTTGTCGATCTTCTTTTTATTTAAATTTTGGGAGTATGGTGTGGCGCCATTCCACTCAATGTCTTGGTATTACAGTGCAAAACACAATAGATGGTCCATTGGTTGAATGGTTTGCGCCGAATCCTCCATATCTGATACATTGTTCTGATATATTGTTCGTTGTCTAGATTTCTACAGCTTCACTGCATTTGTGGTTCTCGAAATCATCAGAGACATCGCAAAATGAAGCAACCCGTTTGCAAATTGTGGCTCTGGATGTCGAGATCGGGTTGAACTCAACGCTGCGCAGGTGATCGAGAATGCATCCAGATCAAGTACACAGCGCCCTACACTCAGGAATCCAAGCGTTTCCCAGCTTGCAACGTCATTACCAGTGGAAGTTCGTCATGTGGCGTTCAGAATTTCGGACGGAAACTTCTCCAACTCGCATGTCAATCGATTCAAAGGTGCGCATCACCTCCGTGATAATTATTGACACATAATGATATTCGCGATAGCCGTTCTTATCCGTGTCCTTCCATCACTCATCGATAAGTTGTTCGAATAAATCGGTGTAGCTTCCTTGGGTGCCACAAGGCACTATTCCATCGTGCATTGATCAGTGCGATTAGGCTGCTGATTATCGGGTGGATGATTGCCGGCCAAAAGAGCTCACAATTGAAATGGCCAGCTCAGAGTCATTGTCGATGAAACACAATTCCCATTTCAGTCGTATTGTGCTCCTACCTGTCTCCGAAGTTGTTCCAGTGACCTTTGCGAAAGGAGAATGACATTGACAGGATATTACGGACTCTTTATCGCGGAACCGACTACCACGTGATTAAGCGCGACCAAAAGGCCATTGGTCGTGAAGTTTGACAATGGAGCAACGTAGTTGCTGTGAGTGGCATCAACTTCTCGAGTTACATACGCGAGTGGATTTACGTGGATTTGACATTTACTTGTAAGTTAGTCGTCCAGCTAGGGGTGGAGTCATGTGGAGTGGAATGCGAGCGCTTCGAGAGGTACGCGCATCCGACGCTTCCTTTGTAGGAGGCGCTTTATTGGCCATTGGTTGAACGCAGCCAATGGCCATGTCGGCGAATGATGCTCGAACCAGTGGATGTTGGAGTGCGTCAGTACCCTTGATTCGAGTTCCCCGTAGGAAAGGTGAGCATCCCAATTACGCCATCATACGATTTGGACATAAACTCGGTAGAAGTAACTAACCTTTCGTCTACTGAATGTGGAGTCTTCTTTGCTGAACGCTCCACGCTGGTTCAGTGGCGACATTCGCATGAGACGCATGGGTTGTGACGTCGATACAGTGATGCTTAAAAGCCAGCGAACGCAGCGCCAGTGATGATGGGAATATCTTTCCTTCGGCGAGCTACAATTTCCTTGATGAGCGGGATACTCGATAGAAGCATATTCGGGTGTATTACGTCAGTCTACTTCTGTACTAAGAACATAGATTAGATACTCACCCTGGCCCCCTTCCATACCAAAAGCTTCCAGGATGCGATAAGATTCCTCAGGCACTCTGCTTATGAACCATCTAAGCGTCTTTATTGACTTTTGTCTAACATCGGAAAACGCCACGAAATTCAAATGTCATACTTACCAAGGATCAACCGGTCCTTGCCGAAGCCATGTCGAGTTGACAAATACCAGGGGAAGTCAACCGGGCAGCTGGAGACTTGCCATAGTCGATATTTTAGGAAACGCCGCGTGCCATTAGGTGCTGTTCCTGTGGCTACGTCTGATTGGAGGTTAGTCGCACAAAAGCAATTCGGAGGGAGAGAGCTTGAAGATGTTGGACTTCAGGAGCCGTATTCCGAATCCACTTCGCTGAAGTACCCTGAACTTTCAAGACGTGCCGTTAAATAATCCATAAAGGTCCATTCAAACGAATCGTTTTGGAAACGCCGGCATCAAATTGAACCATTCCAAATCTAATCTATTGTATGTGTAAGCCCAGACTCCGGGATATCGATCTTATCTTTCTCACTCATCTCGGAATCGATTACGATCGGAAGTCGAGGCCAGTTGGCCTCGAAGGACCCATCCATACTGCGCCGACCATCTGGCGGCCTTCCTATTAAGCTGGATCTTGTCTCGATGATTCAGATCATGGATAACCTTGTTGGGTTAAAGGTCGATCGCGAGGATTCCTGAGAAGCTAGGGCGTACTGGTCTAGTATTAATTAGAGGGTGTCTCATTCTTGACCCGGCCGCCCTTCGAAGTCTGGACTGTGTCAGCATAGATGAAAGGATTTCCATAAAGGCACTGTAAGATTCCCTGACCACTGAACAGCCTCTGATTGGTGGGAATGACCGGAGTAGTATGTGAGTAGTTCGTTGCTCAGATGGGGTCTAACTTACCAGGAGACGGAGATCTGCTCTTCCTAGGACTGGTTGAACTGGTATAGAATTCCGCACTGAAAGCGCAGAAGGATGCTGCGCAGAGAAGACTGTGGGGTTCGTGGATCATCTGACCGAGTATTTCTCAGTCAGATTCCCATTAGCATTCCAGAACTATCCAGTTGACCTTTAATTGAATTCATAATTCCTGCCTCCCGACGATATCGTCAACTCCTATGTTAAAGACCCGTGGTCCTCCGCAGAACCAGGCCGGGATGATACGGGTGTGGCCAGAGGTTGTCGAGTCCCCAGTGTCAGGCACTCGTCTGTGTGACTTTACTGGTCTAATTAAAGGGCAACGCTCCTTCTTCCACCCAGTGTTCCTACATCGTGGGTAGGGTGATGCCAGGGAGACGTGGAAGTTCTCGCATGTCTATGAAGCTTACCAATACCTCGAGGCTAGTCGACAGTGTTCAGTGCTTTTTAAAGGTACTGGTAAGACGACATCGATTCTGACCCGCCGAGGATGTACTCACAAAGGAATCGATTGCTCACAGGGTCTCGGAGGTGACATTCAGGCGCAGTGAGCCCACTTGGGGTGATTCTGCTTAGATTAACATCAGCAGCATGTACCGCCAGTACCAAGGTGAATTTGACAATGTGAAAGTAGAAGTGCATCGGTGCTTTCTATTGAACGTGAGTGACTGAGATATCAAAACCCAAGACCTGAATTTGTGATTGCTTGGGATTCAGTTCAGAAACAAGGCCCTGTATACCTCAGAAGGCTGCTCATATACGCAGCGTGAAAGGTCCTCCGCAGCAAAGCTGAACTCGACACTGAGTAAGCCGTGCCTTCATACACTGCAAGTCACTGCATGCATAAGCCTGTATATGAAAGGTTATGCTTGAAATAGACGGGCAGTGCTCGAAGCCAACTATATACTATTCTGTAGATAGGCGAGGTTCTGTGTTGTTCCGTGACCGCCCAGTCTATGGCATGCAAGTCCACCGGCTATCCGCTGCCGGCCCCCATCTCCAGAGGTGTATCATTGATACGCGTGAAGGCCCGTCCAGCTGGCGCGAAAGCTAGCTCCATATTAACGATCGAGGACAGGGGCTTGTCCGTGAAGTATGGACTGGCGTGAGTGCTTCGAAAGCTGCCTCGTGTGTCACACTGGGTGACAGGCTGAAGGACTTCAACATCTGACAAGGTCGAAAGACCGAAAGATGCTGATGTTCAATGTCAACTTATAGGCTTATGAGCTTGCATTAGAGAGGCGACTTACTTACTAGTCTTTCCGATCTGAGGGACCCGGCGTGGTCGAAAAAGACATGTATTTTGGGATAGCGGAGGTGGCGTCGGCCATGGAGCTTGGCTAGACTCTCACGACATTTCCCAATCAGTTTCTTTGGGCAAGGTGCTTACCACACGCCCTCTCAGAGATTTGCGCTGACATGCGGCTTGCATATTCTCTAGTGAAGCGCTGATGTGATCATCTTGCAAAAAATAGGTCAACTGCGTTATATTTTAAGTTGGTGGGTCATTTCGCCTGTGGTCCTGGATTTCCGTGGGACAAACCAAGATACTGACCTTCGTCGTTAGCAATGGACATCGAACGCAGTCTTGTCAATGGAAATCCTCCAATGTCCGACTCGCTGTGGGCTTGACAATCAGGACGGACGGGCAGGGCAGTCCGCTCACTAGCGCTGTTGCCTCGTATCCACCTGATCAACCTTAACCTGTGCCCAGCGCCCTAATCACGGTCTCACGCCTTTCTTAGCCTCTCCTCCGGCAAACTAGTGTGAACTTGATCCACCAAAGTACCCTAATTAGCGAAGTTCCCCATAGGTTCAAACATATGCGCTTACGCCCAGAACGGAGATGCCCAAGAATAACGTGTGTTCACATCGGAAAGGCGCAGTCTGTCACATGCCGACGGCTCACTGACATGAAGTCTGGCTGCCATTTCTTTCCACTCGACGACTCGTTGCTTGTTGACCTTCCAGCACGATGGCCTCTACCTCGGCCACTCTCGTGCCCCAGGCCGTAAGCTCAGGCGAGCTTACTGACCTTGTTTCGTCGTCTACAGCTGCCACCGTTTATCCTACAGATGATTCCATCCTCGCTGTTCTCAGCGCTCGATTTCGCGCTGATTTACCCTACACTAGACTCGGATCCACAAATCTTGTGGTAGTCAATCCTTACAAGACACTCGCCAACGTCAACGATGCTAACGCGAAGGAGTACGAAGAGAGATGCTACAAGGACACCAAGCTGGGCTTGGCAGATTCTCGGAGACCACCTCAGCCTCACTTATATGAGCTAGCAGCGAAAATTTATCTCCTTATGAGAAGGAGGAACGAGTCTCAAGCAATTGTCACTCGGTGAGTTACTTTGCGAATTAGACGAAACGGCAGCTGATAATATAATTCTGCCAGGGGAATCTCAGGCTCGGGAAAGACTACAAGCAGTCGCCTGCTCGTAGACCAGATTTTGCGCCTTTCGGCTCACTCCAAACGAGAGGCCAAAATTGCCGAGCAAATCAAGTCTTTCTCGCTGCTGCTCGAGTCTTTCGGAAATGCAAAAACTGCTGTGAACCCAAATGCCTCGCGTTACACACGCTACACGGAGCTTCACTTCAACGACCGCGGGCGTATCAGCGCTGCGAAGGTTCTGGCCTTTGGGCTTGATAAGTCCCGCTTGACACGCTTGTCGCATGAAGAACGATCTTACCATGTGTTCTACCAACTTCTTGCCGGAGCTACCCCAATGGAACGTGACTACATGGGTCTGGAAGGTCCTTCCGACTATGCCCTGTTGGCATCATCCAGTTGCTACCACTTACCTGCCGGCCCATTCAGTGATGACGGTATCGCAATGGATGAGTTGCGAGACGCCTTGAAGACGTTAGGTTTCAAGTCCAAGCACGTTTCATCAATATTTAGCGTGCTCGCTGCTATCCTGCTGCTTGGCAACCTCGAATTCGGGGAGGCCGATGCACAGGACGTCTCTGCATACATCCTGAACGTACCAGTTCTCCAACAGGCAGCAAAGCTGTTGGGCGTTTCCCCTGAAGAACTCAGCGACACGCTGACGTACAAAACGAGCTATGTCCGCAAGGAGCTGTACACCGTGCTACTCAATGTGCAGCAAAGTGCAGCACAGCGGGATCAGCTAGTTCGCGATCTCTATGCAATCCTGTTCGCATTCGTGGTGGAAACAGCCAATTTCAAGCTAGCCCCCGCCTCCCTAAACCCTACATGTTCCGCCACTCGCATTGTGCTGCTTGACCAAGCAGGTCATCAGACGCGGGCACCTTTGGGGTCGAGTGGCCCAACTCCCCTAATCTCTGCTCATCGGAATGGTTTTGATGATTTCTGCATCAATTTCACCGACGAAATCGTACAATCCCACATCCTCCACACCGTTTTCGATGACAGCACAGGGTTTAATAGTCGTGTCATTGCTGATGGGATCTCGCTACCGGCCGTCGTTGCTGTGGGCAACTCAGCCTGCACTGAGCTTCTTCGGGGCCCATATACCACTGAGAAAGCGTCACGGAAACCTGGCGGTCTCCTGGGTGTCGTTGACAAGGCTGTAACGTCCTTCAAATCAGGGCGTGCGGGCGATCAGCGGAATGCTGAGCTGTTGCAGGATTTGGTTGCCAAGTTTGGTGTGCACTCGTCGTTCATTACAGCACCGTCCGCGGACGAGAGGAGATCATTCGGGATCAACCACTATGCAGGTCCCTGTTCATACGATATTAGCAACTTCGTGGAGAAGGATGCTGACATGCTTGACCCTGCTTGCGTCACTCTCCTTCGCAGCTCAACTGATGCATTTATTGCGAAGCTCATGTCGGGTCCCAGCTTGTCTACGGAAAAGCACCAGAGTGATGAGGAAACTATCGTCCAAGCTCAGGTATCTTCCCGCCCCCTTCGCACGCTCACTCATTTGGGAGAAAGCTCGAACGAGAACCCTCGCCTAAACCCATCCAAAATCTATCCCGTCACTACCCAGCTCAACCAGACGCTTTGGGAGGTCTTGTCCAACATCGAGAATGTGCCGATGTGGACCATCACGTGCATTCGTCCCAATGATACTGGATTCTCCAACTCCCTTGACAGGCGTCGCGTCAAAGCGCAAATCAGGGCTCTGCTACTCCCAGACATTGTGTCGAGGAAACAGGTTGAGTTTGTTGTAGAATTTGATCAGGCAGAGTTTTGTGACAGATATCGTCCTACTATGCGCGGATCGGACGCTGAGCGCATGCGTCAGTGTGCCCAGTCTAACGGCTGGAGAGAGGGCATCGACTTTGAGATTGGAAATCAGAGGATCTGGCTGTCGTACTCGGCATGGAAGATGGTAGAAGATGTCGTGCGTTCTGAGGAGAAAGAGCAGAAGAAGCTTTCTCGCGAGGATTCACAAGAGGACGAGAGCGCCATGCTCGATGATGCCACAGACTACCCTGGCGATGAACGGCAGTCAGCATACTACGACGAACCTCCTGCCACACCATTACACGAGCCGAAAACACCTGCCATTTGATGGTTATGCTCCTTCTCATGTTGCTGCTCCTAGTTACCACGAGGGGTCGGATTCCATGATGTGGGACAAGAAACCCGAAACCTTCCGAAGCGCCACCTCCCCTTATGTCTAAATCTGCCATCTTATCCACAGATAACGCTCCCGAGATGTTAGAGGAACAGCTGCCAACCACCCGAACCCGACGTTACTGGCTTTATCTCGTTTACTTCTTCACCTGGTTCGTTCCCGACTTCCTGTTATCGTGGCTAGGTCGTATGAAGCGTCCTGACATGCGCCTTGCGTGGCGAGAGAAAGTCACCATCTGCATCCTCATCGTCCTCGGAAATGCCATTGTCCTCTTCTACATCATCGCCTTCGGTGTCATTCTCTGCCCGAACTTCAAGTATGCGTGGACGGAGAATGAAGTGGCTCAACATGTGACTAGCAATGATTACTATGTCTCCATTCAAGGCAGGGTCTACGACGTCTCCAATTTCATTCGTGGTGACCACAGCGACATCGTGGGGGAGGCAAGTAATGGTGCGGATACCCTGTCGGGGCTCGCTGGTACCGATTTGACCTACTACTTCCCCCCTCCCTTAAATGTGGCATGCGCGGGTCTTGTCAGCGACCAGACGATGAAAATTACTCCACAGAACAGTACCCTACTCCTGTTCCCGCAAGCCATGCATTCCTCCGGATACAATGCTCCGACGACTCCCACAGCTCTCGACAACCAGGACTGGTACACTGCGACCTTCAGACCAAAGATCGATCAGTATTATCTTGGTCCATTGGTTTGGGAGACAAGCGACGTCTACGCTCAGGGTACCCAAGCCACGACTCCGCGGTGAGTCATGATTAACCTTCTTTAGTGATATCACTCATCATCTCCGCAGATCATGGGCAATTTACGACGGCAGTATCTATGATTTGACGGACTATCTCTACACCCTGAACATGATCGACCTGGACGTTCCCCAGTACAACTTCCTTGACCCGAACCTCGTTGCACTCTTTGAGCAACAAGCCGGACAGGACATCACTAGCGCTTTGAACACAATCTTGGCCGCCATGGGTACTGCGAATAGTACTGCGAATATGGACTGCCTTGCCAACGCCTTCTACTGGGGAGAGACAGATTTCCGATACACTCCTAGATGTCAAGTGCAGAACTATCTTTTGCTTGCGTTCTCCAGTATCATCATGGCCTCGATGGGGTTGAAATGTGCGTTTCTATCCTATGTGGTTCTTGCTTGCGCTCACTCGACACAGTCCTTGCTGCGCTCCAACTCAATACCAAACGCTTTCCTGAGTTATTGGATAAGTTCGTGTTGTGCCAGGTCCCTTGTTACACGGAAGGAGAGGACTCCCTTCGCCGCACAATCGACTCGCTTGCCGCTTTGGACTACGACGACAAGAGGAAGCTGATCTTTGTCATTTGTGATGGGAATATCATTGGTAGCGGTAACGAGCGGCCGACACCTGCCATCGTTCTTGACATCCTTGGCGTTGACCCAGCAAATGATCCTGAGCCTCTAATGTTCAAATCGGTCGGAGAGGGCTCGCAGAAGCTCAACTACGGCAAGGTATACTCTGGATTGTATGAGTTCGAGGGCCATGTTGTTCCGTATGTTCTCCGCTTCTTATGGATGAGGTTGTTGCTGAGATTTATTTTTTTTCTTTCGTTTTAGATACATTGTCGTCGTGAAGGTCGGGAAGCCAAGTGAACGCTCGAAACCCGGCAACCGTGGCAAGCGTGACAGTCAGATCCTGGTGATGCAGTACTTGAACAGAGTGCACTTCAACGCATCCATGTGCCCGCTAGAGCTCGAGATATATCATCAGATGAGGAATGTTATTGGCATTGATCCCCGCGTTCTACGAGTACATCTTCACTGTGGATGCCGACACGGTATGCGTTTGTGCTCACCATCCCAGAAGTCTCTAACACCCTTTCTGCAGTCCGTAACTCCCCAATCTCTTAACCGTCTAGTGGCAGCGACGATATCAGATTCCAACATAGTTGGCATTTGTGGCGAAACGAAACTCCAGAATGAAGAGGGATCCTGGTGGACCATGATCCAGGCAAGTGATCTAGTATCGGACACTTTGTATATCCATGCTGATACTCCAATAGGTATACGAGTACTATATCTCCCACAACTTGTCCAAGGCGTTTGAGAGTCTCTTCGGCTCAGTTTCTTGTCTGCCCGGCTGCTTCACGCTGTACCGCATCCGCACCACTGACAAAGGCCGACCGCTCATAATCTCCAATCGTGTAATTGATGAGTATGCTGATTGTAACGTGGACACTCTGCACAAGAAGAACCTGTTCTCCCTCGGCGAAGATCGATTCCTGACAACATTGTTGATGAAGCATTTCCCTAACTTCAAGACCAAGTTCACTCCAGATGCAGTTGCGCGTACCATGGCACCGATATCCTGGAGAGTGCTGTTTTCACAACGCAGGCGTTGGATCAACTCGACTGTTCACAACTTGTGCGAGCTTGCTGTTCTCCCTGATCTTTGCGGAATCTGCTGTTTCTCGATGAGGTTCTTCGTCTATCTTGATCTGATCGGTACTTTGGTAAGATCCTTTCAAGTTCTCAGCGTATGATCACTGATGTTTTTCATCAGATCTTGCCTGCCACTGTTATTTACGTGAAGTCATCGCAACTAAGTTATCGCCGAGTTTCAGCTGACATTGTGTTTAGTTGATTTGGCTGATCATCGAGGTCGCAACCGGACAATCGCCATTCCCTCTGATTTCCATAATCATGTTGGCAGCGGTGTATGGTCTTCAAGTGAGTACCTTGTTTAATCACTGAGAGGTAATTTACGATGTCCATTCCCAGGCTCTTATCTTCATAATCAGACGAGAGTTCATGCTTGTTGGATGGATGGTGGTCTATCTTCTTTCGTAGGTTGCCTTGTTCTATATCAGATTTGTGGCTTATCTTCCGTCGTCACAGGTACCCGGTTTACAGCTTCTTCCTGCCCATATATTCATTCTGGCGGATGGACGAGTTCGGTTGGGGTAATACCCGTATCGTGCTCGATGATGGCGGAAGCAAGAAGGTCATCGCGACCAACAACGATGTCAAGTTCAACGAGTCTATGATACCGTACAAGAAGTTCAGTGGTGCGTCAAAAATTCCTTCTCATTGTCACAATCAGTAATGGTAATTCGTGCAGACTATGAGGCTGAGCATTGGGGTGACAATCAGTCCGGCAACTCGTATGGAACGCCTCCTGATCTCAACCAAGCCAACTCCATGTATCTTTCCGCCCCTCAGCCACGTCTTCCATCGGGCTCACAACGCCCGTCCGTCTACGAGTATGGCCGCTCTGAGTCAGGAGGAGACCATGACTTCTACCGTGACACAAACATGATACAAAGTAACTCGTCGCATCCCCACCTGCCCGCACCTTCGCGGCCAAGCTCTCGTGCCGTATCTGACCTCAACCGTCCGCCACCTCAGATGGCCAACTGGAGAGGACCCTCGCAAGAAAGGATCAATATGTTCACTCCGTCCAATTCGGGTCCACACGGGAGTGTGTATGCCATGACGCCGCCCGACTCACGTGTGGCATCTGGAGTCTTTAACCGCTCCATGTCCCCCGCCATAAGCTTAAGTGGTCCTCCTCAGCCTTTCAATGGAGGAATGCGCCCGACGTCGACGTTCTCCATGGCCACGACTGTGTTTGCCGGTCCCAGCCCGAACCCCAACCCCTCGGATGAGGAGCTGTACAACGCACTCAGAAACTTTTTGAGCACTCAAGACTTGATGACCGTTACAAAGAAGTGCGTTGTCCCTTACACTACTACATCATGATACTAACTTCAACACAGGACGGCATCGTGAGGCTATCGCCGCTCGCTTCCCCCGCGCGGACTTGACGCCTCGCAAGGACTTCTTGAACCAATCCATTGATAACATTCTTTCGCATTAAATAGATACATGATTTGGGACTCTTGCAAAAACTTTGTTGTTTTAAGCATTCATTTCTGGGACAGTACTAGCCTTCGGACTTAATTTACCATCTGGACATGCTGATTTAGCGTCGCGTTTCGTTTGCTCTGTAGTTATGAATTACCGCATACATACTACTCATTATATAGGTGTTGGATATTTGTTGGACATAATATGATGACGACCGCAGTGTTGGAATCTTGTTAGAACAACAGACTATTATGCATATGAACAGAACTATAATGTCTAAAGAGGAAATGCGTGATCTATGAGCATCGGTCAAGTTACTCGAATAACGAGAACCATGAGCATGAACGCGACCAGCACGACAAGTATGCTCATTATCACCAAACATGTTGTACTCCCACTCTTTCCTCTGAAGTCCCTTAACCGTATCCGTTCCTTCTTCATGAAGTCAAAGTTGCCCTCAAGTTTCTCCTGCATTGTTTCTACAACGCTCTTGTCTTTAATCAATGAATCGGAAAAGTGGGTAGCATTGCGCCGAAGCTGCGTTGCCATTAGTGCGAGTTGCTCTGAGAGCTCTTCTTGTAGTGCGCGAGAATTTTGGAGGATGGTAGGTGTAGCAGTGATCCTTGAAGTGGCGGCAGGAAGAGTTGATGGTACAAGTGGGTCGGAAGGTAACGACTCTGTCTGCGAAGACGGTATGAGGTTATCCGCACCAAGCACGCTTTGAGCTGTGTCTTCTGTCGGGATGAGGGTTGCTTCCACAGGTATGATCTCGACGTCAGCTGTCTTTGTTACAGGGGCACGTATTGATGGCAGAATTGCCTTTGGTCTCTTAAGTGGAGGAGACGCTTTCTAGTTCGGCAGATGAGCCGAGTAAAGGAGATATGTGTCGCAGTGAAGGCTGCGTACCTGTTCGACCTCTGCTACAAACGCTTCGACTTGATCCAGCGTCACGCGCAAGCGCTGATAACGATGTTCCGAGGCTCTACGGAAATACAATGAATGTGAGCCTAAACGGACAATCCGCCCTGACAGTTCCACGTACGGTGAAGCACCATGGTCATCGACCTCGACGTTCTTTAGGAGCAAACGCGCGTGTCGGATTCGCTGAGACAGTTTCAGATTATTGAAGCGACTTCAATAAGTCGGAACGAACCTGGAGAGTGCCCTGGGCTTTGATCCAGGTATCCCGCTGGGAGCTATCAGACCAATCATCCTCGGACACGGATTTCTCAAGCCTTTTTACCAGGCGGGGTAAATTAACTCTATCGTGAAGGATTTGGTCGTTAGTGCGTACGCTCATGTTGGTTCGTTAGAGAATGGGGGGAGGTCAAAGGTGCGTCCATATGTCGTGGAACTCGTGCTTAACATGCGTATAGAAGTCACGTAATGTCTATTTCGGTGATGGGAATGTCTTTCCACTTTTGGAGTATATTTCCTTTGTAGATTTGTGACTTTGGCCGCTACCTACGCGAGTTATACCCTTACCGCTCGCATACGAGAGCAAATGGACGACGTCGACCAGGAATCGATACAACGACTCGTCGAGAACGCCGAGAGAGAGCAAGATCGAGGTGGAAGCTTGGTAAGACTCGCTTCAACTCGTTGCCTTCCTCAAATGACCTCAATAAATTTATGACTAGCGGCGCGATGTGCTCACGAAACTCATCGAAATTGCTCATTCTTCAGATTCTCAGCTCAAGTGCTATGCAGCAAATCACATACGATACTTTTTTAATGATTTCCCTGACCTAGAGGAAGATGCTATCAATGTAGTCTACGATCTTTGCGAGGATCAAGATTCACGGGTGCGTCGCTTTTGGTCTCGTATGCCCTTTTCATGATGCCCCGACCGCAGGTTCGCATTGAAGGATACCGAGCAATATCAGGCGTTTCGTCTGTTCAGCATAAGTGGGTTAAACGAAATTCAGATGTGCTTGTGCAGCTTCTTCAAAGTGGTGAGTAATGCGACTTTGGAGCATATAACACACAAAGTATAACAATGATGATGAGCATATATGCGTCTAAATCTCATCCTATTCGCATGAATATCTCTAACACATTTCCCCTCCCCTAGACGAACCGGAAGAGGTCGTCGTTGTCAAAACGGCCCTTTGTGACCACCTGGACATGGATCCTAGCGTCACTTTAGGAGTCTTGTGCGATCAGATAATCCCTCCTGAGGACCCGATGGACGAAGAGGAGCAGCAAATTCGTGATCGTTTACGCTCGCTCGTGATAGCCTTTTTGAAAGTTGATGCAGTTGAGGCCATCATTCGGAAATACACCAAAACGCCTGGTACAGATACAGAGAACGTCTTTGTGAGCCAACTTCTGACAGGTAAGTTGCTGCACTCTTAGACTGTTTCGCAAAATTGAACTGACACGAACTAGGCGATCAGAAGGCTGGAAACACGCGAAGTTGAAGTGATCATAAAGGACCTGCTTCTGATGATGCCTTGCTACGGACCGGGCTCTGCGCGTGGAATGGACCTTCTTCACGTACTTCTCGATAAGGCGAGGTCTTCTCTTAACGTGAAATCGAACGACTTGGGATCCATCAAGACAATCGACTTCTACATATCTTTGGCGCACTTCGTCGCCATTGAAAAACGAGTTGCTTCCCCCGTTATTTTGTTGCGATTCTACTGTACGTCTCTGATGAGAAAACCTCTCTTGCAAAGGTTTTCTCCCGAAGAACAACTTGTTCTTGCGGGACGTGTGGTGGAGGCACTCCAAGCATGCGAAGAAGAAAGTCGCGTTCGCCCTCAAATCTGCAATAATGAACAGTTTTCGTTTCTTCGGCGACAGGTTATTGATGGGGCGCCAAATCTGTTAGAGGCAAGCCGTCCAAACAAAATCTGCGATCGATCCACTGAATGATTGACTTAGGCTCTCTACGACACAAAAATCGAGTCTTCCACCATGTGGGACACTCTGCGCTCCCTCCTGCTAGCTTGTAAACATGTAAGTCATGTCATCCAAATGGTTTTGCAAAATAACTCGTTTGCAGCGAAAAGAACGTGAAAATTGGGCAGTTCCATTTAATCTGGCGACATCCATCAGCAGATTTCGAGCGCAAGCGCAACAGTTGGAACCAGGAAACAACGGCGATGATATTCAAGTGCTCATCAGGGTTCGCAGTGGGCCGCTTTCCGCTTTCTCCATTGACGCCCATTGTTTCTTTCTGTGTTTGAGCAGTCACTAACCGAACCCTCAATGTCGCAAGCGAGTACGAGTGCAACGATCGATGGAGATGATCTACCTGAGCGCCCTGCTCATCTCCCTGCTCGACCTCAACCTGGACGTCCGCCGTTGAAAAGACCAGATATGTCAAGACCTTCGCATACAAGCACGAATAGCACAGTATCGAACTCTTGGCCAGCAATGCAAACTCGTGACTCTGACTCTGTCGCACCGCCCAAACGATCCCTCAGCTCTGGAGAAGCAACATCACAGATCAAGCGAGCAAAAACGGAAGTGACTGAGGAACGACAACTGACGCCTTCGTTGCTGAGCCGTATGACGATGCCTAACCCAGGCGATACGGAGAAGACCGCACGGAGACGTGGGGGAGCAGGAAAAAAACGCGTGGAGGATTCGTCCGAGCCGGACAAGCATCCTATGAGCGGTTATAGCATCAAAGGCGCTGCAGCACATGCCGAGCGAGGCGAGGAGTCGGGAGATCCTGCGCCTAGAACGTCGTCCTTGCTCGATAGGCTGAACAAATCGGAGGGCGTGGATGGTGGTGGTGGTCGGAAGAGACATAGAGGGAAGGCATGATCACTTGCTGGGACGTTGACATTTATGTATGCGCACTGTCGCCTAATCTTGATTAGCATGAACATTGGCTAGGCTTGTGTGGATCATTGTAAACGCAACAATTCCGTCGATGCGTTTCAAATATTCTATGCGAATAAAGACAGTCTGCAGTTCAAATGGATTCAGAATCTCATGAAATTTAATTACATAGTGCTGTGTGCATGTTGGGGAGAGTTGAAAGTGCACAAAGCCATGGCCAGGCGTGCCAGTGTGCAGACTAGATCCACAACAACTTGGTCGATTGTGCATCATTGAGATTCGACAGGCTTGTCAGACGTCCAGGACTGGCGCCCAATACAAAGTTGCTCACAAAACCCGGTGGCTTGCTGGCGTAATAGTTTGAAATTTAAGTAGCAGGATAACCACGCACCAAGAAGTACTACATCGTATCAAGCCTATGCAGCCCAGTTACTACCCAGTACCTTATGTGATAAGGCGACTGACGGGGGTATGCAAACTAGTAAAAAAAGTAAATCTCAGTCTCGTAGAAGGAACTCTTATTGGACGGATCGTGCACCTAGTAAAACAAGTAACTACGACGCGTCAGTTTTTAATCTATAATACGAATGAACTCGTTACTCACATCTCAGTCTCGTAGAAGGAACTGAGATGCTCGTACGGTCTACAGAAGACTTTATACTAATTAGCATAGAGATAGAAAATCTTGCCGTCTCTAAGGAATGAGATACGTGGCATGGACGAGCACGAGCCGACGTCAGGCGCGTCATGCTCTGATGCTAATTTTGGTTAAGCTTGAAACTACTCGACCGACGACTACTCTCGGCCCGGGTCCACTCCTCCATCGGATGTTTCGGACTGGTCGGATCCCAACAGTACCATGACGTCTTGGTCGATTGCACTCTTCCATACATACATGCCAGGTTGTTCAAGCGGATTTTACTATAAATGCGTACAGAGTCTTGACAGACAGGGGTAGATCAAAACACCGCGGCGCTTGTTGTGTCCGAGTCAGGCCGCTGGGGGAGAAGCGTGAAATATCTTCTTATCACGTCCACCAACCACAACTATGCCCGACGATATAGTCATACTGTCCGATGGAGGACTCGTGAGTTATCGTATGTAGGGTCTTTATACATTCAAATTCATTTCTTGCAGGGTACAACTCTAGAGGATCACTTCCACCTCCCAATCTCGCACACCCCATTGTGGTCCGCTCGTATCATCCTCGACGCGCCCGATACCCTGCAACAAGTTCATCTTGCATTCCTCGAGGCTGGATCGAGGGTCCTCCTTACAGCGACGTAAGTGCGTCCGCTATGCATTTCCGCAAGTTGTGCACCGCTCGTTCACAGTTACCAGGGTGCATTTGCATCTTTTGAGCGCGCAGGCTACTCTCAGCAAATTGCTACTGAGGCCATGCGTAATGCGGTTCATATAGCGGACCAAGCTAGACAACAGTTTTGCAAGGAACGCAGTGATGTCAGCCCGAAGGACATCCATATAGCCCTCTCGCTTGGACCCTTTGGCTCCATACTTGCACCTATGCAAGATTTTGGTGGGATTTACCCCCCTCCTTACGGGCCACAGGCGTTCAGTGACTCGAAGGAAAATGTGACTTCCTTTGGTGACAATATGGAAGGCAAAAACAATTCTATAAAAGCGTTGACACGCTTTCACGAGGATCGACTTCGGATATTCACCTCTGATAAAGAGACGTGGAACAAAGTTGATTTCGTTGCGTTTGAGACGGTGCCTTTGGTGAGAGAGGTAAAGGCAATCAGGCAAGCGATGGATAATTTGAAGGAGAGCATCGGTCCCAAACCTTGGTGGATTACTGCGACCTTTCCCACAGGCAAGTTTCCAGAGACTCGGCAACCTGGAGGCGACCACTTCACGGCCGGCGAAGTGGCAAATGCTATGATACACGACGACGACAACTTGCCAGTACCAAACGGGATTGGAATCAATTGCACGGGGCTCAAGTTCGTTCCGGAGCTACTCCAAGACTTTGAACGAGTGGTGGATGGGAATAAGAGACCGTTCCTAGTCTTGCACCCTAATGGAGGGGGCGGATTTGATTTGTCCACTCAAGCATTCCAAGAGCGCGAAGAGAATGATAGGTGGGCAGAGGATTTGGCCAGCCTTGTCAATGAGGCGAAAGGGAGAGGCTGGAGCAAAATTATCGTTGGTGGTTGTTGCAAAACTGGGCCAGGTGACATTAAGGCTTTTGGGAAGGCATTCTAAGGAATGGAACGCCGTGGCGGGGTGGACCGTATGCGCGGGACGGCTAGTGACCCGGACAGGGACAGGGGCATAGACGAGGGAGGCAGCTGGTCGCGTATGTACTTGCCATAGTATCGGTGAACAGAAGAATGAAAAGCTAAAAGTCAGCAAATAGGATATAATGATCAAAAACGCGTGGAAGATCTGTCAGAGACTGACAAGCATCCTAAGTTGGCGACAAGTTAGAGTTACGGTACAAGAGTCCGGTGTCCCTACTAGCTAGAGTGTGCACCAAATGTTAACGCAGCCCTGAGCCGTGGGACGAAAACGTCAAATGTGTTACACATGGTACTGGGCGGGAGTTCGATATTGCAACAAACACATACATAACAAATCTGCAGAAATATACGTACTAAAGTACAAACGCTGAGTCGTCAGAACACATAAGTACGTGGGTTGGTAGTGTGAAAAGAAAGAAAAATCGGTAGTGGGTCTCAAACTAGACACCTATGTGAACAAATACGATCTGCTGTTCAAACGGAATCTTCTTCCGCAACATCTTCACAGCCTTGTGCAACGCTCCTGCAGCACGCTTGCAGTCCAATCTCCCCGAATCATCAACCAGGTTGTTGTAAAAGAGAGAGACAATCTCCCCTGAAATATTGTCGTCGACAGACCACATAGAACCTATGACACTGCGAAATCCGGAGAATTGCATAGCCGCAGCGAGATGAATCGCCTCGTCAGGGCTCGACTTATGTCCCACCATAGTGTGGCAAGCGGACAAGAAAGCGAACTCCGGGTTCTGCAAGTGAGTTTGTATGATGTCCCTGATCACTAAAGGCCCGTCGTGCATCGCGAAGGAAGACTCGAATGGTTGTTTTCGATTCGGCATTCTATGGCAGGCCAGGTGAAGCCACTGTTTGCAGCCCAACGCATTAGATGCTCCCTGAACTGTTGCTTCGCCGTCCGCGAGCGACGTAAAGGACAGGAAGGGAGAGACACGCTGAGCAACGACATCTAGCTCAGCGGCGACGCAACGAAGTGCCTTTCCTCCGTCTGGGTTTGCTTGACCAATGGCAATGAAATTCTGGGTGGAAGCATCTCGAGAGACCTGCTCTCTTGCACGAATGAGTGTGGTCAAAGTTGGGGTGTAAGAGGAGATGTAAAAGTGAGAGAGGTTGTGGCTTTGCGGCTCGTAGGGTCCTGCTGCGTGTAGAGGGAGGAGGGTGAACTCAGCGGTAGGACACCACCAGATGCGTGAGCCACGAGGAACGAACTGCCTGAGCGCTTGAACTACGGGGCAGACAACACCGTTCCAGAGCTTGCGTAACACGCCAACAATCTTGTGTGATTCAATTTGATGATCAGAAGAGCCTGCATGATTTGTGAGGGAGTGAAATGTGGAAGACAGTTCGGAGACCTCGGTCCGTGTAATATCAAGTGCAACATGGATGGGATCTTGGTCACTGAGGATGATCAAGGCATCACAGCTGTATCGACTGGCATTGACAATAATGACCGGACCATCTTCAGCAGCTTTCTGGAGGTCAGAGAACAGCGGAGGCAGGAGAAAGCTGGAAAAGTCGGGCAACATACGGACACGAGAGATAATGCCGTCCCATTGGGCGGTTAGCTGCCGGATTTGTGGGGATTTGTCTTCAGGAGAGGTATCTGATTCGTCTAACACTTTGCGAAGGCGAAAACTGACTTGCTTGAACTCTTCTGCCAAGGCTTCGCCGGGATCACCTGATGTAGAAAGATCATCCACTGGTGTGCGGAAGCGCGCTAACTGGGTCCAGAATACTGCACGACCTTGCTCCACCAATTCCACAGCAGTCGCGAAAGCACCATGGCGAATACAACATGAAAAAGCATCCATTGCAAGGGATGAAGTAGCCTCCCTGACCACATCGAAATGGCCAGACGAGGACGCCCAAACAGCAACATGCTGATCGATAAATCTCAGTGTGGTCTTGTAGGCAATCAATGCAGATCCATGCTTCAGCTGCTCGGCAGAGGCGGCCCATGACTTTGCAGCATGAAGATCTCCACGCGAAACTGCATGAGATACTTGGGAGAGTTGTAGATAGAGGCTGAAGGCCTCTTCCAAGTCTGATAATAAGAGATCATGTTGCTGGAATCTGTCTTTAAGGCTGTTGGCGAGGTTGTGAAGAGAAAAGGATCGAAGAGGATGGCCAGGGGGACGAAGCACCAGTGCAGCTCGATGGAACTCAATGGCCTCGTCTAGGTCAGACTCGACGCCCCGCTGCTGGAATCTGTCTTTAAGGCCGTTGGCAAGGTTGTGAAGAGACTGGGATCGAAGAGAATGGCCGGGGGGACGGAGCGCCAGTGCAGCTTGATGGAACTCAATGGCTTCGTTCAGGTCGGGCTCGACGCCCCGCTGCTTGAATCTGTCTTGAAGGCTGTTGGCAAGGTTGTTGAGAGAAGAGGATCGAAAAGGATGGCTGAGGGAAAGGAGCGCCAGTGCAGCTCGATGTAGCTCAATGGCCTCATCCAGGTCAGACTTAATATCCCGCTGCTTGAATCTCTCTTCAAGGCTATTGGCAAGGTTGTTGAGATAAGTGGATCGAAAAGGATGGCCAAGGGGAAGGAGCGCCAGTGCAGCTCGATGGAGCCCAATGGCCTCATCCAGGTCAGACTCGACGCCCCGCTGCTGGAATCTGTCTTGAAGGCCGTTGGCGAGGTTGTTGAGAGAACAGGATCGAAGGGAATGGCCAGGGGGATGGAGCACCAGTGCAGCTCGATGTAGCTCAATTGCCTCATCCAGGTCAGACTCGACGCCCCGCTGCTGGAATCTCTCTTCAAGGCTAGTGGCAAGGTTGTTGAGAGAAGAGGATTGAAAAGGATGGCCAAGGGGAAGGAGCGCCAGTGCAGCTCGATAAAGCTCAATGGCCTCATTCAGGTCAGACTCGACACCCCGCTGCTTGAATCTCTCTTGAAGGTCGCTGGCAAGGTTGTTGAGAGAATAGGATCGAAGAGAATGGCCAGGGGGACGGAGCACCAGTGCAGCTCGATGTAGCTCAATGGCCTCGTCCAGGTCAGACTCGACGCCCCGCTGCTTGAATCTGGCTTGAAGGCCGTTGGCAAGGTTATTGAGAGACTGAGATCGAAAAGGATGGCCAAGGGGAAGGAGCGGTAGTGCAGCTCGGTGGAGTTCAATGGCCTCATCCAGGTCAGACTTGACACCCCACTGCTGGAACCCCTCTTCAAGGCTATTGGCAAGGCTGTTAAGACAAGTGGATCGAAAAGGATGGCCAGGGGGATGGAGCACCAGTGCAGCTCGATGTAGCTCAATGGCCTCTTCCAGGTCATACAGAGTGCTTCCCTGCTTGAATCTGTCTCGAAGGCCGATGGCAATGTTGTGGAGTGAGCTGGATCGATCAGGATGACCGGGGGGACGGAGCACCAGTGCCGCTCGATGGAGCTCAATGGCCTCATCCAGGTCAGATTTGACGCCCTGCTGCTGGAATCTCTCTTGAAGGCCGCCGGCAAGGTTGTTGAGAGAATAGGATCGAAGAGAATGGCCAGGGGGATGGAGCACCAGTGCAGCTCGATATAGCTCAATGGCCTCTTCCAGGTCAGACAGAGTGCTCCGCTGCTTGAATCTGTTTTGAAGGCCGATGGCAATGTTATTGAGAGAGCTGGATCGATTAGTATGGCCGGGGGGACGAAGCAGCAGTACAGCTCGATGGAGCTCGATAGCCTCATCCAAGTCAGAGAGGACGCCCTGCTCCTGGAATCTTTCTCGAAGGCTGCAGGCAAGGTCGTTGAGTGGCATGGATCTATCAGGATGGCCGGGGGGGTGGAGCGCTAGTTCAGCCCGATGGAGCCCGACGGCCTCTTCCAAGTCAGACAGAATGTTCCGCTGCTTGAATCTGTCTCGAAGGCCGATGGCAATGTTGTTGAGTGAGCTGGATCGATCAGGATGACCGGGGGTACGGAGCGCCAGTGCAGCTCGATGGAGCTCGACGGACTCTTCCAGGTCAGGCAGGAGTCCCTGCTGCGTGAATCTGGTGTGAAGGCTACTGGCAAGGTTGTCGAGAAACATGGATTGATCAGGATGACCAGTAGGACACTCCTGCAAGGCCGCTCGATGCCGCTCCATATGGTCCGCCATGATTTTTTAGCCAAATATGGATTTACACGAGGACTGATAGTAAGAATGGAGGAATGCAAGCAGGGGGCCGGGGTGAAAAGATGAGATTGCAACCTTTTCACTGTGAAGCGTCTCGCTGATGAGTACAAAATCAACTGAGATGAGAGTGAATACTTACAGAACGAGCAGAAATTCGAGCAATGAAGGGTTTCGTCAGTTTCAAAGCAAGCAAGCTCTGGCACACATAGAGGCTGTGTGCATCGCGTTTGAGTTTGAAGACGCCCTGTGGCACAGCAGCTTGACACTAGTGCGGCCATTAGTTCGTTCCTCTGTATCATACAGCCCTCAAGAGTCAAGACTGGCCCTTGCTGACGTTCATATTATGCGAACATCTGTCCTAGATCCCTGCCAGTGTCCACTGTTACAACGCAGACTGTTGCATTGGCCGTTGCCCTAGCTTGCTTGAATGAACGTAATTTATTTATTTGATACTAACTTACTAGTACACCGGTGAGTAGCTGTGTCTTGATTTGCCTGTGACTCGGACAACAAGATGTGCAACCCAGTTCCATGACGTACGTGACTTGGTCGGAAGATGAAAACACCACGGAAGTTTCAAGTCGTGTGAGGTCTGCGTTGGAGCCTCGAGGTAATGAATATTGATCTATTCTTATCATACACGTCCGATGGCTCAGCTGCAGGTATAGAAACGGCGGGCGTGCCAAAGCTGAATGGGAAGGCAGAATATTCGGACTCGTGAGTTATGATACAGCTCACTCTCTTTGTACATGGCACGAGCTCATCTCTTGCAGGGTACTACTCTAGAGGATAATTATCACCTCCCAATCTCGCACATGCATCGTGGTCCGCTCGTATCATCCTCAACGTGCCCGATACCCTGCAACAAGCCCGTCTTGCATTCCTTGAGGCTGGATCGAGGGTCCTGCTCACAGCGACGCAAGTGTGTCGGCTACACTTTACTGTCATTTGTACACTGGTCATCCACAACTACCAAGTTGCATTCGAACGCGCAAGGTAATGCTGTTTATACAGCGGACTAAGCTCGACATCGATTTTGTAAGAACACCACGATGTCAGCCCGAAGGACATTCGTATAGTGACCCTTCGGCGGTTCTATACTTGCCCTAATGCAATTTTTTGGTTTACCCTCCTCCTTGCGGGCCACGGACGTAGTGTGGTTCAGAGGAAGATACGACATCCTTTGGTGATGATATTGAAGGCACAAACAATTCTATGAAGCATTGAGACGCTTTCACGAAGATCGACTTCGGGTACGCACCTCTGATTAAGAGACATGGGACAAAGTTGATTTGTTGTGTTTATGACAGTGCCACTGGTGACGGTCGTACATCACCTAAGAACCTCTCTTTAAGTGTGGGACTTAAAGACAGGTTTTTAGCTGATGCACTGGCGTCGATCAGGCAAGTAATAGACCATCTAAAGGAGAGCATCAGTCCTAAACCTGGGTGCATTACTGCGACGTTTCCAGGTGGCAAGTATCCAGAGACACGGCAACCTGGAGGCGACCAATTTACTGCTGGTACATGACGGCAGTATGCCAGCACCAACCGATGTTGGAATATATTGCACGGGGCTCAAGTCCACTCCGGAGTTAATCCAAGGATTTGAATGGGTGATGGATGGGAATAAGAGACCGTTCCTAGTCCTGCACCCCAACGGAGGGTGGGGATTTGATTTGTCCACTCAGACATTCCAAGACCGCGAGGAGAGTGATCGGTGGGCAGAGGATTTGGCCATCCTTGTCAACGAGGCAAAAGGGAGGGGCTGGCTGCAAAACTGGGCCAGGTCACATTAAGGCTCTGGGGGTGGCAATGTGGGGGGATCATGACGTGGTAAATCGTATGCATTTGGGTGAGCGGAGGTCCCCGCCGCAGGTCGATGTCGCAATCGATTATTCTTGACACACCTTCGAGTTACCTGAACCTGGTAAGTAGAATGATGGAAGGACTTGCTAGTGACTCTGAGGTAGATAAAAGGGGATCTTGTGGCGTATTGTAACTGCCATATCAGCCAACAACAGAATAAAAATCCAAAAGGGCAACCAATGGGGCATGGGCATCCAGCCAGTGTTTCAATAACATCATTGTTTCGATCGACCAACTTACCCTACCGAAGGGCTTGATGCGGTTCTATCTTCACCGTCAACCTCAATTTTGCCAATCAACAAACGGCATCTTGCAACGTTTAAGACCATGTGCGGTCCGGAGCCAGAAGGATGGATGGCTGCTAGTCAATCATTCGGGAGATGATGAAGTAGGTTTGCTTGGCCAGGCTGAATGACGTTATCTTCCCGTCTGAAAAGGTATGTCAAAAGTCGAGTCGAGTTCCGGGATACGATAGGCAGAAAATTGAAATTGATAAAGCTAAGCCTGCGCACGAAGGAGATAAGGAAATGCAGATGAAGGCATAGGAGATGAGATGACAATCTCGAAGGGACAGCCTACGATGTTTAAAATGGCCGCGTAGGTCAAGTGTTTCATAGAGGAAGACCACCGCCGAACTTCCCAGGCCAGTAGTACTGGACGTGCCTTCCTTGTCAACAGGGATGACATCGATATGATCATCGATATCATGATCTCCCGTATCGCTGCAATGATATTCGACGGGCCAAAGATGCGCGCATCTCCGAATTCTCGTCAATCTATCTTCCGAAGGTTGCCGCAGCAGATCATACAGCTTGAGCCATGCGGCCGTGCGGGCGCGGGCCCGCCAACCTTCCAATAGGATCACGCAACGCGTCGAATGTCGGACGTCGGATCGTCCAGAAACCTTTGGAGATGAAATGAAAAATCAGCTCCCAAAAAAACAATCTCAGTGAGTCTACAGACAGTACCAGTGCTTATAGATCCAGTACTTGGTTGTTGATGGCATATGCATATGGCAGCCTGAAACGTTTTGAATTCGAAATCCAGAGAGTTAAGGCTAGTATTGTTTACGTAATCAAGACAATAGAAGATTTGTTTCAGTAAGCGTTGCGCCTCCGAGTCCTCGTGGGGAGGAAACGTTGTTCTCTGCACGTTATTTTCGGTGGGGTGCGGCTCTTGGAGCCAATATAATACGCCATCATTTCACCACGCCCTCTTTATATCGGTCAAGATCGATTCAGCTGATAAAATCACCTTGGCCTTCAGGACCTCACCAGCTGGTCTTTGTGCTGTAGAGTTCATCCGCCAACGCCACATTCCACTCAGGAACCCATAACATCCATCTGTACATATACCAACAGCATCTTTCTATCAGCCTTCATGACCGAGTACGACTATTCACCCGCCGCATGGGAGCACTACGTTGCTCAGCAGGCTCGGGTTTCAAACTGGGTATCCCAGACATCTAACCAGGCGCATGCCTATTCCAATCCATTTCTCTTGTCGCCAACATTGCGTGACCGCTCGTTCTACGATGAGCAAGACCGCAGACGCCAGCGCCCTGTGCCCACTCGTTCAAAGTCTCGCAATCTACCCCCTGCGAGACAAGAAGAGCCTTATAGGCACATATCTTCTCGTCCCTCCCATCCGCGTTCACGTTCTCACCCGCAGTCTGTCGACGTCTGGTCGTACCCTCATTCTAGTCGTACTACCCTGCATACCGCATCGCATTCTCGTAATAGCTCGCCACACAAGCCATCATCACGCTCGCATACTGCACAAGTCATATATCCGCCAACTACAGCCCCTACACATCAGCACCACCGTGCCCAACCTTATCCCTACCCACAGAAGCAATCACAACCCGTGCGCCAACATACATCGCCGGTATATCATTACCCCGGACAGTCCCACGAGTCTCACCAGCGAACGGTTTACCTCCCACCTCCACGGCCGGGGCAATCGTACCATATCCCCAACGGCCGTTTGGAGTATCAGTATGGGGTACGCCTTTGGTTTGCCTGCGTTATGATCTTGACACTAATGCTTGTCGTTTGTTCTGTACTTGCATCGTGAATGTTTCTGTTGCTTTGTCACAATTTCAATATAGCCACCCGCTCCGAAGAAGCCGCAGCCTTTGTTCAAGCGCCTGCTAGGGTTCATGTCACCTGGTTTCGGGAATGGGCAGGGCGGACCGGAGAAGCATCGTAGCTCGAGAAGACGCTCATCATATTGAAGACCGAGCATATACTAGAGCCCTGTGACATATCGTCTTCATCACCATAGGATTGCTGAGATTTGTCGGACAGGCATACATCATACATCTTATAAGAGCGCTGGCGTTTACATACATTCTTTATATATTTCGCATATACATCGTACATACTACACATCACACTCATTCTGTACATTTACACATTGTAACGATCTAACGTACTTGATGCCCCATTCTAGAAAGTAAGCTCGATACTAGTAGAGTACTAAATAAATACGACTCAATTGTACTCAAATGTCGTCGATATCTATCAGGACTACATTTGTCAATGATCGCGGAACTCAAAGACAACACGCGGAGCCTTGATGTTACAAGTTCAAGGACTGCAATGCTTTTGACTGGCTGTAGATGAATGTATCCGGGAACGACATATCAGTACTGATTGCATGTAATGTGGCATGCATGTGCCGGAAGATGTTTCGCATACTAGCACTGGTACTTCAGAGTTGAGTCGATCCACCAACGTGCTTGCCGGATCTAGTAGCGATCTCAGACCCAGTTGCTTGACCCTGAACCATCATGCACAAGTACGTCTTGCTGTCCATGCTACACACCTCCATTCTAAATGATTGGTACAGAAATCCGCCTGACGACACATCGCGTCCTCTCCGCTCGTCCTGGAAGTGGCCCCACTTTCCAGGTATGCACGATCCTAGTGATGGCATTCCAGAGGAAGTGTACAAGGAGCTTGTGAGATACACAAAGTATGCATCTGGCGCATATCAAGTTCTATGCCCGCGCCCGATGGGAAATGTACTGGTTACCCAGGTGCGCATATGGTCGATGACCTTGTGGTTGGTCGTGTGGCATCGAGGGCTGAGACCATGCAGTTTACAGATGTAATTACGGCCACTCAAGGATTTGTTGCTCGCGATGACACGAGGAACGAACTTGTGGTTTCCTTCAGGGGCAGCCGTGAGATTACGAGTGCGATCATCGGTAACTTTCGAGGTGCAAACTTCTAAGATGGCAACTTTGACACCCGATGGCAAGTAGATACATCCCTCGTGCTTTCTACACTTCGTGGACCAGGCCTCCCTAAGAACACAGATGCACATGTGCACACAGGCTTTCTTTACGCTTTTAAGAGCGTTGGAGAGTTCGTGCTTGATGCCTTACGCGAGCAGTTTGAAAAATATCCCCAGTATGATGTAGTTGTGTGCGGTAAGCCACGCTGTTCGCTACCAATATCCACCGACCAATGATGCCTGCAGGTCATTCGCTTGGAGTGCGTCGGATCGTGCCTCTTGATGATACAGCTTATGTTATTTTTACGAGCAGGGTGCTATTGCATGCATCGCAGCACTCTCTATCAGGAACAGTTTCCCTGAAGTTGCGTTGCGATTATTCACACTTGGTGAAAAAGCCCACACCCCTGTCGCAGGATGTTACTGACCACGAGTGCCACCAGGCCAGCCGAGGACAGGGGATCATTCATTCGCCGAGCTCGTGGAAATTATGATTGGAATTGACAATATTTTCCGAGGTGCGCTCTTCTGTTGTGTCCGTAGGAGAACATGTCATGCTGACTTTCTGCTCGCGTACTGCTACAGGCGTGCACTCATTCGGTATGTTCCGTGTACGTACTTTCTTTATATACTTGACGCCATACTTAGATGGCGTGCCGACGATGATTCCTACGAGGCTGGGTTACAGACATCAGTAAAGTCTATTATGCTATATATTTATCTCGAAGACTCACATGGCGGCATCAGCGCTACTGAATATTGGCAGTTTACCGAACCGCGTTCGAAACACTACTTTCTGACTGCCGTAACTTGCACTAAAATATCACATCTAGCGGCTCCGCGCCACGTACGTAGATGTGTAGGTGGGGAAGACCCAGAAGGGAGTGCGTCGATACGTATGTTTTCTCTGTTGTGTCTGTGCCTTCTCGTATCTGACCTGACTGCTACGCAGCATCAACTGGGATCAACCTCCCGCATATGGTGTATTTCGAACAGCGTGAGTGTGGTTCTCTCTTTAGCTTAAAGGTGCTGATAGACATGGGGAAGCAATTGCAGTCTGATCCCACCGTTTGCATCTGACATCCGCGGTTGTTAGATCCAGCCTTTTTGATAACTGGTGCACCTCTTAATTTTGCGTGTATTTCTTTCCTCGATCCTACTACTTGGCGCGTCCGCGGATTATCTGAGCTGAGTCTCGTGGATGATTTGGTTCCACTACTTGGGTACTCGTTGTGTCAACGTTGTGTATTACTGTGCAAATCACCATCATCATTGACTTAATGTTTGCTTGAAGCCTATACAGAATACTAGACCACCCAAGGTCTTGGCCGATCATTCTCACAATAGCATCGGAAGCTGCTCATATGACGATATTGCACCCCCATTATACCCATTTCAAGTTCTGCGAGAGCAATGATATCGGCTCCAGAAGACTTGGCATGTACTCAACTGTTAACTCATGCACGGTCTTGGCGGTGTGCTGTAATTACACATCTGGGCGCGGTAAGGAATTGCTGCCAGACTCAGCAGCAGGCGTCCTGAGAGTGTCACTACTTGGGGTTCCTGGGGGCCCCCAGTGCGCATGAGCCTCAATTAGGGTGACTCGGTTGAACAGCCAAGGCCGTATTCTATGTTTCAGTCCAACAGAGACGCAGCTCTTCGGTCAAGGTATTTGCTTAGGTGACGGGGTCTCAGCTCGTAACGCTGTGTCCACCGTTGGTGCGTATCGGCGATCATGTTCCCCGGATTTTACCGAGGCGCATAATGCTAGTTCATTATACCGAGCACGCTTGCTATGGTTGATACAGCTACTAGTACTGTGGCATGTAGGCACTGGTGCCACACATTACTAGGTATACAACATATACGTGGCAGCCTTTGGAGCACCAGGCTCAGCAAGACAGGTTCATTGTTTAAGACAGTAATGAGCAACGGCTGTCCGTCGCGGGAGTATTTGTGCACGTGACTGTGATGAATTCACGTTATTGCAACTTTTACAGGGCCGCGTCCCCGTTCGTTGCAGCCTGTGCTCGTAGTCTCTCTCCCCGCTGAGCTCTGCTCTGCGCTGCAATTACTTATTCTTGCTCTATTACGACGTATATTCAAGGCTCATTTTTTCCTATTCCAACCAACTCATCAATATGTCCGACTCGAAGGTATTGCACCTCGTTATACGTCGCATTGCAGACTGGTCTCTATGGTCGTTCTTCACGGAAGTACGTGTAATTGGAGGGGAGAACGTTCCGGACGATGGACCGCTCATTAGTGTGAGTTTCGTATTTTGCATCACTTATTTGCCAACCGCGCCGCTCGAAGTCCATGATTGGGGTCTGCATGGGACTTATCTTTGGGAGCGCCCGGAAGGTTAGATAGACCGGTTAGATGGACCTGGGAGTGTCAAGGAATCCAAATTCATGACCGCTGACTGGCACACACATTACATTTGCATATGTCGCACCTTATGACGATCCAGTGGTGATACTTACTGACCCACTTTCACAGCACTGCCACCCACCATAACATGATGATTGACCCTGCTATCCTTTGTCAGTTTCTGTGTTGTTCTTGTATTTTTGGCTTAGGCTTATCGTACCTTTCATAGCTTCCAGCTTCCCACATAGGCGTATTCTGCACTACTGGAGTAAAGGTGAACCAAGCCCTATCGACTTAGGAATTTGCAATTCATATTAACGCGTTTGCACCCCACTCTAAGCGTCACTTTTTGCGAACCCAGTCCTTTCTTGGGTTCTTCATTCGTCTGGTAATATTCCTGTAGACCGAAGGTCGAAAGACCGTCAAGTTCTCTTCCGGGGAACCTTCGAAGCCCTCGCACGGGGCGATGCAGTTGCGCTGTTCCCGGAGGGCACGTCGTACACAGAGCCGAGGATCATGCAAGGTGAAAGATGGTGCTGCCTGGGCAGCGCTAGAATACACCAAGTGGGCGGCGGAGAACGGAGTGAAGGGGCCCGGGGTCCAGATCATCCCTGCCGCTATCGTGTATACGAATAAGTCGAAGTATAGAAGCAGCGTACGTCCCCTAATTCATTGGCCGGCACTCCACTAAAACCAACATAGGTCATTATGAAGTGAGATTTGGTTAGCAGGGAGATATGCCTGTGCTGATGGCGTAAATTTATCTGATAGGTTCGGTGACCCGCTTTCGATGGATGAGTACAAGGAACAGTTCTTTTCGGATCTAGAGGGGGCGCCACGCGCAGCGGCAAAGCGCCTCACACGTGCAATTGAAAGGGAGCTCGTCGAGGCAACCATCAACGCTCCTGACTGGTATTTCAGTATTGTTTCATTGCGGTGTGTGCGGATGCTGATTATATGTGCCAATTAGGGATACCCTTTACAGTGCCCGAATGGCAAGGGACCTTCTCTGGGAGGACGAGCGCTCGATCGACCTCGAGGAATTTGTCACGATTTCACAGACGTACGTTTTCATGCGCTTTTTATTCCCTTCGTATCGGCAGCTCACGTATCGACATAGTCTAGTTGATCTTTTTTCCACGACGGACGCCACTGCAAACTTCTCGACCGTTCGGCGTCATCTTTTGGGGTATTATTCACTTCTTCAATCTACTAATCTCACAAACTCCGTCTTGTCTTCGCTTCCACTTCCGCCAACGCTATCTCCATCTCACCCAACTCCCCTTCCTTCACGCTTGCTGACACTCTCCGTCCTTATTCGCGATACGCTTTCTGTCCTCATTCGCCTTCCCTTCTTCCTCTTTCCGCTTTTACTTCATGCACCGGTATATATCATGGGTCGAATTGGAGCTCGTTTGGTCGAGCACGAAGAGGAGACTCAGGCACAGAACAAAGCCGTTTTCGGCTTGTTATCGTGCATGATGATTTACCCTGCTATGTTCTGGGCACTTTGGGCGATGTTCTGGTATACAGGCACTGGCGCTCTCGTGGCAGCGTTCACAGTCTGGGCATTTGCATATTATCATAACAGGTTGATCAATGGCACGTATATTTGGACTTCTGTATATGTGAGAACCATACTAACAGAGTAATGGAAATTTCTGTACAGATATCTACATGAAGTAAGTCCAGCCATTATAATTTCATATTGCGGTTAACCTACCTACCTATAAATAACAAGCCTCAAGCGCGTGATCGCAGCATGGCGCGTTCTTGTCGGTGTCTGGGCACCAAGGAGATGGGAACTTTCTCTTTCTGCACTTTCTCAATATACAACCCCGCTGGTGCCCCCTGAGAACCCTTGGATCGACAAGAACCGTGCAAACTCCTCCACTCCGGGAACGCCACGCTCCTTACCGACGCAGATTACTGACGAGCCGCCTGTCAAGAGCGCACGCCGCCGAAGGCCTCCGTCGAGAAGAATTATGAAGCATCTACTCCGGGCACGTGGAGAGGCCGTGAAGGCCCTTGCTGGGTTCCTGACGACCTTAGAGGCAAGCGGAGAGAGCAAGAACGTGAACGCGAGCATCCACTTGGCAAAGAGGTTCGGCTGGGTTGAAGAAAATTCAATCACCTCTGCATCTGACAACGGGGGAGATGGCGAGGTGTTATCTGACGCCAAGGGATACAGGCAAGCGCGCGAGGTGATCGCATTTCTTCGTGTACGTGGTGCGAAGATCGCAACTTTGGATAGGAAAATCGAGGGAGACTGGGTACTCAGCAGTGATGAAGATGGCACTGCGGGTGAAAGTGAGAAAGGTGAGGATGAGGAAGACTTGGTATGGGTGCCGAGCAGCATGGGGCTCAAACAGGAGGACGACTAGTTTACGAATGGGACGTGGATGATCGACGGATGATGTGTATGGACTTCACATTTGTTCGAGGGTTCTTTGCCTTGCCTCACTTTGGGCTGCTAGAGTTTGCATTCTAAGATGTCACCCTCATTACTGGACTGCGCTTTGATGTCCCCGTTTTCGAAGATAGTACTACAGGCAGACGACTGTCAGGATCGCCCTTCGTTTCACCCTGCTGGGAGCTTGAAGACATGTTCCAAGCCCTGAAGATCTTCTGTGTGTGGTTAATTTATCTCTTTTGGGGATAAGTAATCCTGTGCTCGAAATATTCCTCAGGGTCCCCAGGAGAACATAGAGCCGCCATTATCTGCCTGTTCCTTGTTCTTTCTAGCCCGCAGGTGGGCCGCGAGAACATGCAAGAATGAAAAAAAAAAAAATTGATGAGGAATTATGAGGCGTCTGTAGCGAGGCACGGCCAGGTAAGTCCAAACAAGAATATGAGTTTCTTCTTTGCAATGGACTAAAATACATATGCCTGGCCGTATCATTAATATTGTGTTTTTGACAGTTGGACTTGGTCCGACCAACAATGTAACGATAATTTAAAAGCTCCGCTCCCTGAAATGCAGCATCACCAGCACTACGAACTTAATAACTACCTGTATCCATCTATGAGAGCCGAATAGCCCTTGGAGCTGATGCACATGCTAGCTCAAAAACTGAGCATTTGTATGTAGAAATGAAAGCTACACTGAGCGCCGATGAATTCATGGAAATGCTAGATGCCGTGCGCAGTTATTACCCCACGATCATATAATGTGTTCAAAAGGGAACAGACAGACAACTCATCAGATAGGATGCCGGGCAACTTAGGAAATGCCCAAGATTCCCAACCTATCGAGTGTTGAGACTAGGCAGGAACAAACTGATGCGCAAGTTTGATGGGTGCAGCAAACCGTGCCCTCGATCAGCCATTGGTGGCAAGATAAGGACGACCAGGTAATGACTGCTGACGCACTCTGCGAAGAAAACAATTGGAGACTAGAAGGATATACACAAGAATATTAAGAGACGCTCGATGCATCGATGAGGCCAATGCTATCGCGCAGTCAGATTACCTCTGATGAAATGAAATGACTCCGAAGATAAACCAAACCAAACAGAATGCCAGGCAAGGCGAGACATGCATTTGCGGCAGTTTAGCAGCGCCCAGAAGCAGAAACATTGGTGCTAGAGTGGGATTAGATGTCCTGCCGGTGTGCGTGGACTCGTAGTGATATGATTGAAGCCATGTTGGAAGCATACCGTGACAGTGTTGGTTGCTAGTTGGGTTCATCAGGCAGCAAGGATGCTGCTCCTATAATGGCAAGGCTAAGGACCATACATCCGCGTATGGCATACAGCATTTTCATACGACAACGTTGCTCGTTATCTATCGCTGTGCCGAGCCCTTGGGTCGGTTTGCTACTAGGAACTTGCCTGCATGCATTGCAACATGATCCGAATGAAGCCTGAAATTGATAGGATATAGTAAGTTAGAGCTCGTCATGGCAGTGATAGTAGAGACTCAACATTGTTCATATTTTATGGAGCTTATGACCCGTGAATTTGGATGTCAGCGTGAGGATGGAGTAACTTTAGGCAGTTGGCGCTAAAATGTATGCCCGATCGTTTCTCCTATGATGTGACAAAAAGAAACGCACCTTCGAGCGCACCATTCCAACGATTCAAGCTTTCACTGGGCAACAGGCAAATTGCATCAACAAAAGAGCCCGAAGCACAGCATATAAGATCTTGTGGACCTTACACAAGCATACATGTCGCTCTTAGCTTTTGAGACATACACAAGGCATTATATTTCAACATACATGATTCGGTCTCTTTTGTTGATGTGCCCGGCACATAAGTAGATTCGTGTAACTTGAGTCTTGAGTACTTGAGTCTTGACCAACTTCAAAGGATTTTGCCCAAAATGGCAGTTGTCGTATTCACGGCCACGTGTACAGTACTGTCGTGACGTCGCACCAGTGAATCGTTTGTTCCTTCATTCAAAACGGTTGGTATTCCAGCTCCTTCATCCTCTCTAGCGCACATTACAAGATGCATAGCATTTACGCTCGTGCAAATGGTGTATCTGGTCTTTGGTCAACGTGTGTTATGGCTTTACTTGCGGCTGTAGCTCTTTCCTCCTTCCTCTTCAATGCGAATCCTCAGGGTAGCCTGGATATTGTCTCCCTGAAGGTGTGAGTGAATCGATTTCTTGCATCAGGCTTGCGGCTATAGAGTCTCGCCTTCATCGTATCTCTCACGTCAGTGACTTACCATGACATTCCTTAGGTTCCACTCCAAAACGAGGCGCTATCCTTTCAGAAACGAGGAAATTGGTTTTGTTAAATTTAACGTTTCGGCTGGTACGTATTTTTCATCGCGATGACAGCGGAAGAGCCTCACCGGAGATCCACCACTTCCTGTCGCGCAATCGCGTTTTCTTATACGTGTTCTGGTTTTGCGATCGCTACGTGCCGCACCAGACTTCACACCACTTTTCAACTGGAACACGAAGCAGCTATTCTTGTACCTTGAGGCCGAGTACGCAAACGCACAAGGGGTAAGTAATTTACCATCATAATTTCTATGGCGAGACAAACCTGGCTGTGGTATCCTATATCTAACGCAATTCTGAAGGTCAATAACACGGTTGTTGTCTGGGATCGCATTGTGCGGAGAAAAGAGGACGCCATAGTCGACGTTGTACAGAAAGACAAGTACAGACTTCGCGATCTGTCGGGTTCTTTCAGGTGAGTTGGAATCCACGAGCATGCGTTACCGAATCCGATAACGGATCATCATCCAATCACTTTATCCATCCCCTGTTTTTTTTTCATGCTGACGAGTCGTGTTTATTGGACAGCGACGTACTTCCCGCTCAATATTCCCTTAAATACAATGTCATGCCGTATGTTGGCATGCTCAGCTATGGAGAAGCTGCCCGCACGCTGGAGCCTATCGACTTTCCTGACGCCCGAGACTCTGTGTCATAACCGTCACTTACCAACTTAGACTCGATGTCACCAGAGGTAGCCTAGCGTCACGATCTAGTTACATAACTACATCCCTTGGGTATCGAGTCTTGAACTACTTTTTACGACGAGATTTGAGTATTATATTTGAGAGCAAAATCATGCAAGTCGTGTATGTACTTGTGTTTGCTGGAGTCTAGGACCGAGTGCAAGGTCTATATTTCTCGGAGAGACATTTTAGCGAGCTCAACACATTCAAAGTTGGAAAGAAATTGTGCGTTTTTTTCGGTGGGGCAGTTACAGATGGGGATGCTTCCCCCTCGTTGTTCTATAGCTTCGGTGACAATAGTACTAAGCGGACCGCAGGTAAAACGCGTGTCACAACCTTGCGACGTCTCCCACTGGTAACTCACTGGAGTACTCAAAGTCGACCGCAGAACAAACTTCGCTACTCTAAAGATCCATCAAGTAATACGGTCAGTAGAAGTCTAGAGCTGCTTCTCCACCATGATCTCAAATGATCATTATAAGAGGATGGGAAAACTACCGAAGCTGCCAAGATAGAGTACAAGATCGGATATCTCGCGATCTGCTCCCTCTCTCGTGAAGCGCCCAGTGAACCCAATTCAAGGGCTACTATCCTTTACGGTCATTTGGTGTCTTCACGTCAGTCACTTACCATTTTTCATTGTTTATCACGGGGAAGATTGAATGGTAGTCGTGAAATTTGGTGAGGTTTTTTTTTCAAGGTGCCGCATCTTAAAAATCAAATTCTTTTGACGGTTCAGACAATAGCCCAATATTAATTCAGTGGCTTGATTAGGATAATATCCTCAAGAGGAGGACAGTGCAAGCCGTATCCTGCCGTGTTGCAGAATCAATGCTCTCATGAAACAACGGCAGCTGGCTGTAGTATTTTCATTGATTAAAGGCTGATATGGATGAGAAGCTAGGAGCTCCAAACTTCGGGGGATATGACCAGAAATGAAGAAGATATCAGAGTTCCGCTTCAAAATGGAGAACGCGATTGTGGGTCATTTATGCTTACGAAAATCGTTACGGAAAACTGATGAGGACTTGTTGCTGTAATCGTTGACAGCTCTTGTCGTCTGACTTCGAGCCTGCCAGAGGCGTGGGTTCCTAAAATCAGCCTAGCTTAGAACTGCAAATGAAGCCGGATTCTTATGTTACCAAATATGCAACGTACCTTTTTCAGTGAGTCTTAATATATAAAAAGTCACTCACTGCCTTGAGGGTGGAGATTTATCCCCTGCCGTCAACTGACCTTCCGTTTACACGAAGCTTTCCCCCATCGATTTTACTTCCTTCGCTGGGACTGTATGTCTTCTACATCCACTCATCCGGCTTCTGAAGACAGTCGATATTGGCGTTATGCTCAACCAAGCGCATCTTCCAGCTCACATAACCCTATACCCTGTGACGGCCTCAGCCAATCATCGCTTGTGGCGTCTAGGCATTTAAACCAACCTAACGGCTACACAGAAGGCTTTGATGTTAGCGTAAGTATCCTTGTTTCGGTGGTAACTACCTGATCATAGTTGACCTGTGTTGATGATAGGTGAATGTGAAACGAGCATTTACGTTCGAAGAACTTCAATCAGGTGCATACTTCAATTCTTTGGACGAATCGGATCTGCAATTCTTTGGCATGTACGGTCAACCTGTTCTTATCCCGTGCCCCGAAGATTCGGATCAAGGGGGATGGAGCTTGCAAGGCCAGACACACATACATCCAGCTGGCGATTCCTCATCGTGCACGACTACCACTCAGTATGCTCCTCATAGCAATCTATCTACGTTTCAGATCTCGAAATCATATACGCTAGTCGACTCTCTGGGACAGCTGTCCACTTCAACGTCTGCAAAGGCGCCCAGCAGCAGCGCACAAGGTACACGTGTTTCTGCTACGGCACCTGCTGCAGGGCATAGTGGCGCGATCCGCGTGAAACATGAACCAGGTTTGATACAGCAGGTGAGCCTTTCTTTGAAGTTACTAGCGTTCTCCTATTGACCGCATGACTGTAAGTCCTTGTATCCGTCAGACTTCCCGTCATCGAGGCCCGTCCTGCATCATTCTCGACAACCGTATGTGTACGAGGGGAGTCGTTTGACTCACGACAGTGAAGATATAAAACCAAACCGCTCAATATTGGATGAGGAGCCGCCTATGGATCACTTGCCATATCCGCCGCCCGTTCATTCGGTCTCGACTCACCAGTTCCAACCATATTCGCCTCCTCAGGAAGCAATGACACATTCTCCCTCTCCATGCTCCCCTCATAGTACAGCTTTCTTGGGCACTTCGCATCATGATGCATCGGAAGTCCCAGTCACTGTCCCTAGCCAGTCTTACATGTTTGTTGAAGACTCGTCCACTCCAGCATTCATTCATACAAGTCAACAACATTACCACTCCCCAAATGAATCTTCTTCGCACACTCATGACAGGAGGACGAGATCCCCTTATCAACGTTCACCGTCCCCGAGGGGCGCGTTACGTATAACCCCGCCGCCGCATCCCAAGAGATCGATGGATAAGAAACCAGCGCTTGCGTGCCTATTTTGTCGAGGGCGGAAAATCGCGTGCGGCCCACCTGTCCCCGGTAGCAAAGACAGGACATGCAAGTGAGTATCACTTCCTCCCCTGAGCCCATTAAGGAATGTACTATGTGTCGGTCCCTGGCTTCCTCACGCACAATTGGCGTGGTAATGAATTGCCGGTTTCGCGCGATGCGTGGTGGTAGTTTCTTAATTGAAATCATCTTCCGCTCGCTGATGTCCGCGCCACCATCAATTATTTGGACACTTGACTGACTTGCGTGTCTTTGTTTCCCAGTCAGTGTGCTCGTAGGCATTTGAAATGCGAGTATCCGCTAGAGTCGCGTCGGGGAATGAGGAAGCGCCGGTCGCTGATTCCCCGGGGAAGTGGCTCGCCGGTTCCCGAAACCAATTCAGGGGGTCCCAAAGTGATAAGGCCAGGTCGAAAACGATCTATAGACAAACGGCCATAGTTCCCCCGCTCCCCGGACTGCTCTAGAGTCACTCCTTTGAATATTTATTGTCATTCCTTTGCATTGCTCTTAGCATCGCGTATTGTGTTGTGTAAATTACGCTCGTCATCCTGCAATTTCTGCATGTTGTCGTCGCTATGCTTTCGTCGCTTTCGTTCTGCTTATCCCATTATACCTCATGTATTTGATCATTGCTGTTATTTGGTTTGCTGGCAGGCCGTCTCGCACATACTCCTCATGTAGCTGCATGAATAAAGAGTCCTAGTTCTGTGCTCCTTTGTGGTGGAGTAATATCCGTCCTCGGTGGCTGGCCCAAACATGATCTGTAGTGACGATTAAGCAGGCCAAGTGCTAGTCATGTTCTAAGCTGGAATGTCCCAAAATACTGATAGAGGCTCACTGATAAGGGTTCAGGTTCTTTAAAGGAAACCCCGATCAACTTATCTCTGGGTAGTATGACATGAATCACTGTTCAAGCACACTGATTCTTGTTGCTGCCAATTGGGAGTGGGGGATTTGACTGAAACACAATTCTCGGACCGGCAGTTCATCTAATAGCATACATCCATTCGGCCAGAGTCTAAAACCACACTTCCCCTAGACTTCCCCATGATGGCCTCCGCGACAAACTGCTGGCACAGAAGTGGCTGTGCTATCAATTGCTAATTACTCCGTAATGATCGACCCACAGACTACATCGAATCACGATGCAGAACACGCCTGCCTCTGTAACGACTTGTGGAAGTGCCATCATCATAAAAAGAGCTGGTAAAGCGTAAATAGGCTGACTACTGATGGACTATAGGTCACTGAACCGTTTGGTGAGTACTTGAATATTCGAATTAAATTGACGGTGTCAAAGCAGGTGTTCAAGCTTGCAAGACTTGCGAATTCCGCCTCATGTCGTCGGTGCATACCATCCGAAGCAAGGTCAACATTTGTTTCGATCGAGAACGGTGGAGCACAATTCTGTCATGACACTACAAGTCTACGTCAACCAGAAACTTCTAGCTTCTCTCGTACTGCTCTTACTCGGATCCTAGCCATCATCAGCAATAACGTCGGTACCTGTAATAGAAGTGCAGAACCATATTTAAGAAACGAGGAAATTTTTACTGCGTACGGACCCATCTTTTCATCGTTCACTATGCTACTGTTGCTTGTGGCCTCCCTTACACTCCTGTCTTCCGCTCAGGCGTCTTCCAAGGTTGCTGGTGCATGGTATGCTGGCTGGCATGCTACTGGTACTAATGCATACCCGCCGTCCAAAGTAAATTGGGACAAGTACAACACGATGTACTATTCTTTCGCGTAAGTGGAAGCTACCATGCCGATCTAGCGACAGCGTTGATCGACAATTTGTAGAACAACCACTTCATATGTGAACAGTATATCACTAGAAGGGTCAGATGGCTTGTTGCTTCCTGCCTTCGTGTCAGAAGCGCATGCACACGTATGTCAACAACAACCATTTGCGTATTTGATCGCTGAGCCAATAGCATGTTACATAGGGTGTTAAAGCCCATATTGCCATTGGAGGTTGGGGAGGTAGCGTCTACTTTTCTTCCGACGTCGCGACGGCGGAGAATCGCACTGCATTCACAAAGACAGTGGTAGACTTTGTTGAAAAATATGATCTAGATGGTGTCAACTTCGAGTATGTATGTCAGTCACCACATAAATTTGTCTGACCCAGTTTTGATTTAGTTGGGAGTATCCAAATCACCAAGGCATCGGTTGTAATATTGTCAACTCCAATGACACTGCGAACTTTCTCTCCTTCCTCCAAGAACTTCGCGAAGACTGTGTGGGCTCTAAAATCACCATCTCGGCAGCAGTGTCTGTGACACCATTCCGCGATTCCGATGGCAATCCTTCAACTGACGTCTCCGACTTTGCGAAGGTTCTTGACTACATTGCTATCATGGACTATGATGTCTGGGGTTCATGGACCTCTGCTGTTGGTCCTAACGCCCCACTCAATGATTCCTGTGCGAAGTCATCTGAGCAACAAGGCTCAGCTGTTTCAGCAGTGAAGGCCTGGTCCAAAGCAGGCATGCCCGTCGATCAGATCGTCCTGGGTGTTCCATCCTACGGACATTCTTATAGTGTCAAACCCACCGATGCATTCGTGTCGGGCACGAAGACACTAGCCTCTTACCCTGCTTTTAATGCATCTAATCAGCCCGTAGGTGATGCGTGGGATAACACTGGGAGCGTAGATGCCTGTGGTAATTACCAAGGATCTGGAGGTACCTTTAACTTCTGGGGACTGGTCGACGGTGGCTTCCTCAACTCGGAAGGCACGACTGCCAAAGGTATCTACTATCGATTTGATTCATGCAGCCAAACGGTACGTACACCCTTGACAAGGTACTGCTTCTAATTTCTTATGGACTTGCCGTTAGCCCTACGTTTACAATGAAACATCCGAGGTCATGATTTCGTATGACAACGCAGAGTCGTTCACAGCCAAGGGCGAATACATCAAAAATACTGGGCTGCTAGGATATGCTATGTGGCAGGCGGGCGGAGACTACGATGATATCCTCACCGATGCCATCAATAGTGCCATGTAAACTCGTCCACTGTATTGCATAATTCATACACCCTGTATGCCCACATCGTAGATCACCCTCTTGTCGTCGTCTTCTTCAAGTTCCGTCCTGCCGTAGTTACCTTATACAGCTTCTATTGTGGGGCCAAAATACCCCACCTTGTGAAGTTCCGCGTCCTAAGAACCCGCGGCAGTCTAAGGTTGAATGATTTAGTTTTAGCATTCTGCGGACATGATGAATTTCGTTACCGATCACAACGGGATTCCTGCAAAGGTCAGGCCGCAAAAAAATACTTCCATGGTTGGGTAGCTGGTGAGGGTCGAAGACGGGGCTATCCGAGCGCGGTGTCGACGGGACCGTGTAATGACCGGGAAGGTCGGACTCGGTCCCTCGGAAGACATACATTGAAAATCCGAAACTCTGATGGACGAAAAACAATTCTGAAGTACAACGTCACGGTATCATTCGAAAAGAGTTAGTATCTTGTGTTATGTACTTATTCTAGTGTATTAACGATAGAGACCGGTAGTCTCGATGGATAGCTCTCCCCATCACGTAGATCTTCTGTGCACCTTTGTAAGTACTAAGTTATTGCAGCACCATCATCTCGGGGCGTGCTAACGACAGTCATCCTAGCGTCCGGTGGTCGCAATTAATTGCTTTCCCTATCGCGCGTGTTCTCTTATCGCACCATATCCTGGTAGAAGTAAAATCAGCTCATGCCATTCTCAGCTTGAGGCATGCAGCGAGTGCAATGTCCGCTCGTCAAAAATAGATACAACACCAGTAGTCCCTGTTGTCTACTACATTCAGAAAAAATCTAGTCCATATCTGATCGTACACCCCCTTCATCACAGCCATGTCTTAGAACTAGGTTTCACCAGCCGAATTCCCTGAACTGGCGGCGACGGCTCCTCTTGCTCGTACATCTCATGAACAGGCGAGGTCCGCTCCCACAGACTTATACTCTCCTCTGCATCATCAACACCTCTTGGGTATCGTCGCGACTGGCCCGTCGAAGAGCTTCGTCGTGTGCGCTCCGCGGGGCGTACATCCTCCTGACTGTCGTAGTTTTGCGGAGGATATTTATCTGTCAGCAAGTCGGACGACGAGGGGAATGCGGTCATGGTGGGGGTCGTCGGGGTATCAAAGGGATCACTGATTGTTGGGCCGTGATACATCGTTGACACGGTGGGTGCAGGTGGCTCATCGTTTGCACGCGGCGGTATGGTTAGCGATTGCGAACCACCAGGTGTGGACGAAACGTCGTTGTTTGGTGGCGGAGGGTACACAAACGAATCGTCAGTCTGTACTGGCGGTGTGGAGTGTACGACATTCCTATGCTCATGAATGGCGTCCGCATCCCCGCTACCTGGGGGGCGGTACGAATGCACGAGATCTTGCGATCCGAATTTGATGGCGGTTTTCCGCGGGCTATACGGCGTCGTCGATCTAGATGAAAACGACGACGCGCGATCTGGGTCGGATACCCGCGGTACAGGGGCATCATAGAGCTGATGACGTGTCAATCCATCATATGCGTGATTTGCATCTTGCTGTTGCCAGTGCGTGGAAGGTAGGCCGTCTGAACGCCCCCGGAGGGTGGAGGCCGTGTGCCTGCTTGATTGGCTCACTCTCCGTGCTGAGCGGGCACGGATGATGCTGCTCATGGTACCGAACGAGCCGCGAAGCGCCTCAATGCCGGGATCTTCCATCCCGGCAATGCCCTTCTCCTCGGCGTCCTCTGTTTTTGCGCGCGCGGCTTCGAGGAGCATAGTAGACCGCCTGTCAAGTTTGGAGAGTTGTGCAGGGTCGATCTTGGACATTTGGAGGATGGTGATGCCGACACATATTGTAAGGAAGGCCAATACAAGCGTGAGAATTTGAGAGACAGGAGCGCTGAGTCCTTGAAAGAGGACCTGTAACGGACTGGGTAAGTGATCAGGTGATATTTGAAAGATGTAGCTGCGCGCACGATGGTTGTGACCATTGAAAAAAATGAAACTGTTTGAAGGGGTTGGTGTCAATTAGAACGTGATTGGACACAAGTCACATACATAAAACGTAGTACGTGGGCGTTACTGTGATAGTTTCAGATTAAGTTAGTTGGGCAGTGAGTATTGGTGGAAAATGAACTTTACCCATAGCTGTCAAGTGAAACAGTTGAGTCCAAGCACACGCACATTATTATTCTGTCACTCACCAGTATTGAATAGTGCAAGCGCAATATTCAGGTAATAAATTTCCGTTACTGCGTCGTGTTAGTGCGGCGAAACGAAGGCATACGATTATGACGCACGTAGTGTTGTCGCCACAAAAGCGATCAAAAAGTAGATAAACCAGTTTTTGAACTGTGCCGCCGTCAGATAACGTGACCTCATGATAATTACAACAACTTGCCTGGTTGACTCCCATCACACTGGTGACTATGGCTGCACCGAGCCCTGTCGTGACACTCACACTGATGCCACCGATGGTGCTGCATACAGTGATATACCAGAGCATGCTGTTCTTGCCATATCTGAAATAATAAATATAAATGGGGAAAAGAGAGAGATATCACGTGAACTGACTTAGGTCCAAAGTAAAAGATAATAGAGAAGGCGATAGTAAACAGGGCAGCTATGTACCCGAGGAAACCAGGCGCAAGGAAGAGTTTCTTAAACTGCTCTATTTCACCAGGTGTTTGCTCCTGTGGGCCTTGTGCGCGAGAAATAAGCTTTGGTGTATGGTGCTCGCTCGTTGTGATACTTACCGTTGAGAGCAATGATAGTGGAACCGATCTGGCAGATGTCGGTACACGAGAAGATAAAAGAATGGTGACACTTACAATACAGAGGGCACAACCCAGCCATCCAAAAAAGGTGAGTTTCTCCTTGAGAAAAATGGAAGATAGTATGGCGCATATTACAACAGATAGTGCACCCATAGGAGTCTTGATACATTATGGTGAAGATATGACAGAGAATGGGATGTCTCAGACGCACCACAACAAGCGCTTCGACAAACGCGTATGCTTTGCAGGGTCAGCACAGATTAGAAGTAAGAGTTCATGTGACATACCAACAAAATTACACAATTCTCCACATATCATCACTTTACGATTCGCATGTTATGTTCAGCACAAGCAGCAGGATATGGAAACTCACTTGTCATGCCTATCCACCACAATGGCTTTGACATGAAATATTAATGACGGTGTGAGAGGTTGCGGGGAAGAGTCTCACAGATTTGAGGTATGCGACACCTTCGCCTGCTGCGTGCCCGGCCTGCGAGCGCAACAAACCCTTTTTCTTGAAGACGAAACTAGAGCCAATCAATAGGCCACTCAAGACTGCGAGTACTATTCCGATGACCTGGAACTCAAAGTGAGACTGGGCAGCAAAACCGAGAATGAAGCGCCTACTTTGAGGCTTGACGGTAATTGGAAGGTAGTGCTTGAACCAGAAGCAGAGGCAGAGGCGGAGGACATCCCCGACGAGGTCGAGGACGAAGCCAGCGATGTGGTGGACATGGTCGTGATGAAGCCCGCAGCAGGGGGGCCAACGGTTTTGTAGTTATTCTTGAGTTGCGATGCACTGGCCAAGCCACAAGCCTAAGTCGGCCTGGTCCCAAACCAGCGTGACTCCGGGTAGCATACCATTTATGGACAAACCGGAGTAGTCCGTGCCGTTCCGGCGGTAACTCCGACGGGTGTTGTAAGGAACCCAAAAAAGGAAGGATTATGGGGAACGGAATAATAATATTGTTCTCGGGCAAGACGCCTGTGCAAGGCTGTTGGGTAGTTTGAAAGTCCTGGGATCCAGCTTGTCTTCTGCTGGGAGTCTTGTAATTAGTCTCATCCCGATTTCTGGTGAGAAATCTGCCTTTAGTTTCTTTCTGATCTTCATTTCTTTCTTTCTTTTATCTTTATACTAGTGAACCATTAAGACGCTAGGCTTGCCAGCGCGTATCCTCCAGCTCTGGGAATCACCAAATAGAGTGTCCGACCAGAAGCCGTTGATAATTCGCCCATGAGCGCCTTTCAGGTTTCTTCGAATGACCGCAGGGCCGATACCGAGTTGTTTCTTTCCGAACTATCATCTTCTCCAGAGCCTCAGGATGCCACAATCCAATTCTTGCACCAGCCCTTCGTACCCCCAGACTTCCTGAAGCCGGAATCTGGGGACCATCCAGAGATCGCCCCCTTTCTGACTGAAGAGCCTGTGAGTCTCTCCATTTCCACGCCCCCTCGTGATCCCCCGCGCGTCAGGCCCACTGTTCCTTCCAGACTTGTCTTCGATGTCCGACTGAACAAAATTAACTATTCCTTTCTTTCTAGTTTACCTCGCCCAGCCTTATCAAACGCTCTCTGGGTTTGAGCAAGGCGTCCTTTTCATCCCTTACCTCTTCACGGCAAGGAAGTTCCAGCAGCATCCTTTACCCAATCCGTGGAGGAGCCGATTCACAAACACTCACAGACTCCTATAGTCCAGCGCTTTCTGACATGACCTTGCGCGAGCAGGGAAGCTCAAGTGATCTCCGCAGAGGCAAGATAAAGATGAAACTCACCGACATCATCAAGATGTCACGCAGCAGCCGGGGAAGGCTCTCCTCAGACACAGGCTCGTCATCCCATATGACATCAATATCTTCATGTGCCTCCGCTTCTACAGAGACTTTTAATACGTTCATGAACCCCGTTCCATCTCCTCCTCCACCACAAGTACTCAAGAAAGACAAGAAGGAGAAAGGGCGACAACTGAAGGGACGATTACCCCCTACCGCACCAAGAACTCCTCCGTTGTCCCCCGAAAAAGATGACGGATTCATCCCGATCGACCTTAATTTTGAGCACATGGAGGGTATCGTCGACCTTACGACTCTTTCTGGGCAGAATGTTGCACCATCAAACGTTTCTCCATCGAGCGCAGTCGATCCAAGCACTGCCAGTACTTCCGACAGTAGCTTGCAACCGCCTCCATCACCGCCTCACTCCTCTTCCTTTGTGTTCAGCAATCCCAATCCGTTTTCTTCTACTTCTCCCACCAACAAGCGAAAAGCTGTTATTGACATTCGAAAGCTCTCTCCAAAGAGTTTTCCCCCTTCATTTGGACCAGAGGAGGCAGTTGTGTCCGGAGCAATTGTCTATGAAGCGCCTATGTGGACCGCTCCCGAGAGCTGGGCTGTGGAGAAGGACGGGGAGGAAGAGGCAGATCCAGGAGGCGACTCGAGCTCCGAGGAGAGCACGAGTATCAATACGAGATATGCGGATGTCACGTCGTCTTTCAACAGCTCGAGTCTTAGCTCGAAACGAAAATCCCGTCGAAAGTCCACCCATCCGCGTAAGCTGCCATCCCGTAGCAGCAACGACCGCGTTCGCGTTCGAATATATCGCGCGGATGGATCATACCACGTCGCCCCTATCTCGATACACTCCACCGTAGCGGAGCTCACCCCGTTGCTTAACCAAAAGCTATTTGCGCACAAGGAGCGTGAGACGCATAAACTGTATCTGAAGGAGAGGGGGCGAGGTACGTCTTGCCGTTGCGCGCTTGCTTATGTTTCTCATTGTTTTCAGAACGTGTATTGGCACCTACTGAGAGGCCGGCTGCCATTGTCATTCGCCGGTTGGAGCAGGCAGGATACGACCAAGCAGACAGTCTTGCTTTTCTTGGTGCAGAGGACATGACGTTCCTTATGAAATTCGTGTATAAAAGTCAACTCCTCGGCCCGACAGTAAGTTGTCCACGAAAAACATCATAATCTGACTTAACTCCTTGCTTTCAGGCTGAGGAGCTTACGCTCGATGCGTTCGAACTCGTCGACCTCACAGGCTGTAGTCTACCCACCATACCCATCGTCCTCTATCAAAACGCTGGCGAGATCGTGTACCTCAACCTCTCACGTAATCCAATGGTGGAAATACCCCTGGATTTTATCCAGTCCTGTACGACCCTCCGCGATCTCAAATTGTCCAGCATGGCGATGAAGAAAGTGCCTCAGAGTGTTCGGCACTCTACCAGCTTACATCGACTCGACCTGTCGTGTAATCGTATCGTGGACTTGGACGATGCTGGTCTAGACCGCATACCTGAGCTCTCAAGCCTAAAACTCCAGAACAATAGGATAGAGCAGTTGCCCTGGTATTTTCCCCGCCTCAAGTTTCTGAACTTCCTGAACATTTCGAACAACAAATTCGTGCACGTGCCTAGTGTCATCTGCCAGCTGCCATGTCTTGTCGAGCTCGATGTGTCTTTCAACATGATCACTGAACTTCCGGAGGAGATTGGCCGCCTCACTACTCTTGAGCGCCTGATTATGATCGGAAACCAGGTGGCCAAGTTACCCGAAGAATGCAGGAATCTTGTTAATCTACAATTACTTGACTGTCGAAGAAATAACATATCCGACATTTCCATTGCCTACACTCTGCCCAAACTCCAAATCCTCTATGCTGATCACAATTTCGTCCACGCCCTTCATCTGTCCATTGGTCCCAACCTGTCAGTTCTGGACGCTTCCCACAACGACATCACCTTCCTCAAATTCGCTCCTAGTTCTCCACCGCAAGTATCTCATACCCTCACACTCCTCGATGTCTCCTACGCTAAGCTTTCCTCTCTTGACGCATTCGACTTCTCTCAGCTCCCTGCTCTTCAGACCCTAAAACTCGACCACAACGAACTTCGCACGCTCCCGGACTCCCTCGGCGAACTCTCCCATCTGATACACTTTTCTTGTTGTGACAACAAACTCGTCTCCCTGCCCTCCACTATCGGCCTCCTTCAGCGTCTAGAAACCCTCGATGCCCATAACAACAACTTGACAGAACTGCCTGTATCCCTCTGGAATTGCGCGTCGTTAACGCATATCAACGTCACCTCAAATCTGCTCGCTACTTGGCATGATCCTCCTGGCGATAACTTGGTTGCACCGGCGCCATCTGGAATAACTCTCGAGATACCCTTATCGTCATCACCCTCTCGACCTGGTCACATACCAAGAAAGCCCTCGAACGCTACGTGCAATATGTCAATACACACCGCACCTGGCCGAGCACTCCCACCCCTCGCTTACTCTCTCGAGCGACTCTCCATCGGGGAGAACCAACTAACAGATGAAGCGATTCCTCCGTTCACCATCCTCAAGGAGCTACGCGTCCTCAACCTGTCCTTCAACCAGATCCAAGAACTCCCCTCTTCATTCCTGCGCAATCTACAGCAGCTGGAGGAACTGTACCTCAGTGGCAACCAGTTAACGAGTATTCCCACCGAAGACCTCGTGAAAATGACCAGATTGTCGGTGTTGTTCTTGAACGGGAACAAGTTCCAGACGCTCCCAGCTGAGCTGGGCAAAATCCCCAGTCTGACCATCATCGACGCCGGCAGCAACTTGTTAAGGTACAACATTCACAATTGGGAGTTTGATTGGAACTGGTATGTTTGGGCCTTTTGGACACTTGTGACTGATTTGTTCACGGCGCCGGCAGGAATTTCAATTGTAACTTGAAGTACCTTAACCTCTCAGGGAACAAGAAATTGGATCTCAAGCAGAACAATGGTGGAAAGAGCGTGGTGGATGAACGCGGAAGGGTCCTTTCCGACTTTTCTCAACTATCGCAGCTTCGTGTCCTCGGGTTGATGGACGTCATGACCACTTTCCTTGACAATATTCCCGAAGAGTCTGACGAACGCCGTGTTCGTACTTCTCAGACGGAAGTCAACGGAATGTCATACGGCATTGCCGACACGATTGGGAGGAATGGGTACCTGACCACGCTCGATCTCGTCCTGCCCGACCTCGGAGAGAAGAAGGATGAGGCGTTGTTTGCGATGTTTGGGCGTACGAAGGCTTGCCCGGGCAACAACATTCTGTCGAAGTACCTACACGACAATTTTGCTTCTCTTTTCAACGAGCAGCTTCTGCAGCTGAAGAAAGACCAGAAAGGAGGAAAGGAGGGCGTGCCGGACGCACTGAGGCGCACATTCCTGAAGCTGAACAGACAACTCCACGACAAGCTCTACTCGCAGCCATCTCGTAAGATGTCCACAGTCAGCGCATCTACCGCCCCTCCTTCTGGACTCGATTCCTCTTACATCCGACAAGGAGCCTCTGGCATCGTGGTTTACGTGGTCGGCCGGACGTTGTATGTTGCTAACGTTGGGCATGCTCTTGCTGTCATCTCGAGCCAAGGGAATGCAGAACTCATTTCCAAGAATCACGACCCTTATGACCGCGATGAAGCGAGGCGTATCCGACTCGCAGAGGGCTGGATATCGCCGACGGGGCTCATCCATGACGAAGTTGATACGTCTCGAGCTTTTGGATACTACCACGACTTTCCCGTTGTCAATGCACGACCCGACGTCTACGTCCGCCAGATGACTGAGCTCGACGAGTTCGTGATCATCGGCAACCGCGGACTGTGGCAATACATATCCTACCAGACCGCAGTCGACATTGCTCGATCAGAGCCATTTGACCCCATGATTGCGGCACAGAAGCTACGTGACTTCGCCATAAGCTATGGTGCAGACGGTAACACCATGATCATGGTAATTTGCGTCGCCGACCTCTTCCGCTCTCGACAGCCTGTATCAGACTCGCTTGTGGATCCAGAGGTCTACAGCTCTCTCAATAAAAAGAGAGCAGGGAAGAAAGCGGATATTGTTGATCGCACCATCGCTCGCTTAGGAGGAGAGGTTTCACCACCCACCGGGCATCTCTGCCTGGTATTTACCGACATTCGAAATTCAACGCAATTATGGGAAGCAAATGCAGGTATGCCAACAGCAATGCGTCTGCACAATAACCTGTTGCGACGATATCTTCGAACTTGCGGTGGTTATGTCGTCAAGACGGAAGGCGATGCATTTTTTTGCTCCTTTCCAACTACCCTTGCCGCGATGTGGTGGTGCTTCACCGTTCAGCTGCAACTTCTTCGCGAGTCCTGGCCGCTGGAGATATTGGAGTGCGACGAAGGCAAAGAGGTGTATGATGAGCATGGACAGCTGCTTTCACGTGGCCTTTCAGTCCGTATGGGCGTCCACTGCGGAACCCCAGTGTGTGAACCAGATCCTATCACTGGTCGCATGGATTACTTTGGGCCCATGGTTATCCGAGCTGCTCGTATCAGCGGATGCGCGTTGGGTGGGCAGATCATGTGCAGCGCCGACGTCGTTCGCGAAATCAATGCCAAGATCTTCGAGAATGGGCCGGATACGGAATACTCGGAGTTCCAGCCAACGCAGGCTATCGAGGCGATCCGGCAGATGCAGATAGTCCTTATCCCTGCTAGGGAAATCAAGCTGAAGGGGCTGGAGATTCCGGAGATGGTTTCACTCGTCTACCCAGCTGCCCTTCTAGGCCGTCAGGACTTGGATGCTTCTGGGTCTCATTTGAGCACTTCCACATCCCCAGCCAGAGTCCAGCTCAGCATCGCTCAAGTCAGAGATCTGGCCATGCTATGCCTGCGGATTGAGGCTTTGGCTTCGGGTCGCATCTTTCGTCCGCGTCTCGAACGGAAGGAGAGTGTATCTGACCTTCCACTGGAGCTTCTCTCCGACGAAGACGTTCTGGAGCCTTCGATAATGTACGGTGATCCAAACATGCTCCTCCCCCCGATGAATGAGAAAACATCTGACCTCGAGATCATGATGCACCTCGATTCACTTTCCTCGCGGCTTGAGAATGCTGTTGCGAGTCTAGTTCTCAGAAAATTATCAGACAAATCGTCCGCCATTGTGACAGCTCTAGAAGGCCACGAGGGTATTGACGAACGGACACTTCAATTAATAACTTCGTTATTGTCTCGTTGACATTTTTATTGCGTTTTCCTTTTCAGTTTCACTTCTCAGCTGCATCAATGTACTGCATTCGCATTCAAACATGTATATATTACCCGCACGCCCTTGTTATTCATATTAATGGTCTGTACAATCTTTATACCGGTTCGTCTCTGCCACCGAGGGTGAATACCATTCATTCGGATATCTGGTTGATTGTGTGGTATTTACAGAACTACTGAGTGTATAATTGTCTGGACAACAGGGCCTTAGATATGGGTATTATTCCACAGCGATCTCACTACGAAATCAGAAGGGTCAGAACTTTGGACCGTCGAGAGTTTCGTGCTGAGTATGAATTGAACTGTGGTGGACTACAATCAGCTATGTGACAACAATGTGGCGAGATCAGGCTTACCAGTGCGATCTATACCAGGAATGAGGTAGTAACCGTTTGAAGGAAGTCCAGTCGTAGTATCAACGAAGTACCCGACCGTCCCTGAAGGGTGATCGAGCCATGTCCAAGCACCTACGCCGCCCTTTGCAGATAACGTGAACGTATAGTTGTCACTGGCGGTCACCGCGATCTTTGGATCGACGAGGTTGGAGTAAGCAAGCGACACCGGAGTGAACTGATGCGCAAAATACATGTCAGCACTTGTGTCGTACGGGAAACAGAGATGACATACATAGGACTCGCTGGTTACAAGTTTGTTGTCGGTGGTAGCAGTCACGTTCATCAGGAGCCAGACGTCATTCGCGTTATAACCAGAGGGCAGTATGGTGTCAAGGCCAATTCCCTCATAAATAATTGAGTTGTTCAGAGTCGGAATGGAGAATGGCGTGGTCATCGAGTTGATTGCATTCCCATTCCAATCATACCATGTCAATTGCGCAGTACCGTCCACCGTCTCCCAGCGGTCAGACGTAGCCAAGATGGTAAGTGACTCGTTCCCTGGGAACCAGAAGGGATCGATGATGACAGGGGAGTAGACAGTCGCCATGCCGTACTGAAGGACTTTCCATCTTCCGGAGTATTCGATGGCCGACCAGCTGACACCTTGCCAGATGTCGTTCAGTTGCCAAACTAAGCTTCCAAGGTTGTTCTCGCCTAAACCCGCACCACGCCTGTACCATGCGATCTGTGCAACCATATTCATGGACTGGAAAAGCTGAGTACTCCAGCACCATTGAGCAAAGGTCTGGTTTGAGTCTGAAGTTCCAGGAGTGGGAAGCCAGAGCTCGACAGCGCTGGACATTTGGTACTGGCCCTGAGGCGCATTGGGGTTCGGCCACGCGAGATTGCCAGCAGGAGGGTGGTGGTCACGCGACATGACGACAGTGGAGTTGAATGCGTAGTCTTCGGGATTTTCGAGGACCTCCTCCCAGCTGTAGAACGATGGCATGGAGTGGAAACTGTAACAATATTAGTATAGTTCCTTTCAACATCAATGACAGCTGCGTACCCAAACTCATTGACAAAGCTGTAGTCTCTCTTCAGTACGACGGTATAAAAGGGCCTGTGCTTGGACTTACCGACCAACAGGATACGTTGTCAGGTCAAAAGCCAGCGAGGCATTGTAGTTGTATCGCTCTGTGAAGAAGGTATTGGAAAGTCCTCCGATCACGATTAACCAAAGACATACCAGTATTCCCATAAATATATCCTGGGGTACCATTTGCAAAACGAATGACATAGGGATCGAGGCTTAGTACACCATGAGTTGTCGAACAGTCAGGTGTACGGAACAGAGTTCGTCTCTGAAAGCACAATATCATGCAAGTAATCCTGGAACAAGTAAACGAACTGCAGAACGAAAATCAGTCAGCCAATATTGCTTTCGAAAAGTAGAATACCGACCTCATCCAGGTAATGCGTGCCGTTAGCAAGGGAGGTATTGGCGCTCATCACGATACCCTCGATTTCGTTGCCACCAGCCCATTGTACATTGCTAGGGTGCTTGTTAATCCTACGAACGTTCTGACGCACTTCAGGCTCGATAGACTCCAGCAGGAAGTCGTTAATGGGGTATAGCGAGTCAGAGAAGATGAGCTCCGACCACGCAAGTATACCGAGCTCATCGCAAAGACTATAGAAGTCATACAGTCCTCCGTCGGTAGCAGCATCGGATGGCTGATAAATGCCTCCACCCCAAACACGAAGCTAGGAAACAAACCATCTTAGACTAGTCTTCCTATGAATATAAGAATCACAATACCATGTTTTGACCACTCTTGATAGCACTGTCCAGGACCCAACGAACTGCCTCAGGTTTGATGCGTGAGTAGAAGGGATCGAATGGGATTATGTTCGTTCCTTTGCTGTAGAACGCCTTTCCATTGATAGCGAAATGCCATTGGTCACCAGGTGTAATACCTCGCGATGCAATCTCCTCCGCGGAGTAGGGGGTTTGCAACAGTTGAATAGTACGGAATCCTGTGGTGATAGTCTGAGTGATTGATTCAGTACTTGCTCCGTCGCCCTGACCCGGAGAGGGGTCCAAAGTGATAGTTAGGTTGTAGAGCTTGGGGGCACCAAGATCAATCGGATACCACCTTTCGGGAGCGCTGTCTGGAATGGACCAGGAGACACTCAGGTATGTATTCTCATCAGTATTGGCAGGAATAGGTCCAAGATCCAGCGCCTCTGATGTGAGGTAGAGTTCCGGGATGGATAGAGTGACGGTTGGCTTTTCGAACGATTTGATTGAGCGGATGCCAAACGTAACGTTAAGAATCCAGTCTGCGGATTGATCTGGAGCAACAGATGGATTTTGGCCGTACTTGTAGATATCGAGAGAAGTTTCGTCCAGAAGGACGGAACTGCTTGTTGCAGGATATGTCGTGACCCCAGAAGCTATATCTCGAGGCTCAGACTCAGAGAGCGTCACAAGGTAGGCCGGTTTGTAGACGCCGCAGGGAACGAAAGCTGGTCCCTGTTAAGAATTAGAAACTCCATAGATTGAGAAAAATAAAGAAACATACCCAATCCCAGCCGAAGTCGTCGTCGATCTTGCGGATCCACATACGGACATTAGGATATTCAAACTGAAGCAAACGTCAGAAGCGCCTTCAACGACAAACTATGCACATACATTATCCGACGTGGCGACATTTGGAATGTTCGGGAAGTATTCAGCATCTGGTCGCATTGTCACGTTCTGTCCGTAATACCATGCGCTTTCAAGCGCAATCGTCAAGTTTTTATCCTCTCCAGCAGGAGAAATCAAGTAGTCTGAGACATCATAAGTGTAACGTCGGAACTGATTGTTGACCCAAGCCACGGGGTGGCCGGCAAACGTCTAGACGATCGGCTGTGTCAACACATGGATAAATTTAGAGGAGAACATCACCACAGACAATGTTAGCAATAGTGTCGATTCCATAGAAAACAAGGAGCATCTTGTCGGACGTGTCACTCTTGTAATTTTTGGTGAAGGGAGTCAAGTCCGCGGTATACGTCCAGTTATCGTTTATGACCCATCTTTCCGTGAACTCTGCGACGAATATGAATGAGGGACTGGATGACTTGCAGGTTGCACAACGTACCATTGATACCAAGCAATGGTTCATTGATGATACCAGCCTCGAAAAGATCAAGGTGAGCTTGTGAGGGTAAGGAGCCGGGTACGACTATAGAACCATTCTGGTTCTTTAGCGTCCACTGTAACTCAGAGAGGTCAAAGACCTGCGCAGTAGCCAGAGGCGCTATGTACGACGCCAGAAGCATCCAAAGAGCAAGGCGCACCATCGTGCACGCAGTTAGGAAGCATCAAAATTATGTATGGCTTTTATACTTAGAAGCGCTATTACACGTCAATAAGCAGACGACGCTGACACCGTGACGGTCAATTGGTAATGCTCGGTTAATTAGTCTAACCATGAATTCTAGCAGGGATCGTGGTGGCACCTCATGACAGAATCGATAACACAGCCACTGCCTCGACTGTTTTCTGTATCTCAGGCTGACTCCGAAGCCTTGAACTTCCTTCATTCGGAAGGATCGACTGTCTTCTTTCATCAAGGTCTGACTACGGTCCAGGAGACATAGGGCAAAGCTAGAGATGATTGTGCCACGGGTGTAGCTGAACAGTCATTCTCGGCTTCAGCCTTCAGCCTGAGAAAGTGGCGTTATCAAGGTCTGGCGGACGCAGTCCTCTGGCTAGCGGAGACTAGCTGAAGCTTAAAGTTGTGCCAGCGAATTGTATCTTGGTCACATCGCAGTGATCGCACGCGCAAGGGTGTGTTAGTGAACGATCACTGCGCTACGATACAGTGCATGCATCAATCGCAATTCATGGGAGTCCACAGGCGAGTCTTGGCCGCCAATTGCCGCTGACGTTCAAGAGGTAGGAAATGCGGCTTTGAAGACGCATCCATATGCTATCGACCCACCTCGGATATGGCGACGAGCAAGTACTGCCAGAGGCGTAGTGGACATGACTCACCTCTCAGGTTTGAAACTACATACATACTTGATTCGCCGAGCGAACACGGCCAAGCAGAACCGCGCAGTAATTCACCTCAGGATGTTTCCTCAGCCGTCGATGCAATGTGACTTCATAGCATCGTTCGAAAGTTGTTAGACACGTACGTTCAATACGAGCGCTAACTTTGATACAATGTTTTATCAACATCAGCCTTCCATTTGCTCTACAACGTTCCCCTCCAAACTCACAGGCTCAAGGCCTGAGGAACGATCTCCACCCAGTAGCTAAGGTATCATGATTAGCGACAGGATGAGAAAGACGTAGCAAAACATACCCATCGGGATCCAGGATGAAGGCGATGTTCCTCATCTTACCATCAGTGAGACGCTTTTTGAAGGGAACGCCGAGGCTTTCAAAGCGCGCACATGCCTCCTCGATATTGTTCACAGGTAATAGCGATATGGCCAAAACCCCTGCCAGGGTCAGCGTTACCACTAGCGTAGCCTTGGAAGCTTGCGTCGGATTCTGTGCCATGGTTGTGCGTGAGCTCAAGGATGCCTAGCAAATGCACGTGAGCCTATCAGGAGATGATGCCTGATAGGAGACGATGTTACCCTCAGCGGTTGAAACGAGCCTTAGCCTTCTGCTCGGCCGGGAGAGAGGCGATCCCATCGCCGTGGTCATAGGCCAGGAAGTAGAGGGTGAAGTCACCCATGTTCTGCTCTATTGCATATGTTCGTTCGTTCCGTTCCATGAGGATTTGAAATCCCGCTTACCAGAAACCAGGTCCATGCCGAGGGTCTGGAGAAGTAGTACTTAGTCGATCCGCTCGCACTCGCACGTAAGGATAGCTTACATCCATGTAGAACGGTAAGGACACCTTCGGATCCTTGATGCGGATCATGGTGTGGTTAAACTACGGTATCTCGAGTTAGTCTGCATTCTACTAATGCTACTTATGTTTCCTCACCTTGAAGCTCTCTGTCGCAGCGGTGCGAGGCATTGTGACTGGAGTTGCGGAGTGGAAAGTGCGGTGAAGAGTGGGAGCCCGTCTGGTTGTGAAAGCGTTCAGAACAAAGCGGTTCAGACTCCTCATAACAGGTAATCATGCGAGAAAGGGGATCGTCTGACTAAGTCACGAGGGAGAGTAGGCCTATTTTAAATCGATTGCAGTCCTTCTCGTTCCGCGAGATTCATGAGGCCTTGAGGCGGGCATTCCGTCACCAAACTTGTCGACCATCGTGGGTACGGGTATACTTAGGGGTATCAGCGACTGAACCCATGGGTATAATGACGACCTATAAGTTAGCTAATACATTTGATACATGCATCAAACATACAAACGAGCGGTCTTGGGATTTTAAAGCTAAGTAGAGAACTATGTGTGCACCTGTCATGCAGCTGGTCAGCCTATGTAAAAATGCATTTCTCCCAGTTACAGGGGTGAGCGACAAACGGAGTAAGGATCGACGTTGATACCGCTCATAATAATAAACGTTCAAGTACAGTAGAAAGGAATGATGCCAACGAGTCCAATCATGATACATAAATCTGTCCGGGCGACAGGCTTTTAAGGGGATTGCGAAGATCATGATGCAGGTCAGTTGGACACAAGCTCATGATCACCGCGAATATTAATGAAGGAGTACTGAAATAACGTTAGTGCTGATACGTCGATATCAATGCAGCAACATTTACCTCTACCAGATCTGGGCGAGTACCTCTGACAATATTCATGTAGACGAGATTTGGTTCAGAGAAGAACGGTCTCAAGCCAGCAGCTTCTAACTTTTCCCACCATCCGAGGAACTTCGGGAAGTTGTCCCAGGCAGTATTTTGGTACACGTGGATTTCAAGCTGGAGTTGGCCGAATGGGAGCGGTTCACCGTGGAAAGAGTCGATGAAAGCTGACAGAGAGTCAAATTCATTGCCTTCGATATCGACTTTAAGGATATCGATGAAATCATGTCCATTCCGCTCCATAAGAGTACGAAGGGTGAACGTTTTTGGATCGTCGGCTACGGTGTGTTTGTCTTCATGTCCAAGTGCGTATGGGAAAAAGTGCGAGCGTGACTTCAGAATCGTGTCTTCTTCGATCTCAGGACCAAACTGCAGGAGTCGCGTTTGTCAATTCAGGGTGACTACCGCTGAGCAAGAAAAACCTACGGAGCTGACACTGAAATCATAGCCATAAACCTGACAACCAGGGGCTGCTTTCATGAGATCCGCCTCAAAAGACGACTCGCCGTTAACCCCTGATCGGCTATGAGCGATCATTGTACGGAGATGAGCGCTAAGTCATCGTACCGAAAGAATAGATCCTGCATCTCCTTTTGGGAGCTATGCGTTCTAGTCCACAAACCCATTTACCTCCATCACCCATAATCCCTACACGCTCGACGCGATGGGGACATCTAAACGACGGGAGAAAGAAGTCCCCTGAAAACACCCATGAGCCCTAGCTCCACCGCCGCATGTTCCAATGGGCAAAATTACTTACAAAGCGTGTAATATTCGCTATGCAAGGGAAACCTGAGGGAAGATCCATTGAGCATCGCGATCAGGGTCGCATGAGATAATTGTAAACTCACGACTCGACTCTCTCTGGTGTCGGTCCCCATTTTTTGATAAGTTCCTGTCGTCGCGGTAGCATTTCGTTATAATACATCTCCTCCAACGCAAGGGTCTCTGCAAGCGCGCCCCGGGGCTTGTACAAGGCCACTGAGCGAAGAGAAGAATCGCTCGCATACATAACCAACGAAATGAAAACTAACACGAGGAGGGCGACCGTGAACCGGGGATGGCGTACGTAGAGGGCCATGGTGTTGAAACCAAACTGAAAGAGTGACGTGCAAGAGGTATATTACCGAACAGCGTGGCACAACTAGTTATTATATACTTCCGGTTTGCTTCCGGGTGGTGTCGTTGCCAAGCGTTACTTAACCTAATGAACTCGCGTATTGGCTGCCTAATACAAAGACCCACACTGTCATTATCGTGTAAGCCTTGCGGCTGATCATACTGATCTATCCCTTAGAGGCTGGCTAGTTAGAAACCTGGTTGACTTACAATATACGACTGGACTACCCCCAAACACACCATTGAACTATTTGTGGACTCTGAGTTGCAGTGGCAAGTGTAATGTGCTTTTATAATTACTTCAATGCTTGTCACCTTTTTTTTCCTTCCACGTCACAAAGTGAGAAAGCGGTTAACCAGAACTTGACCAGAACCGATGCATTTCCAGGCGCTATTGAATCCATACTTCAAGCTGACCGTCGGACCGTCGTCTGTTCAGTACTGACCTTCTAAAGATAAGACTTTATCTCATTTTAAGTCTGTAAGAAGTGGATAGTTAGTGAAAGCAGCGGAGGTAATCATCGTGAAGCTCACTTCGATACATGCATATGCCAGTGTCATGTAAGGTTTTTCTCGCGGCATGACAGGAATGATGGGTCCTGAGTATTGAGCCTGGCTCGTGACTCCTGACGTGAACACTGGACAGGGCCTGTGCAAACCCATTGTATCCCTGACTAGGCTTACACGGGCTACATCGCACTGAATGAAACCGGACCATACATAGCGCATGTCGGTCCAGTAAGAATATGTAAGATCAACTTGAAGGTACAGTGTTGGTCGACATCCTCGTAAACACACCATTTTGAGTCTGAGTTAACCATTGTAGGACTAGACCTGGGCCCCAAGCAATGAAGAAACATAAAAGTAGCTGAAGGGGAAAAACAGTGGAAGAGGTGCCGAGGTTCCTGCCCAATCACCGGGCGTGAGAAGGGTGCGGTAGTTACCGAGTGGACTGTAGGCACACTACCTCCAAACGCTATCGAGGGAGCATAGCGAGCTCAAAGGAATCGAAACCCCCAGCCAAACGTCGTAGCAAGTCGACGTACAGCACAAAACTACGCTCACGGTATGTCTGAACATCATATCGTCCCAATTTGCGCAGTTTTCATTGGAGGATCGGATGGATTGACGGTGCAGAAGACGGATGGATATGTTATGCTGGTGGAATAGATGGGCTACAGGAAATCATCCCGCAGGCGACGAGCGTTACACTGATATCTACTGTTATGTCTAGGCCCATCATGTCGTCAAAACTTCCCTCCGTCCTAAGCGCAACTGACGAGGAGATTCAGCTTCTCCTGGCAGCGCAATGTCACATCGGCACGAAAAACTGCGATAAGCAGATGGAGCCTTACGTCTGGAAGCGCCGCGTTGACGGTTAGTCCGCTTCTCAAAATTTCGCTCACTTCTCTAATGTGCACAATTCATTTGCATTTCCTTGAATTCTTGTGCGCACAGGCATCCACATCCTCAACATTGGCAAAACTTGGGAAAAGCTTGTCTTTGCTGCACGTGTGATTGCTGCTGTTGAGAACCCCAACGACGTCTGTGTCATCTCTGCTCGCCCCTACGGACACCGTGCAGTCCTCAAATTTGCTGCCAACACTGGCGCACAAGCCATTGCCGGCCGTTTCACCCCTGGTTCCTTCACGAACTACATCACCCGCTCTTTCAAAGAGCCCCGTCTTATTGTCGTCACCGATCCTCGCGTTGACCATCAGGCGATTCGCGAGGCTTCGTATGTTAACATCCCCGTCATTGCTCTTTGCGATACGGATGCACCTCTCAAGTTCGTTGACGTTGCCATCCCCACGAACAATAAGACTCGTCATTCGATTGGTTTGATTTGGTGGTTGCTGGCACGAGAGGTGTTGAGGCTCCGTGGAACAATCCCTCGCACCCCTGGCGGCTGGGATGTCATGGTTGACATGTTCTTCTACCGCGACCCTGAAGAAGTGGAGAGGCAACAACAGGAGGAAGCACAGGCCAAGCTTGCCGCTGCCGAGCCAGAGGTCCAGGGTGGTCAGTCGGAGTGGGACGTTGGTTCCGCTCCTCAGCCAGGCTCGATCAACCCTGCTCTTGTTGCTCAAGACGGTGGTGAGTACAGGTGTCGCGTCAGGATGCTACCTATACTTACTCATTTGTTTCAGGTGCTCTCGACTGGGCAGCAGATGCTGGACCTGGTACTACCGATTGGTCAGCGGAGCCTGCCGCTCCAGGTGGTGGATGGGGAGCGGAAGCCCCTACTAGCGGGTGGGATTAGACATCGTACGCGATATAAGTGGTTATGTCTCGATGTTCATGCTTTGCCTCTTCTCCTTTTACCTTGTCTGCAAATTTTGACATGCAAAATATGACATCATGACCTCCCTCGCATAAGTGCTCGCCCGCCGGTGTATGTCTTTTCTATATTTTAAGCAATTCGCTTCGAGTCCAGCCCCCTTATATAGTGGGCAATTTAGACAGCCTGTGTCATATTGGTGTCGACTACAGTACATCCAAACAGGTCATCCGGTGAGTTTGGTGTTGTGCATCAGGTGTATATATACTATTGATCATGATGGATCCCCGAAAACGCCGTGGCCTAGCTAGTTCGGTGAGTTTGGTGTCATGGGATAAGAATCTCACCCTATCTTACCTCGTGTCTTAGTCTCATGTGACAGTCGGAAGCCGCAAACGAAGTTGGAAGAAGGCACCAGATATTACAGATAACAGCCCCATCAGTAGTTGCCAGTTAACACTGGTCTTTCTGTCGCATAATGTCGCAAGCTGACTTAGCGAAGAAGAAAGTCGACGAGCTTCCAGGCGTTCACGCCCGCACATTCACTACGAAGCTTTGCAAGGCCAAGGTCATCGCATTCAAGATCGCACTTGCTGTATTCGCAATCTCTGCTTCAACGTACTTCGTCAAGCGACCTTTTGGTGATATTCCCGTCAGCAAACTCGAGGATGGTTCAGAATTGTGTCCTCAGGCAGATGCACTTGTGCCCGAGAAGAATGGGGGGGTCTGGGAGAGTCTTGGACACACATACAGCACTGAGGAGTTCAAAGCGAGAGCTGTAGATTGGCTTGGGGGAGCTGTACGAATCCCGTGTGTTGTTTTGCCCAAGATATGTTGGTGTCGTTAAATATGTCCCTCGTGCAGCACCGAAACGTTCGACAACATGGCCCAAGATGTATCAGAACCCGTTTGGGAGAAGTTCCTCCCGTTCCACGGTTATCTGAAAGAATCATTCCCTTTACTGTAAGTACTTTTGCGCATTTCATTGCCCAATTGTCCGGTTCACGATACATTGAATCCAGTCACTCAAACTTGGAACTTACGACAGTCAATACATACGGACTGTTGTACGTGTGGAACGGCTCAGACAGTGCTTTGAAGCCACTCCTCCTTGCTGCTCACCAAGGTGAGATCGTTTGTGCTTCATGGGCATATCTGTATATTGATGATATACTGCTAGACGTGGTTCCTGTGCTAGAAACGACGATCGACGAATGGCAGCATCCCCCATTCTCCGGGTACTTCGATGGTCTGTGCAGTAGTTCGTTCTATGATGATTGGCATGTTTTTGACTGGTACCATTGCAGGGGAGAAAATTTGGGGTCGGGGGTCGTGCGATGATAAGAGTGGTTTAATTGGTAGTGCCCTAACATTTAGTTCTATCCCTGAACTCACCCATTGCGTCTAGGGATCATGTTTGTGCCTATGTGATGTTTAAGAAGACTAAAACTGATTGCGTAGGTCTGCGATTGAATCCTTACTAGAGAGCGGTTTCAAGCCGACTCGCACGGTCGTCATCGCATCTGGTTTTGATGAGGAAGTAGGTGGATTGCGGGTAAGTTGTTAAAACCAAATTCTGCATAGCTGCGTTGATACTGAAGGCTGGTTAAAGGGTGCGTCTTCCCTGGCTACCGAAATGCTGGAGAGATTTGGAGAGAATAGCTTTACCATGCTTGTTGACGAAGGCTGTGAGTTGTTCATTGCTAATTAATATAATGAATAATAATGTGACTCTGGTTGACAGCCGAGTACAAAGAGTTATATGGTCGTGTCACCGCAGTACCTGGAATTGGCGAGAAAGGTTCATTGAATGTACAAATCAAAGTTACATCTCCCGGTGGTCATTCAAGCCTCCCTCCACTTCATACTGTGAGCTTTTTCGTACTCATTTCACCCATCGTTCCTAATTTTTAAGAGCATTGGTATACTTGCAGAGCTCCTTGTTCAGTATGAGAAACATCCCTTCGAGGTCCACCTGGTGAGCCATAAGAGACTGACTGTGACACAGCATCGAGACTTTCCTGCAGGCAAGAGGATCGCCAACTTACAGGAACGCTCAATGCATAGCTCAACATGCACCGGGCGTCAGTTCCTCGCTAAAGGAATACATGTTGCGTGCAGAGCACTGTGACGGAGCACTCCGTGCAGCTGAGCAGGAACTCTTTAAGAATCGCGCTTTCATGAGTACCGCTGGTACCACTCAGGCTATCGATATCGTGGAAGGTGGAGTGAAGGTAAACGCTCTTCCAGAACAGGCGTGGGCCATTGTGAACCATCGGATTTCTACGGAAAGGTCAGTTTTAGTGCATTTGCAGCACCTTCGCTAATACACCCGTTGTTGTAGTTCTCGCGCTGCCACAAAAGTGCGCGACATCAAATTGTTGGAATCTCTGGCAAGCGACTTCAATCTATCTTTCACGGCCTTTGGCACCCATGTTTCCGATCCCGAAGCGCCTTCATATGGCACCTTGACCCTCTCCCATGCGTTTAATGAAGGCTTGGACCCAGCCCCAGTCACTCCCTCGGGTGAAGACGCTGCGCCGTTCCAGCTTTTATCTGGAACTATCAAGGCAACCTACAACTCCCATAGAAATATCTCTGTTTCAGACGCAATCATCGTGAGTCCAGGCATCGCGTCCGGCAACACAGGTAAGCTTCAGAGGACGCATGACACCCTTTTATTAGTAATCATTCCACTACAGACACACGGTTCTACTGGAAGTTGACTGACCATATTTTCCGGTATGGTCACATAGAGAGAGCCCGTGAATCTGGCGCACACACAGTAAACGAAGGTACGCATTTCGGACCGGTTTCTCAGCAATTGAAAGGCTGATTGTTCTCCAGCGATCTCCGTCGATAACTTCGTTGAGATTATTCGATACTTCACCACTTTAATTCTCAACGTAGACGAATCATCCCTTCCTTAGGTTAGCCACAAGTCGCGCGTCAATATATCACTGGAAGTTTGCCATGCGATGTCTACACGTCACCATGATCGTACAGCCCAGCAATGAGCAGTTTGCAGGTGTAAGGATTATCGTGCCTCTATGCCCTGACGACGCTCGAAGCAGCATCTCCTCTTACACTTGGTGAGTCATTAGAGAAATCCCTTCCCTATTGCCTTCATGCCCACTCCATACTTTACAATTTCACACTTCACAATTCACCCGGTTCCACTTGAGCCCCCATTTTCTCCCCGGGTACGAGCCCCTGTTGAGCGGCGCCTTCCGTCTCTTGCGGAAAGCTACGTGGTTGTATATATGTGTGTGCAAGGATCCGAATCGATTGTGTTCATGTACATAGAGACATACCGTGTAGATGGTAGCGGGCTGTGCAACCACTACGTTATAAATGAAGGGGACTTGGCTTCAACATCGTACTTCGTATACGTTTGGGGAATTTGTGGATGTCCGGACCGGTATTGTTTGTGCACTGCTAAATGAACTGCTCGATCTGCGAATGAAACCCACATACTGTCTAAAGAGTTCTGGGGTTATCTGTGCTCGAGAAAAGCTTCCAGACAAAAGCTTTGTATGTTGTAGGCTGAGTACACGATATCTGCATTGAACTGCACTGCCAAGCCACTGTTCGAAGAATGGTAGCAGATGTCTCGCCTTCACGACCAACGTCGAGCCATTGCTCATTGGATACAAGCGCTATCGAGTCCTCTGATGCCTCAAGCATCCATTTCAGAAAATCCGAGCTGGCGAGTTCTTTGGGACTATTAATGTGCCGCACCAAAAGATTAGTCGTATCAGCGTCAGGTCGTTTAGCATGATGCCCACCAAGATGGCTGCTGCAACATCAATTGGCGTCCACGACATGTTCTACCATGAGAATTAGATCATTCGTAAAATATGGAAGCTATTTGAATGACAAACCGGAATCTTAGAGACGAAGAGCGTCAAGTCATTGTCAATCTTAAAACGTGGAAGCTGGTTGATCACTGCAGAATCGGACGAAACTATCTGGCAAAGCAAGGGCTGAGGAATTCATTGTCTGTGACAGGATGAGCAGGCGGAGTCGTGGGCGGGAAGAACTTCTGCCAGATGAGTACTCAGTACTGGTATGAATATAGAAAGCCGGAGCACCGTGCTCTCTTACACACCGTGACACGTCTCATAATTATGGTGGATGATAGGTTGCAGTTCGAAGTGCTACATCATTGGCAAAGCTTCAGCCGAAAGCTGGCCACGCTTCGGAAAAGTGCGGTAAGGCTTGCGTGGTATTCTATGGGCGATTGTAGCCTTTGCGGTTGTCATACAAGTCAGAATTCCAAAAGGTCGAGGCCCTTATACGTACTTACTGATCGTCGTCTCCGTGGACTCTACTCTATTCACGCTCTCGCGATCTACATTCTTCTCCTTCGAACTCGCTTAGTTCTCACTGCGAACATCGTAGCAAACTTACACTAGCAGAGGCAACTACTCACCCTCCAAGCGATGCAGTGTACGTCAGATTCAGCCCGACACATATATCCGACGTATTTCCGTCCGACTTCCTGTTTTCTCTACGGGGGGTAGTGCTGAGACAGAGCTGTAAAAAGGGCTGGAGTGCTCCGGACGCTCAGTGCGTTGTCTTCCTTGGGGAGAATAGCAATGATCACATGATTGGGACCCATCTTGAAGACGCGGCGATACTTCAATTACTTCGGAATCCGGATATATCTGAAGCACTAGAGATGAAGGAGTGATGAGTTTGAGAGTGGCATTCGTCTTTCAGAAGGACGAAGGCGACCGCTACGTAGCGTGATGAACGCCAGTCTGAAGGCAAGGGGGGTGACGTCAAGCAGCGGTCACTCGAATGCACTCAATAGCTAGCTTGTGGGACCACATCCTTTTAAGTAACTTAGGGTTTTGCCCCTGTGAGGACCCGCGTATTAACCATGCCGGTGGTAAGAACGATGGAGGAACTTACGATAACAATCATATCAACTTGAAATAACATTGAGACCACTGACCGCCGTGACAATCTCGATTATCTGCCATGGGAGCACATAGACAAATGAACAGACGACTACGTGCTATGGGATTGAAGATAAGCATCTGAAGTACTGAGCAAGGCCGCCTGAACTGTAGCGCACCGCATGTACCTTTTTTACACTTGAACGCGTGACGGCAGCACGCGTGATGCGTCATTTTAAGCTCCGCCACAAAACGCGTTGACCATTTACGAACGCGTCCCCACGTGACTCATATACTCTTGACTGTTTACCGCCATGTCCTCGAGCTCATATATGTGGTCGGTCTCTCCTCCTCCAAACCTCCCAGCAAAGCTCCGGAGGAAAAGTTCTTCAGCCTCCATCAATGCACCATCGTTATTCGATCTGGACGACGACGATCTGGATTCTCCGTCACCCGTCACCTCTCCCTTACCATCATCCTCTCCACTTTCGACGCCAATATCCTCTTCTCCTCCAACTCATATCGCGACCCGATATTTACAATCGCGTTCAAAATTTAAAAATTCTTCATATGGATCTCATCCGGATTTCGATGATGCGTCAGGTTCACCGACGCCTTTATACCGTCGGGGCAGCACTTACAAGCATGTGTTCCACCGGCGGGTGTCCCCTGTGCCCGACAAGTACGGAAAATATCCGGACAGTGAGGATGATGAGCCTTATCGTAGCCGTGACTCGCTCGATTGGCTTAGCCCGTCACGTGATATACCTGAAGATGATGGGTGCGACATCGAAAGCATGGATATTCATCTACGCCAGACATACTTCGCTACGTCTTCTGAACGTGGCCGCTGGCAGAGCAGTCCGATCATTCCTCGGACGTACACTGCCAAGCCTTTTACGTCCAGTCCGATACGCCCTCACAGAGGACACTCAACCCCTGTGAAAAGCACCACTCGGGATGTGAAATCCCCTTTGCTGGAATTCCGTGATTTTGTCCGCAGACAATCCACCAGCGGAGATCCTTCCAGGTCTCCATTTCTTGCAGCCAGCGACAACAATGATATCGAGGACTATCGTAGTCATTCTCCCCTTCCTCCGTCATCTCCACCTACTTCCCCGATGTCGCTGGCAGCAGACGATTGTGCATTAACCGATGATGATATGCTTCTCGACGAAGATTGCAATTCAGATGGCGTGCGTGTGTTCCTTAATTTCGGTCTCCCAATCTGTTCCCTTACTATTGAACATGTTTTCGCCGGCTATGTGCAGTTCGACTCCAAGCAGCAGAACATCCATTCAGCTAACGTTACACCACGTGACGCTCCTACTTCCAATTCCGAGGGCCCGTTAGCTTCGGACCATGCGTCGAACGCAGCGTCGACCGCGTGCCCATCTTCCTGTACAAACGAGGCAACCCATCAGCCTCTTAAACTTTCGCTCACTGTGCCTGCCCCCATTAACACTATTACCCCAACTACCACCGCTCAGATCGAGTCTTCGCGATCGCGTTCGCACTCGCCTCCAAACACGTTACTAGGACTTAGTGCATACACTAATATTCCATCCGCGATCACTCCTCCGCCTCACTTGACTGAAGAAGAAATGGGGCATGTAGGCAAGCTTGCCAAAGGTCCGACGTCCAGTGGGGTGGTCGGCGTTCATAATAATATGATTGTCGAGTTACAGGGTGGCGAAGGCGACGACGCTACTTTGCAATCCACACAGATTCGCAGTTCGACATCAGCGGGCACGAACTTGGTTGTTGGTGCCACCTCCACCCCACCGTCTCCTGTGAAGACGGTGAAGAAGCCACGTCCGAGTTTTAGTGAGGGGGAGTTCGTGCAGGGGAGTAGTGTGCCACAGCCGCAGCCGCAGATCGCACGGAGGAGCAGCATGTCGCGTCCCAAGTCTCCAGACAAGGACGCCGGTGCGACGAAAGAGTCAGCAAAGCCCCACCCTGAGCCAAAGTTAAAACCAGGCCTGAAGCGGGAAGACTCCGTCTCATCTGTTGCGCCTGCACAGAAGAAGCCTCGACTCTCAGAGGATGTGGACCGTGATACGGACCTACGGCCCACTCGTAAACAACGCCAGCGGAAACGTCCCTTGACTGCGAAGGAGAAAAGTACAGCTGGCAAGTCACGGTCGCGGTCTTGCTCACGTCTCACATCGCGGGCTTCTGAAGAGGATCTACGCACACAACTTACTCGCATCTCTGATGAGACACAATCAGACACTGGCTCCGAGCCTCCCACAACGAAATCAGAATCTATCTCCACCACACCAGCACCCCTTGACCCAGAGCAAGTTGAGCTCACGGGCATGCTTGTGGAGGCTCTCGCCACGTCACGCGCTTCGTCTATGGACCCACCCGCTCTTCATACTGCCATTATCCAAACGCACCCCCACCTCAAAACGAAACACAACAAAAAAGAGTGGCTGATTCTCATTCCAGCCGTGCTTGAAGCGGGGCGCGCACGATGTGGGATGTTCGAAAAAGTTCATAGTAGCGGGACGAACGGGGCAAAGCAGGCGAGGTGGTTCTATGTCTCTGAGAGGGACGAAGATCGTGAGCGTGCGGAGCTACTGGAGGAGCTTATGCCCAAGCAGAAGAGGAACGAGACGAAGAAGTACAAGCAGTATTATTATAAGCCGCTTCACAAGCTTACGAGGTGGGATTCGGAGGATGCGATTTAACGCGCTCGAGAATTGAGGGAGTAATTATCTTTGCGCGACGCTTTCGATTTTCAGCGTTTGACCTGGACCCTCGTTGATCTATTTGGCTCAAACCTTCCGTCGATCGCGTTTTTTTTGTCGCATTTTTTGTAGCCTTAGCACCACTAATTTACGCCGTAGCTTTTTGAAGTTTTTCAATTCAATTGTCTGCCTAGGCCAAGTCCAGACCGAGGAGACTTTCCAGTTGGGCTTGAATTCAACCACCGCTTAAGTACTAGTGGCATCTGTGCACGTGTTCTGCTCTTGTCGCGTCGCAAACTGGGGTTCAATTATTGCAGCCCGAGTGACTGAAAACTACCGAGGGGGTTGCACAATTTCTTGTGCTTGGACTTAATCTTTGCGCAGAAAAAGCTGTTTCCGTAGAATCATTTGGCATTGTCTCTTCTCCTTCTCCTTCCAGCATCGAGAACGACCCAAGCATCATCAAAGCGCGTCCGCTTACGCAAGTTTCCTTGGTTTTCATTCTCTTTCGCAGGACTTTGTTGGTTTTTTGCTTGTAGCCCTTTGTTGCTGTAGGTGGACGACGGCTTAAGCGACTCGTCAAAGCTACTAACTGCACAGGAATTCAAACCTATATAAACTCGCTTTTCCAACCTACTTTCTCATTCACCCCTCACTCAGCACGTAATTCAAGGAACAATCAGCTCCCTAAACACCATGATACAACCTCCCGCAGAGATCCCGACCGAGTTCATGCCTATCGATGATTCTATGATCGAGGAGACGCAACAAGCCACGCAATCCACCCAGCACTCCTCTCAACCGAATTCTGCAGACACCAACAGCCATTTGTGGGGTTTCCTTCAACCTTGCAGCAATGTGCTTCGTCGCATCGATTTTTGGAAAGTTCAGCCAGCAAATTCAGTAGGAAGGGCTCCTGACAACGATATCATTCTCCCTGGAGGGAGAGTTAGTGAGTGTACTTCGTGGCGCTCCTAGCGCGCTCGAGGTTATATATTGACGCGTCGCGGTGTAGGTAACAAGCACTGCCGAATCACCTGGGACGGAAAGGAAGATAAGAATTCTGCAGTGACTGTTCTCGACATCTCGAGCAATGGTACTTGGGTACGCGTAAATGAAGTAGTCTAATGATCACCATTGATGGTGAAACTTGCAGATCAACGGTGCCAAGATTGGAAAGGACAAAACTGCGGTCCTCAAAGAAGGCAATGAGATTGCTTTCGGCTCTCCCCATCCCCAGCCCGGGGACATTGAAGATTACCGTTAGTTATCTACATTCGCATTGACGTTCACTCAATCGACGGGTCTTCAGGATTCATTTACCGACATACTGCTGCCGGTCCCCCGCAGGGTGGCCTTCACGCTCAATATGACATCAGCCATGAGATCGGTAAAGGTTCGTTTGCGACAGTCATGAAGGCTGTATCGCGCTCCACAGGCCAGTGGTATGCTATCAAGATCATCCAAGACCATAAGGTCAAGCGTGCCACAGCAAATAACAATGAAACGGCGTTTGCGCGAGAGATCAGCATCTTAGAGCGGCTGCACCATCGAAATATCTGCCAAATGAAGGAAGCCTTTTTCGAAGACAATAGTATCAGTGCGTATATCTGGTAAAACCTTGCGAACCCGAGCTAATTCATTACGTAGACCTTGTTCTTGAATTTGTCGATGGGGGAGATTTGCTTGATTACATTTTGAGAGTTGGCGGCCTTCGTATGCTTTTCGGTTTGTCCATGCTTGGTGATTCTGAGTGTTATTTTCAGAGGAGCCGCTGGCTATCCACATAATCGCGCAAGTTTGCGATGCGCTTGCAGTAAGTCGGTCCCATGTGAAACCATGAACCCTCTGACATATCGCCTGTTCAAAGTACATTCATAGCAAAGGAATCGCGCACCGTGACCTAAAGCCAGAGGTGACTCCTTTTCTTTCAAGCTGTTGATTCCATTATGGATGTTTATTATGAATGTTGGTTATTTAGAACGTACTGCTAACCACAGAAAATCCCCCCACCGTCAAAGTTGCTGACTTTGGTTTGGCCAAGGTTGTCGATAGCGTCACATTCCTTAGAGTCAGTAATCACCGTTTTTGGCTCCTTAATATGTCACTGATACTTATTGTACTGCAGACTATGTGCGGTACTCCCGCCTATCTCGCCCCCGAGGTTGTGACCCAACAGAACCATGAAGGCTATGATCACCTTGTTGACAGTTGGAGTGTTGGAGTGATCGTATTTTGCATGTTAGCCTGAGACCAGCATTTGCGATGCCCGGTTTTTGCTGAACTGGAGGTGTTTTTTACAGGTTCACAATCTCAAGCCCCTTCATCGAGGACGAGAACCAGCGCGATCTCAAGGTCAGAATCGCAGAACGCACGATCCAATGGAGCATTTTAGATAATATAGGGATATCTCAGCTGGGTATGTTTTTCTTCTCTAACCAAGGTATTGCACACGCTGATTTATGGGTGACGGTCGAATAGCGAGGTCCTTTATAGAGAGGTTGCTTGAGCATGACCCTCGGGACCGTATGTCTCTCAGTACAGCCTGCACTCACGCATGGCTTGCCAACGCTCCAACACTCTCCCACCATCAGCCTCGCAGCATTGCCGACTCCTCCGTCGCATCACTCCAGGACGCTAATTCTTGTGTCTCCTTACTCCGCCAAGAATCCGACGATGCGATGATGGCCGATGACTCAGGCGAACCCGCAGTAACCGAGGGCCTCGACAAACTCCAACTACGCCAACAATCAGCCCGTGCGCCCCTCCAGCGACGTGCGCAAGTGCTCGCGCAAGCTGCTGAGAACGAACAGGCACTATCTGAGCCGAACTGGCAGATGCTGCAGCACGCACAGGAGATCGAGATTAGCGCGCGTAACGGGAAGCGCAAGTTGGAGCCACACAGTCCCCCGCCGGATGCGGGCGTTGAGAATGGGAATCCGAAAAAGCCAAAGAGGGTGTCGGAGGCCTCTGGCCCCCCAAACACACGAACGAGGGCTGCGAAGGGGCGTGGCCGGGGAGGTGCTGCGTCGCCGCTGGCACGGTTGCAGGACGCGGCAGTGGGGATGGTCGTAGAGGAGGAACACCTGGAGGACGATGATGATGAGGATGAGGATGCCGCCAGCGCTGCGTCCCATGCGCCAGTGAGAAAATCTGCTCGTGTGTCCCCCAAAAAGGGGGCACGTCGGGGGTAAGGTGAATGTGTGTAATATCTTATGTTTGGCCTATTGGTTTGTTCTCGCCTCATTTGTATTGCTTATCCCTTATCCCCTCGCCATCCCTGCTATGTAATCTCAACAACTCACATTCGTTAATTTACTGCTATATTCTATCGATATCCTTTCATTTGCTATGAGTACGCTATTGAAAACTTGTCTACTTTTTGTTCCGTACTCTTACCTTGGGTGTTTCAACGTCGACATACGGCAAGTGTACCGCTATGAAGTATATTCAATGTAAAGCGCGCCGTGATAGAGGATATGTATCACTGGGGTCAGGACGTTTCATAAATGCGTGACGTGGTCATATGAATGTGACTTCAACTGACTTGTGCTTCCGTATATCCGTGTACATGTAGGAGCATGATTAATGATCTACACTAGCCTCCGCAATGTTATACACCATCTGTTGATCACATTTTCTGTGTCGTATGGCCATAGTTTGAACTCTGTGGTCCTCAAACATGGGACGACAAGAATCTGAGACGTGCAAAAGCGAAAAATGATGGGCAGAGGGCCACTTCCGGGTCAATACAACGGTCTGAACCGAGAGCAAGGTAGGCCAGGCGCATCCGTAAAAAGCATGATGTGCATTACTCAGATATTGACTGCGAGGATGACGATGACGATGACGATGACATGATCAATGTCATTGCTGAGGATGGTGAGGACGAAAAAAGGATCCAAGCGTGACATCAAGAAACGTGCTGAGACCTCGACGGAGATGAGATACTTGATCACGGGTAGGTGTCCCAGGAAGGTTCCTGCTTCCCTGGGTCAAGTCAAAATGATACCGCGATATCTCATATGGACGTATAAGCTTATCGTGTCACTATCCAAAAATACTGACAAGTCAATCAAATAAAAACCTGGCGATCGGGTCAAGAGGTGGGTAAAGGATGAATCCCGAATATAGACCTCGAACATATACTTAGCGATCATGATGCTGATGGGCCATTTGCAGAACAAAGTTTGGGACAGGTATGAAGAAGGCTCCCTTGCGACGGCCCCCATCAGCGACTAGGAAGAATTTGGACCCAGAAGATGCTGAAGGAACTCGAGTCTTATATAGCATCGGGGCAGCCATCACCGTGGGGTATGACAATTTACAGTGAGCCCCAGATGCGAAAGGGAAGCGACTTTAAGTAATCTCTGTTTGCAGGGTCTCTGATTGCTGACATATATAATCAGAGACCTTTCAAACAGAGATTTCTTATAGTACGCTGGTCAATTGAGATGAAAAATGAGTGATAAATATCCGAATAACATACCAAGGGATAGGGTAGGGCCTACATGCCGTGACTTCAGTTGTTCTACTGGGTGCAAATCGATCGAGTCAAGTGATAAAAATACATATCAAGGGTTGGGAACACCCATCCAACTAGTCCCCCTCGAGAAATGTCGAATACTGTTTGCCTCTGAACCCACGTACTACTACAGGTTCTTTATTATCAGAGTTGTCCAGAAATCCTGCCAGTGCTGATAAGTGTGATTAGTACTGCCGGTGGGTTAACCTTGAGGAATATTCTCTGCTGTGCTAGAGCGGTTTTCGCGTATCGCGATGAAGTCGAATCGTTTCTAGCCAGTCATTCCATCAGATGGGCCATCATTGCCCTCGGAGGAATGTATTGCCGCATGGTTGCATGGCTGCGTGGGCTGATGCGTTCAAAGCTGCCCGTGGATAGTAAAAATAGAACGTTAATACGAGCTATTTTTCCGCCTCACCATGAGTTCCCTACGATGAATGTCTTCTGATGAATTTGACCTTGATGGTAGCTGTGATCTAAGCTGCAATGATTATGAAGATGCACAGCCACTCAAGTTCGGTTTCATGTTTTTAATACGACGCCTTGATGATGGTGGCGCTCCAGCTCCAGCTTAGTGTAAGACTCCACTCGCAGCAAATTCAACGAAGCGTTGAGCTTCAGATCAAGTTGAAACAACCTTGCTGCTCAGCTAGAGATAAGTACTACAGAGTACCACGTACGTAAGAATTCGGTGCTGAAGTCTCACGCATGGTCATCGTAGTTCAGCCTAAATTGCCCTTTGCCGCATCATGAGGTTAAGCCATTCTCCACATTATGATCTTCTCCTCGAGCACCGGGTACAAACCTTTGAGTCCAACACAAAACGAAGTCATTGACTCTGAGAGTGATGACGACCCTAAAGCCAACCTGCGTACTTCGCGAACTGTGCTCCATTGGCCTCTTGTCGTTGTAATCTTATGCACGTTCATAAACCTGTTGCTGGTCTCTGCCCCTGCCTTTCTCCAAGGTTCCTCAGTGTCTTCAGACAATCTTATCACTCGAAAGAACATCCACCTTCTCCGTCGACCTTCTCAATATATGCGGTTCGACGAGATCGCACGGCCGTCGCCTCCTATTCCGAGAGAGTTTATAAACTTCCCCATCTCTGTTAGTTTGGTGGATCATTCTACGCCAAATCATGTTTTCGATGACTATCTTGCCACGCGCATGACACGTGCTGGCACAATCACACCTGATGACCGCAAAGTACACGTTACACAAACTGTCGGTTTTCCTCAGTTTTCTTATATTCTATAGACTGATGGTATAGAAGGTTTCAACAATATTTCAATTCAGGGCGATTGATTGGGGCATGGAAATTTGTGAATTGCATGTCACCCTGCCGCCCATGGACCGCCCAACTACACTTGCCTTGTACCGCCTCAACGCCACTGTACCAGTTGATACTTCAATTTTGTCGTATAACGTCCGACCGCCACGGGTCGCAAAACTTAGTAACATTGTGCCAGGGAAAGACGGCCTGGACTGGCACAGGAAACTTTCTTGTGCGATGGATGACGTCCTTGTCTTTGAGTTGGGATGCTCGGAGGACGAATTAAACGGTAGCTGCGATATAGAATGGTGGCAGGCTCAAGACGAGACTGCGTCGGGTTAGTACTTCACTGCCCTCCGTGGCATTAATTGACATCACATCTTTCTAGCTGTCTACGTTATTCAGCGGTCCACTGCATGATTTCCTTCGCATTTTGATCACCTTTCAGATGAAATACTTGGTCTATTTGACAGATGTTGGAATCCGGTTACAATATTATGCGACTTACATCAGTGCAAGCCACAAGGGCTGATGCGTCTAAATTTGTCCAACCAACAGTTCAAAACTGCGCACAGATAGTAAATATACTTTCAGCCCCACCACTTGAGGTCCATTACGCCTTCTAATCATTATGGCACCTGCTGTGATCTCCGTCATCCTCAAAAACCCTGATACCCAGGTTTTTAATTGTTTCGAACTAAGTCCGTCTTACTCTCACCTTCGCATCAAGGCCGGCGGGAACATTCTCATTCATCTCATGGTCGCGCATTCGACGGGTCAATGGTTCGTAATACCGAGATGGGTGCTGCCACTCTATACCAGGGGACGTTTCGAGGGTCCCGTCCTAACACAGGCTAGGACAGGTTAATACATACAACAGGCTGCACAGTATTTTCAAAGATCGGACTTCTCCCTTGGGCTTCCACCCTCGAAACGATCATCCGGGAATGAGCGTGAGCTACACCTCCACGATCTCGCTGATCGGGTTACCTGGCGCTGTGCAAAATGTATTCGTTAAGCGAAGAACAGTACAAATGCTTGCCACGGGTGGATCGTATTTCGATGATGGTAAGTATGTGCATCAAGAGTCTGTAACAATAATCATGCTAACGCCACACGAATTACAAGTCTCTGCATATATATTGCAAATCCAGGTCGAGCGGTTTCGACTGATTTGTGAATCATTTACTTACCACAAGTGGTAGTGTGCTATCATCGTGCGAAGAACCCTGAAAACGGACCATGCGGCACTAACGAGCTAATGACACTCCGAGTATAGACTCAGATCAGGAAACCCTCCTGAGCTAATTCGAGTTAATTGCCTCGGCTGTGTATGCCCATTGTTCATGACAATCAGCTATTGAGAGGCGCCGGCGCTATTTTTGTATGTTAAAAGTCACCATTGCAAGTCTTGACCAAGTCGTCGCATAGTCTCTCACATAATCACTGCGCATCAGGAACCGTCTATGATATCATAACTGGCACGCAGTGAGTCTTTAGTATTCACACATCAGCTCAAGTATCAGCCAGAGAGAAACTCAATCTCTGTACTTTTCGCAGCCACGGTGGACGCAACCCTCAACCTTTCCGTACATTCGTCCGGCCCCTCGCATCATCAACTCAACGCTTTCGTAAGTCAGACACGTCGATCAGACCTGTTTTCTATAACTTTGCATAACTTAGTGTGGGCCGATTTTATGGATGGTTTCAACGCAAGGCCGGTCATTGGACCGGTTCAAGTTTGTGGGCTTTTGACTGCTGCATTATTCGGTTGCTTTGCCTGTCAGTCCTACCTGTATTTTACAAGATTCACGAGCGATCATCTCGCCCTGAAAGCAACTGTAAGTCTGTCATGCGCATAATTCGTTGATGATTTGACTGATTGCTTCATACGTACGGTTAGGTAGCTGCAGTCATGTAAGCTTCATGAATGTTTGACTTGATTCCTTCAAATACCGACACAGACTATGCAGCTTGATTCAGTTGGGCCACTTTGTCTGCGTAATATCAACATTGTGGACAATGACTGTCAGCACTTATGGTGACCCAACTCAACTCAGTGTGCTTCCTCTAGCGGCAGGCGTGGCCGTTCCGTTGGCCGGTTCCACAGTGTTTATTGTGCAGGTACGTGATTTCGATATGCGTATTCATGATGTGGCGCTTACGTGTAATACCAGACATTTTACGTATTTCGACTTTGGAAGTTGACTAGAAATGCTTTCTTGCCCATTCTTTGCGAAACGATCTCCGTGGTTGCACAAATCTCCACATTCGTTGTCACAGCATCGGCGGTTAATATGACGAACCTCGATGCTTTTGGAGCCAATCAAAAACTGGAGATTGAGCTCTCTTTCGTCTCACGTGCCGTCTGTGACTTGATCACCACCGCTAGCACCGCCTGGGTTTTGAGGAAGAGAAGAGACCCTGACATCGAAGCGTATGGCTATCCATCATATTGCTCACTATTCCTTACATCTGTCATAGGACGATGACGATGATCGACCGGTTGATCTATTGGACAATCGGTAAGATAGGAAGCGTCTTCATTGTGTTATGCCCTTTGTAATGTCATCTCTACACAGAAACTGGTCTGCTCACCAGGTATTTGGCTCTTTTACTGCTCACAAGGTGTTTCCATCATGATCCATTAGTTCGATGGCCGTTACATTGGCAATATGGGTAAGAACTTCACCGCCTGTATCTTCCCCAAAATAGAGCGCTCTCTAACTAGCTTCAAGTTTATAATTCAGCAAGGGGAAGACTGTGAGCGTGTTGGTACCCCACATTCTATCACAGCTGAAATACCACAGTCATGTGGATTGGAGTATGGTTTTTGTGGCCTAATGGTAATGATATGAAATACTGCGCGTCAAATATATTGACCCACATCTCGTGCAGTCGTAGGGAACTCCTTCTTAGCCTCGTTAGTTTCCAAATGGCCAGATGATAAACGCGACAACGAACTTATCAATGACCTACAGGTTGAATCGTCGCCTGCTCCTTCGCGACAGGACTACAAGAGGCGGTGCTCAGAATAACAGCTTTGGGATGGTGAGCACCAGGCATTTCAACAACCGTGTGTAGATTATAATTCAGTTTCAGACGACGATTATTTTCAACACCGAACCACAAACAGAGTCACTGGAACATGGGAATGTTGCAAGAAGTAGAATGCTCGATCAACCCGGAGCAAAGGCAGATCTCCAAACCTGGAGTGTGAGCATGCGTTAAATAGATGACGAAATTCATGGGAACGTACGACGAGATGATTTGCTCTTCACATGTATAGGTTGACACTTTAGCTAGGCATCAATTATATATTAAGTCGGTAGAACACACAACTAAATTATTGTTCTCTACATACCCTAGCCTCCGCAGAAGTTCGTTTTATAGTATCATTAGTGCCCGCACAGGCGCTACAGAAAAGTGGTTCCTGGAACATGGACGGGTCATGTGCCTGCCTGTGCCACCGGACACAAAGGAGACTGCGAAGTAAGTGCGCTAGGCCCAGAAGAACGATGCAAGCCAAGCTTGAACAATGAAAACACCTTCGCTGCAAATGAAATGATGAGACTATGTTAAGCGGACGCGACGCGGGTGCTAGTATAACGCTGAATCGTAGTTAGACATATACTTCCTTGCCGGCCTCATTCTACCGTTTACGTACGTTGAGAGACTCGGACAAGCAAGGAAAGTAGCGGAGAAATCAATACACATGACTTTCACGTGACCGTGTCTGGTCCACTGCGGCACGGCTTTGAAAGCTTGAACTCATTCATCGAGCGCGCTACGTGATACGAGACCTTATTAAATTATTGACAGTACAACATCCCGACATTTCATCATGCTACTCTGTGGACTGACATGGCACTACTTACAGATGCCAGCAGCAAACTGGACCACCAATGAACAGTACATTTGGCTTCAAGATCAGATGGTGATATATATGGTCCATGTGAAAGAAAAGGACTATTCACATTTCTGGCCTCCATGCCATCTAGCCTGGTTCGCACAATTCCCAGAATGTGCAGTTGTCTATCCTGATATCCCCATGGATGTTGAGCTTACTCCCAAGCAGAAAATTATTGTCAAGGATGCAGAGGATGCATGTGAGGCAGTAAGCATTTTGTCCAGCAACTACACACTTGGTTTCATTGACATGCAAATAGTTCTAAGAAGAACTGCAGCCTAAAGAAGAAATTGACAGTCTTTGATGATACTCTGCAGTCAAAAAGATGTGCAAAGTCAGAGGCCAAGATTTATTCAGAGATGTATCATGACAAACATATCAAGCCTTTGGTGATGGCTGAGGAAGATGCTGGAAATGTGGCAACTTCTGGCAAGCACGTGACCCTTGGTCAAAAATTCTCAAGAAAGTTACTCGAAGATGAGACTGAGGACATCAAGGTGGAGGTTTGTGAAAAGTATAAGGAACAACTCACTCACAAGAAGGGTGCCAATCATGGGAAGAACATTCTTGATGATGATAATGACAAAGAGTTAGATGCAGAAGCAATCATGTGGTACATTTGATTTAGTTCTATCAGTGTATGTATTCAATACTAATGCCATTCACAGAGGTATAGATGACTTACCTGTCATTTGTTGACATTTTGTGCAGCTTGTTTTTTATATATATTTAAATTTCCAAATTCTGTCTTTGAGAGTAGTACTCTATGTAAGACAATACATTTTAATCTAGGGACCCAGTGTCCTGTTGTGCCTCTAGATTCATGAATGCCCTGATGTGAGGCTTGCCTCCACTGGTCCACCGTTTCTGCCGCATGTTTTAGACATGCAATCTGACAAAGGAGAGGTGACTTTTAAGGTATGCGCATTTAAGTAATACTGAACAGAGGGTGATAATCTGAACATGTACTTGATCACAAAATGCAACTGGTATAGGAATGGTTAAAGGATGCAAGGGGGGTGAGGGGGAGGGACTGTAAAGTTGACGATGGGTCCTCTTCATTTTGACTGAGACCATGGGGCAGTTATTCCATATAGGCGAGTGAGGGTTATTAGGTGGTTGGGTGTGTGATCATTTGATCAGGTAGTTTAAGAGTTGTGAAAGTTGAATTATTCATGGATGGGAGGTGTAGGTGAGGGCGAGCACGATGAGGCGTGACAGTGTATACTTGGATGCAATAATGATTCTGCAGTAGGAAGAAGTGTAAAGGTGTTTGTCAATTTGAACATGCAGGGGTCATAGAAACTTCACCAAATATAGTCTTCAGTCTGCCTGTCACGTTAATGAAACAGATAAGATATGGGATGGCGTTGTGGTCTGTCAGGATTTGTGCAGCTTGTCAAGCAGAAGACTCACTTCATGGTCTCATTCATGTTTGCTGGTCCTGATCCCAGAAATTACTGGGACATGACAACATTATTGTAAGTTGTGAGGATTTGTCAGGTTGTACTGTAACTCATGCAGAGAAGGTATCATCCTTCAGAAACACCCCAAGGCAACTCCTTCACTGAGCTATACCAGACAGCTGGTAGTGACTTCTTGGCAGCCTTCCAGCAGTATGCAGAACAAATTTTTCTTTCTCACATTGATAGTGGCCACACTCACTGAAAGTGGATGTGACTGGCAATAAGTGGAAGCCCAACTGGGACACAGGGAACAAGGTTGAAAGCAGTGAGATCAGAGACTCTGCTGAGGAAGAATCTCAGCTAACTGTGGATGAGGGTGAGGGGAATCAGTCTATAGAGTCTGGTGAGTCACCCAGTCTTTATATACCTTTAGATGAGCAGCTGATACATCAGTGGTCACTCTTCCCATCCCTGGTGCATCATTAGGCAATGCATCAAGTACACCTGATGCATCAATTGGAACAACCAAGTCATCAAGTTTTGGGGGATCATCTGTGATGCATGCATTGATGGAGATGACTGTACCTTCTGTAAGTGCTTCTTCAGTCTCTGCATTGATTTTTTCATCTGACTCTCAATATTTCAGTATGGGATGCTAAATGATGCCTCATACTATGGCATGCAAGTTCAGGCAATGTATGACACGCAGCCTCAGGCTATGTACAGCACCCATGGCATGTATGTGTTAAGGTTGTGCTCAAAGGGAGGAGAAATCAAAGGGCTTGGCTTCAGTTTGTGTGCTGTGCCCCTTATCTGAGTATGTGCCCTTAATTTCCGAGGGGTAGGAGAAAAGTCCAACAGAAGTCCAGGTAAGTCTGGAGGTCAGATGTAGGTGGAGTTCAGCGGAACTCCGGAGTTTCAAGAGGAACTAGGGTAAGACCACTACAGACAAGTCCAGAGTAGAAACAGAACAAAGGTAGACTACTCTAAGATAGAGATGGAGATATAGTCTAAGGAATAAACCCAAAGACTCAGAGGTGGACAGGAGGTAAGACTCAAGTCTGGAGAGGAAGGAATGAGCAGGAACTAAGATGATATTTGAATTGAGGAGGTATAGAGTTTTACAGGAGTTTATATACTGTAGGTATTAAGTAAGTAATCAGTTAGTATAGTGAAAAGCTATGTATAAGGCATGTGGAAAATCTATTAGTAAGTATACAACAGATCAAAGAAATGGAGTTGGAAATGAATGCAGAGAGACAGATCAGTAAACAAGGCAGAAAAGATTATGACTGGTAGCTGGAGAGCAGTGATCTAAAAGGAGATAGGTGTAAATCTGGAAATGAAACCAGAGCGCCAGATGGAATTTAGGACAGAAGTCCAGGTCTAAAAAGTGAGGTTCCAGAGTTCCAGGTCCGGAAATGTGGGATATGATAGTATGGTGGACAGGCTCATCCAATCTATGGTGCATAAGGACCAACATATGATGCACAGGGCACCAGTCATGCATCACTTGCTAGGAAATTCCTTCCTCACTAGGTCTGATGCATCACTTCACTCTCAAGGAACCATGTTCCCAATGCAGATGAGTAACTACACTGATTTCAGCATCCCTCCTTCCAGTTCATTCAGGCCAGGCACCTTCACCCCCAAGTTTTCAGGGATCCCAGGCTTCCAAATTGGAACAACCAGGCCTGGAATGTGAACAATCCAGCCTGGAATTTCAGTAGTGGAGTAGAAGGTACTCCCTGAGGGGGTGGTGCCTGTCAGAAATCTTGTCCCCCATCTCTGTTGAAGAAAGCAGCCTGCAGGACTCCCTCCCTGCTCTGTCTTCTCCTGAGCCCAATGAGGACTCATGGCCTGTTATACCTTCTCCCAACCCAATCCTGAGTATGAACAATACTTCTCTCCCTTCCACGGCAAGGCTGGCATGATGACTGGCAGGAGGGTTGCCCAGAAGGGTACCAAAAAGGGAGATGGCCAGAAGTGTCCTAACACTAAGTCAATGATTGAGTGGGCTGCAGCCAAACCCTCTGCTGAAACAGCAACAGTCATCCTCCACTATGTGCACCACCAAGAACAAGCAGCTGCCTGGTCAGGCTAAACCCTCCACTAAAATGGAAGCTCAGTCCTCCTCTGCCTGGCACACAACCAAAAAAAGCAGCCACCTGCTGCTAAGCTGTCGGCTGATGAGGTTGGCACTACTACAAGGAAGCCCTCACCTGGTCCTTCACCCAACCCCATTGTCAACATAACTAGTGGTGCCTCCAGTGCTTCATCATCAGATAGCTTGATGAATGACACTTTGAACACTGAAGTACACAGAAAGTGTGTGCCAATCAAGTCTAGATACAACAACCTCACAAATGCTATTGAGACTAACAGTGTCTCATTCTTCACTGGGAAGGAGAATTTATTGAAGGCTGAAGCACCTCACTCATCAAAGTGACCTGCACAAAGTGAGGCTTTCAGTGCTCCCAAGTATGTTTGATTTAGTTTTTGCATACTTTGCCTCATGCTGACACACTTTAGGAAAAAGCAGACCAAGGTGTGATTGGCTAGGCACTCTTGGTTACCTCCTTTCCCCATAAGGCCTCACAATGTCTTCCAACAAGATCCAGGGGGTAACGAGTGACCTGTTACCATTCTGGAATACATCAGTTCCCAAACTCAAGAAGAACAAGGTACGAGCAAGGTGACATTACTTAGTCATGCCTGACCCCCAGAACCTCCTCACATACATGTCACATGAAAAATATAATAAGCCAAACCAAAGCTTGACCAAGGCACAATATAACATTCAATCTTTTGAGCACCTTAAGATGTGCACCTGCAATGCACTCGCTGCAAACATTTGCTGACAGTTTCTGCACAACTCCAGTAGCCCAATATGCTCATACAATGTGATCCCTCTGCCCTCTGCAAGTGAATGCAATATGTCCTGCTCCATCGAAGATGGATGTGTGAGCTCAATGTGTGCATCATCAGTGACACTGGGGAGCCTGAGAGGGGCGGGTAGGCAGGTGGATTTGATGCTGTAGTGATATATTACGTGCAGCTGTGGCAGTAGAATTAATGTCAAAGTCTTTTATTGTTTGAATGTAACTTTATTTACCTGTGAACTGACTGACGAGTATGAACTGTGCCACCTCGCTGACACTGTACCAAAGCTGAGCTCAGTCGGAGTGCCGCAATAATCCTCAAAGTATGGAAAAAGTTCCGCATGTCCATTGGGCATTGCTGCAACTCAGTCATGGTGCACTCGCAGTACCAAATCATGCAGATCCATCAGCTGATGATGGTTATGATACACTAGTTGTGACTCTAAAGGTGAGCAGAAGACATCAGAGCATGCTGTGGGAAATGACATACCCCGTGTAAGAATATGTGTATATCTAGACTCGAGAAGAGCAGTATCTCAAGCTTCACTAAGATTTACTGAGAAATGTGTTAAAATATAGTAAATAATAGGAGACAGAGGGAACACATATAGGAAAAGCCACAGTGGCTAGGAGATTGATGGCAATATGCCATTGAATGGCCCCAATTATTAGTTTCAAAGTGCACTGGAGTGTGTCGCTCCATCATGAGAGCACAAAAGCACTCCCGGGTAACCCTACAACGGAGAACCCAGTCCTTGAGATGGTGAGGGACAATATGATCCCCGGTGACTCTGTTAATTGGGCTAACTATGAGTCAGCTAATGAGGAGAAAAACAATAAAATTGTGATGCACTATGCTATTGAAACAGTTTCACCTGAGCTCGTGGGAAAAAATACTAAGCTCTGTGTTGGCACACTGGACAGGATATGTGGAAAATTTCTGGATAGGTTGGCATGATGAAGCAGAATATAGGAGATGAGTGGTATGTCATGCACATTGCTCTTATATAGTACTACCTGACTGACCTTTCGAAACGAAAAAAACCGCAAGTCCCCCACCAGTGGCCACAGTACAGCCCATCTGATCTTAATTGAAGACCCTGGCAAGACACCGTTAGTGGCTTGCACCAGAGTCAAGCAGCACACAAGTCCACAAACCTGCCCAGATTCCCTGGTAGCTAAATCTGTTGCCTTGATGGGGCCTTGGGTAGTGTCACAGTGAAGCTCATCAAGTGCAACAGATCATAAGCGACACAGCAGTGAGGGACAATATAGGCTTGGAAGCAGGGTAAGTTTTGGCAAGTGAGTGACCATCGTAACAGAGCATAGTTAGGATCAGAGATTGGGTGACAGTTGCACAGTGGTGGCCAATGCTGGCAATTTCACGTTTGATAACACAACAGCAACTTTGCATTTGATAATGCAATGGACCCTCATCCATAACATGACAGTCAAAAAATCAATCTCGTAGTGATGGTTGCTGAGTGCTCATGATGTAAGTGTCAAATGATATTGATTTCTAAACAAGGAAATTATTTAGGAGTAAGTGTCTGAACATCTGAGTTGGCCAGCACAATTCAAGTCCAAATGCCATTGATCATATATTAAGAGGTGTGTAGAACTGGTTCTAATGGTATGTCACACCTTACTGAGCTTCAGCGCTCTGCTGTTCAGAACGCACAAGCTCTCCTTGAAAATGCTGGACTGTCACCTTGTGACTTGGATTCAGTCTCACCATCACCACCATCACCATCACCTCTGAGTCCTGTTCATATTGCTTCCACACCACCTCATCTCTGCACCGTGACTGCACCAGCTACCCTGACATGCCTGCCCGAAGGCTGCTATCAGCCCCCACTATATCCCACCTCCTGCACAACCTTTCACAGATGAAGATCGTGTACAGGAACTTCATTGCGTCACACACAAGACCTCCGCACATGCTGTCATCGAACATCCAGTCAGGTGCCATCATTGAATATCCGCAAACTGGACAACATGTGAATGAATCTATTGCCCACATCTTCCACATTGATCCATCTACACTTACTACTTCTTCCCTCCATCCTCAGTCAGATTTCCAGTACTCCTTGGGTGATGGGCATGGGGGCTGGATAATCAGTAAATGTCTTATGCTTCGTGATGCTGAAGGACATCCTGTTTCATGTGCCAACCTTAAAACATCTTGTATGAGTCTTTTTTTGTCAGTTGATACTTCTCACACATCTATTCAGGTAAAGGCCTTAAGATTTGCTCAGCGCATCAGTGCAACATGTCAACACATCACTTTACTAATATTTTGGAGGCTTCATCCCATTGTGAGACTATGTCTCAGACAGACTCGAACAGTCCTGCCAGTGCTGCTGACAGGGAAATCTTTGAATGAACACTGGCATTATACATGGCCTTGTGTGAACTGTGGCTGCTCTGCCATTGATGGTGTTGATGACCACCTTGCTGAGAGTATGATAGATAACTCGGATGGTATCTCGGCCAACAAATATTTCAATAGCACAACCCTTGATGATGATTCGGATGCTATGGATTGCTTGCCATCGAGTTGTCAAGTCAAGAGGCCCAGGTGTAGTGGAAAACTTATTATGCAGCTTGATGCCTACAATCAGCCATTTGTCTGGTAAGTTTATTCATGGATTTTTTTTGCAATAGTGTTATGACTAGTGTTCACCGAATGGCAAAGACTAACACACAACCACTAGGACTCGGTCAAGTTTGATGATAATGAGCAAGGATAAATTTGAGCATGAATGTCTAAGTCTACTACAAGTATAGAAACGAAGAGGTTAAGTCTAAGGAGTACTTATGCTAACTAACCTACTTATATACATAACATTGAAGAGGAGATATCTGAGTATGAAAGAAATCAGCCAATGAGAAAAGAGTCGTACGATACTGTGGATGACTGAGCATGACATTGTGATATATAAGCGATGAGTCAGATGGTGACTAAATAGAAACCCAAGATCCAACCGGTTCTTCTTCTGGTAGTGAGATTGTTCTAGCCTGTGGAGTAGGGGAGCCAATCAGAGAAACAACAGGTGATATGTGAAGAGGTGAAGTTGTGACAGGAAGTGAAGTCACGTGACCGGTTCAGTAACTAGAAGTAGCCAAAGGAAAACTGAGAAATGAAAAATGATTCATATTGGGGATTCGTGACAAATAGTCTGACTGATATGCAACAGATGCAAATTGCACTCCCACATTCACTGTGCCCACCTATTCATATGAAGGAATGTGACACACAATACCTGCAAGCTCTCCTTGATGATGTCTACATCATTATTTCCAAATGTGAGCAATTGGCCAAGCTGCAAGGATATGGTCCACTCCTGCTGTGCAGCTATGTTACAAGCCCATCCTCCCAAAGGCAAGTTTGTTGTGAGTTTTTGCTTCCCCTTAGTGTTTACATCATCAAATTCCTCTCTATGCACTAGCGCACCTGCACCATCAAGCAGACAGCAAGTTCAAACAAGGCGTCCTGCGGAAGTGGACACATAATTGCACCGCAAAATTCAACATCTATGTCCCCCATGATCTTGTAGCTTGCCCACGCATAGTTGTCCTCTGCAGCAACCCACACTCACACCCACCTTCCACACCTGTCAAAACACCGCCACCACTTGTCAACATATTTCATGAGTGTTAAGACCGTTGTGGGTACAACAAGTGCAGCAGCGATAATCCGATCCACTACACAGTTGGGTCTTTGCTGCCTGCTGCCTCACTTGGAAACAAGCACGTTCGACCCTTAAGGGGATTGCTACTGGGGAAATACTAGTCTCTGTCTAAAGTGACCCTATAGGATGAAGGATCTGCAAAAGCGGATGAAATGGATAGGATGCGAAACGTACGGATTTGTCGGATGGAGCGGATGATACTTGCAGATCAGACGGGATGCAAATCAAAGTCAAAGGAAGTTCATTAAAGGTTGGATGGATAGTGGGTATAAGTCAAAGCGATCTTCTGGTAAGGTGCAGGAAAAGTGGGAGGAAGTTACATGAAGTATTTTTTGAAAATTTCTGTGCTTATAGGGTACAGTATTTTCAAGGAACACTTGGTATAGGTAGCGAGTCTAGACTGTGCCATAAGCTATCCGGAAAATAGTGGAGTGTGAGAGGATATGTCTGTGTTCAGTCAGTAACAAGGAAATGTGTGTGAGTACGTACCAATGAGGTAGAATGGACGTGGACAGGATGGATGTGGCAGATGCACAAGCTATAGGGGGAGATCCGAAGGTATCCGCATGTCATCCGAAAAGCGGATGAGTATCAGATGGAATGGATAGGTGTTGGATGGATGTCGGATGGATGCCTGATGCATCAGAAAAGTGGTGGATACTGAGCCTAGCGTAGGGATACTCCCTACACTGTGCTCAGGGGTAAGGCTGAGTCTGAGGGCTACTGCAGATGGAGCTAACAGTAGGAGTGGAGTGGAGGAGACTGCTTGGACGAAGTCCAAAGCAGAATGGAAACACAGAGGACAGAGGTACGAGAGTACTAGTCACAAGTCCGACGCGCAGGAAAGGTGGTGGAGGTGTGGGAAGTCAGACGAGCAGGGGAGGTGGCCGACCTAGGGAGTCAATCCCCTAGGCCGGCAAACAGGAGTTGTCAAGGGGTTTGCCCAAGAACAAGGACAAGAGAGCAGGGCTTAGAAAAGGTAATATTCAGACTGAGGATCTACAGACAGATGTACATATGTTTATATACTCTAAGGAAGTGGCATAGCATAGTGGAAGGCTATGTGCTGAGTGTACAGGATTACAAGAGAGATGACTGAGACAATCAAGAAGAGGCTCGGAGAATAGTATGTATGTGACGGATCAGAAATCACTCGGGTATAGGGATTACTGGTGATCCAAAAAGTGGAACTATGATACTAAATGGAGATAGGACCAGTTGAGTGGTTCCTAGTCTAAGAGTGGACCGGTGAGGCGGTCGGGTGGACTAATCGTCGGGTGCGGCAACATGAGCGGAACTGAAGGAACCAAGTGGGTCAGAAAAGCGGAGGGAGTAGGAATAGGATCGGGTGGACCAATAGGGCGGAGGAGCGGAACCCCAGATAGTGTTGGATGGAAGGGGTATAGTGTCGGAGGACATAGGGGTAGTGTCAGAGGAGTGGAACAGGGTCGGGCGGAGGTAGCAGGACTAGTCCTGCTGAGATGCACTTCGTGCATTGTCAGAGCACCTGAGTGACATAAGAAGTAAAGTAATAAACCTTGGAAGCGGGGTTGGCCGGCGTGGGTTATTTCCCTCAGATCCAATTGACCACTACACCAGCTTTACCACCAGCTTTACCCCAGCACTTGTACCAGCTTATACTGCAGAGATTATGGACCCTACATAGATATAGATAACACTAATCAGCGCTAGATAATGCTGATCAGTGCTGATAATGATCCCGTCAGTGCCAGCACTTTCCACAATGTTGGGAACGTCGGGAGGGCACTCGGATGTAGTTCAGCAACCCCTCCTGCCATCACATGCGAACCAAACACTTAGCAAACCTTCGTGCTTGCTGTCCGTCACAGCGACAGGCATCCCACTGCCGCATTGAGTCCACGTGTCACATCTCTTCCTTTCCACCATGTCACTGAGCTCCAAAAAGCTCAAGATCCCTTGCGGTGTTCATCACCACAGCCCTGAGCGGCTTGTTCCTTCAACAAGACACCACCCCTGATACCTCTGGACGTCGTGTACGCATGAAATCTGGTTGCACTTTGGAGAAAGAACTTCAAGAGGGTCTTGAAAGGCAAAAAAACATGCTACTCGGTGAGGTTCTTGGTATTCTTATGCAGTCCTAGCTAATTCTTTAACATAAGCTATGCCATCAGATTCGTGTGCCATCCTTAGTAGCTTTGCTGTTGCCTCTGGTGCTCCTCCGGACGACGATATCAATGTATCCTTTAGCACTGAAGATGCCCACCAATGGATTGATGTAGACGAGGCCCCAGATGTTTCTAATGGTGGCAGGGAATACAATGACATCCTCACTGCAGCCTGTGAACTTTCTGCAGGCTCACGGTAATTTTTCTTGTTATGCAAACACTTACACGAACTTATCCATTTGTTGCAGACTTACTGGTAACTTCACACAACGACATTGCACACTGACGAGAACAACTCAAAATGATGTACATTCATTGGGACATGCAGTTGCCCGCTCTAGCATCCGGCTACCTTCAGTGGAAGCACTCCAAGGAGGAAATACGCTCTGTGCCACTCAGCAGTCATTATTTCCATGCTACGGTCATCAAGACTTATGGTATGTTCTGATTTATCATTGTTTCGAACATGGCGCTGATCTTATCTCAGAACATATTGTCAATTTTGTGATTCCTCAGCTTCCAGATGAACCAGCAAACATAGCACTTCTTCAACATGGGTTTCTTGGCTGCTCTCCAGTGGAGCCATCGGTCAGTGGTAGATATTGCTACTCTGGAGCTTTACCATCGCCTGCACCACCCCCACCCCCAGCTCAGCATCCAAACCATAACAAAGACATTATGTGATCTTCACCATGTAAGTAGTGTTGCTGCTCTTGTACTGCTCCATTTAATTTATCAACCAACCATAGGTATCTTATCACAACTGCTATTGAGATCAGTTCTCGATCACATTCGATGCTTATCTCAATATCCTTTGTCAAGTTCGTTCCAGAGTCGACAAGGCCCTTGGCCACAATGGCGTTGAAGTAAATGGGATGTGTCCCTGTTGTATGTACAAGGTATGATGGTTGACTTCTTGTGTGATACGGTCCTTATTTTTTGTCTTCACAGCTCAAAGATGAAGCTTTGAAGTCCAACTGGTTCCTAGTATCCTCATAGCTCAGGATGGCAATAACTCTTTGAAGCAAATTGCTAGTGTTGGGTCGGTTGATGAAAGAGAATTCACCAGTACCTATTTTCTCCAATGGGAACATGTTGACATGTTCAAAGATGAGGTTAAGCACTGGCAACACGCCACTCACAATGTAAGTATTGGTCATCACGATCATTATCATAATTTACTCATATATCTTAAGGACCAAGAGTCATCTGATGCCGGGAAGAATGTCGAGATCCTAAGTTCATGCCTGACATGGAAGAATAGTGCACCTGACCAGCAGAAGAAAGCTCTAGACATTTATGAGGTCACCAGGATGTTTGCTTCAGCTTGCTGCCACGGATTCATTATCAAGGCTTGCGAGATGGTACAAAGTGGTGAACTGTAAGTGGGAACACCATTAAACTTCAATGTTCTGACTTCTGTAGTGCCAAATATCCACTCACGATAGTAGATTACATACTCGACAATTTAGGTGAAGATGTTGGTTTAGGATACGATGTCGGCTGTACTTTCGGAGAAATTGTTCATAACAGTCTGCTGTTGCAGAAGAAAGCCAGGGATCTTTGATTACAGATCTGTGTCAATTCTTTCCATGGATATTGTCATATACCTGATCCGACCACTCTGATATTGATATCCGCTCTGCTTTCCGACCCCCTCCGCTCCATCCATCCTCCGCTCCATCCAATCACAAGTCTGCATTCCGCCCCTACACTTCTGCTCAACCACTCAACTGGTCCCCTTCCATAACCTCTCCATTCAACTGGATCTCTTTCCCCTTTTAGATATATACTTTCCCCTTCAGTACATAGACCCTTACTTCCGGATCACCGGGAATTCCTATTACCGCCCGATCGCTGATCCGACACGTACATATTGATATCCGCTCCGACTTATGTCTTCGCCTGTGTAAAGTACTTACAAACTATATCCTTGGTACATAGCTTTACAACATAGTTATCCTGGTCACTGCCTCATACATAGTAGTATATAACATATCATGTACTTAGATATTTTCCTCAGTCTTAATATTACTTGTCTTCTCGCAGTTACATCTTGTGAGAATTCTCAGTAGGACCTTGCCTCCTCTGGACACAAGTCTCAACTTATTGTCACCTCCAACCCTCCGACCCTCCACTTCGACTTAGAGCCATGCTCTAAGTCTTTCCCTTATACTCCGCCCCTATCAAATATTCTCCCTTGTCCCTCCACATTATCCTCCGCCTTTTCCGCCCCTACCAAACATTCCCCCTGCTCCTATTCACATTCCACATCACTCCCCGCCTTCTCCGCTCCGCTCCTAGTCGGCCCGCCGCTAGTAGCTCTTACTCCCTGACCCTCAAAGTGGACCAAAGCGGTCCACTCATCCTACCGTCGGACAATGTTGGACCTGCTCCAAATTCAGGGCACATACTCGGCTAAGGGCGCAGCACAAGCACTGAAGCCAAGCCCCGACCCCTCTGCTTCCTGAGTCAGCACGGTACCTAACAGATATGCACACAATTGTTTGTGCCAAGTTCAGCATCATCCTCTTTACCTCACTGGGTTTGGGCTCGAAGATCTGGAGACGATAGAATGAGTATTTTCATCAACAAATGTGAGCGCACGCATTATTTGGTACGCAACACGGTACCATTGGAAGCAAGCACTTGACATGCAGTTCTCTCAATGGGATGCAGACAAATATCAGGAACTAAGTACGTGGTGTTCATTTATATTTGGGTGCCTCTACCTTACACATTACTAGGTAAATTTCTGTTGAATAACTACCGTCAAGCACTTGACACCATCAATGAGTACAGCCCCATCGTCACCAAGATGACACAGTCCCTTGGCATCAACAAAGGCACCATTGAGTCATGGATTGCAGAGGAGTACCAATTTCTTCTAAACCTGAAAGAGGAGCCCGAAGAGAAAATACTTGCTTGTTCATATGTACAGGCGCTGAAGGACCATAACATTGCCGAGTAAGTTCACGTCACAATCATATTATTAATCTCACCAAATGCTGTCTGCTAGTCGCAAATGGAACCAGGTGTCGGAAATGTTCAGAAACACGCCAATCACCCACAATATCAACTATTCCCAGGTGGCAAAGCAGACTGCACGAATTGAAACTGCTCGATGAACCGCTTTGCAAGCACTTCTCATTAACGTACGTGCTGTTGGAGAGTTGGAGAAGAAGCTTGGTATTGCAGAAACATGGACCAAAGCACATCCTGACTATATATCGGCTGTGGAGTACATGCACTCATACAAGTTTCGAAGAACCCTAGATAATTTGCAGTGCCTCGTTGTCCAAAGGCTGTTCGAACTTTCAAAGGCGAATATGGCGGGCACAGGTAGTTCCTTACATTTTGATGATGCAATCATACTTATCGGTTATCAGGTTATAAGCTCTGTGGACATATCGGCAAGGCAATCAAAACACGCAGCAAGGCCATCCAGTCCACTGCTCGCAGAATACAACGAGCTTGCCCCATCAATACAACCTCCTGCACCCTATCTTGAGTGGAATAATATTGTGAACTACAGGTTCATATCTGAATTTGAACTACTCAAGCTCGCATACTCGCAGCATCCTGAAATACTTTCAAAGCCCTGGACAGTGCCAGGTCACCGCAAAGTTGCAGTGAAGTATTTTAAAATCCTTCATGCTCAAGAAGAGATTACATGCCTCAATGTTGAGGTATGCCGTCTTCGTACTGCTATATCAGATGGACACGCAAGGCTTCGATCCTCCGTCTCTCGCCTTCAGGATAGTGACCCAGATCTTTTGGCCGAAATTGAAGAAATTCATTGTGACCGCTTGTGCGTTGATGCAGTGCATCAGGTGCGCCTTGACTATATTGAGTCTCTGGCTGGATTTTCAGGTGAACGTGGATGGGGCATGCACGTGGACTTGGACACAGACTTTGATTTGGATCTTACACACATTGTGGAGGCCAAAGAAATAGCACTGCATCCACGATGATGTCAATGGTACTGCGAAGGATGATGATGTTGCAGTGGATGTCGATGATGAGCTGAATGATATGATGGTTCGGTTTGGTGAGTTTCTGGAAAATATTAGATCGTGTTCTGACTAGTGTATTATTCATGGAGTCTTACACAAGATCATGTATAGCTGGAGCTCTTAGTGTATTTGATAGTGTGCATTGTGACCATGATCAATATACTCATAATATTCATTCATGACAATATATCTACCAAAGCTGTATGAATAATTGCGAGAGAGACAGATTGAACAAATTGAACAGATTGAACTCATACTACATAGGCCCATCAAGCCACAAAGCATTGAGCGAAGTGAATAAAATCAGTAAAAAGATGCACACAGAATTCCAGAAATCATTGATTAATGAATCAATGACACCACTGGCAATCACAATTGCAAGAAATGTAATAGCACATGTGTTTAAGTGACATTGCGCACATAATCAATACATGCGCAAACCACACATACACTAAGTTACGTTAAACTATGGCCAGCTCGTAAACGCACCATTATTAAAGTCAGTCGTGCAGCACTGCCATGCTACGTCTGTTCCTAGCATCTCTTAAAATATTACTCACTGGCACATTAACAAGTGCCTTCATCTACCTCTCTAATCATGACTCGGGCACCTTATTTTCCCCCTGCTCTGCGAGAATGGGTTCAAAGCCAATCTCCTCAACCACTTCGTGTGGATATTGATTGTCAACACTTTGTGCATAGAAGAGGTGTGCACAATGATGGACTCTATCCAGCTTCAACATCAGATTGCGGTTTACACCATCAGTTTTGCCTTTGTCAAGAGGACCGAAACTTAGCTTGGAATGAAGGGATCAGCAATGTTCATGATGTGGTGAGCTACTTATAGATTTCACTTGATTTGCTGAACCAATGCCATGCATCTTCACAGGTGACAGGTCTAGGCCGTCTTGCAGATACTTTATTTGTTGGATTTGCAATACGGCCTGAATGGAACCCTTCTCAGCCTTTAATGCCATCCAACATTGATGTCGAAGTCATTTGCACGTGCCAGTTCCGCCAGTTCCCAGAACTTAGTGCCACCATCACAAAACTCAAGGATATTGTGCAGTGCTGAGTCAGGTGTTCCCCATCTCCTGAAGTTCCGGGGCAAGCTGCATCAACTCCAACCTGGACCAGGCTACACATTAGATCCGGAGACCCGGCAGGCTGTCGTTGGCAACATCAGTCTTGCCACTACAGCCAGCCACTCTTGTTCACCTCAGTCGAATATATTGCTGGCAAGTACTATGAACCCACATTGCACAACTTCAACAATCATGGAGACCCCCCATCGCACAACCCCAGCATCTATGAGTCTCATCCCACATCCCACCGGCACTCCCATATCGACAAGTCTCACCCCACGTTGCACAACTCCAGCCTCTGCGAGTCTGATGCCTACCAGCCTGACGCCTCGCTCGCTGACCTCATGTGCCAACACATGTGCACTCTGGTCTGACGCAGCATGCTGCTAATACCACCCTGCCTAATATGCGACATAATCATGATCCATCATCTTCCCCTGCTGACCCTCTCACACGCTTCAATGAAACATGGCACTATGCAGACATCCCTTCTGGGACTGCTGCCATTCGAGATGAACACAGTGGTCGCTTCATTGCACTGAGAGCACCACAGCAACCATTATGAGAGCTGACCTGGATCAGGACACCACAAGGGACACCACCAGGAAATGATCTGCCGCCTCCAGCCAGCTTATTACACTCATATCACTCCGTCCGCCTTCAACTTCTCTCCTACAGTTCATGCTTACCTTCAAGAAATCAAAGCCACACCAGAAGTTATGTTGAGGATCGACGCCAGCCTTAACTACTCTGTCGACGACTGGGAGTATTTCTTTGTAGATGCTGGCCTTTCAACATCACAAGCACGTAATCTTCGTCAGGTAATTGTTCATTCGCTTCCGGAGGAGCAAATAAGCCTCCTTAATATTGCACAGCAATCCGATCATACCCTCTTGTGATTCACGTAAGCCTGCAGTATATTGTTCATTTGCCCTCTTGATCTTATTCTCTTGCCAATCCAGCTGTTTTCTAATGTTGCTCCAGTTTATCATGCTTTGTCTCCTGCCTGCTATCATTAAAATACTCAGAATACTGTGGATGTTTATTGCTTCAATGTCGAAATTTGGTTAGTGTCATACTGTTGCCACACGCTATGGCGGATCCTTGAACAATTTTTGAGTTTGACACCATACCTAATTCAATTAACCACCAGTGTTTCATAACTACCAGAGGCCGTAAAACAACTCAGTAGTTCACGTCAATGAAATCCAGTTGTCGTGTTCTTTCTTTCCTTTCTACAAACCCACTGTTCTCTCTGACAATGAATGCTCTAGCAACAGGTCAGAAAAACAAATCTCAACGAACACGTGAGCAATGCAAGATATCAGCTGCATGCACCACTGAAATGTGGAAGGAGGTTGGTGATGCGCGGAGTGCTTATATGGTCAGCATTGCAGACCTTGCAGAAAAATATCATACGTACGTCGGGGCTGTATATATCTATTATACAGCTCACGTTTTGCATGAACAGCTCACTGGAGTGGATGTCAAAGCAGTTTTTCTTGGGAGGGAAGCTGTTGAAGAGTTCCCACAAAATCTCCATGTTCAATGTGGTTGTGAGACACGAAATTGCCAGGCGAAAGGAAAACGGTAAGCGCTCGCCCTCCACAATTGCAATAATTGACTAACAACATCATGCTAGGTATCACGAATGGTAGGAAGACACTTGCCATTGTCTCCAGAGAACTCAAGGAGTCCAGAGAGTGGAAGAACCTGACACAGGAGGAGGAAGATGAATTAATGGAGGACATACAAGTTGAAAACACGTCCAAGGCTCCAGTTAAGATTTACACCAAGGATGTTGCAACAGAAATCACAAAGACCATGGGTAATCTTGATCCTGAGGTATGTTTGTCTAAAAATGTGTCTAGTCATTGCGCCAACACCATACAGATCATAGGCCTTGAAAAACTGCACTGGCTGCAATGTGTTCTGGGGTCTGACAAGGAACACATCAAACGACAATTTCGGACCACGAAGCTATGCATCCGACCCCATCAAAAATGCCTGTCTTGCTCTTTTTAAGCTGATGCCCGAACAGATGGTTGTCAACATTGATGCCTATATCGCGTCAGGTGTGGAAGGTGTCATTCACACTTCAAGTGCGAGGCAGACAACAGTCCTTAAAAAACACATTCAGAGACATGATCCGCACCGGTATGGGTATGTTTTTTGATTCATCTTCGTAACAGCCTCCCACTGACATCTTTGCAGAGGAAGTCCTCAGCAAGTGGGGCATTTCAGCCACAAAAATGCCTCAGGTGGCATATCACAATCATGAGCGGTTTGTTTGTGCATGGGGCATTGAACTTGTAGGATGGACGGAGGGTGCTATCATTAATCCAGGGGAGATTACCTCAAGTGTGACTCTCAGGCGCTTGCATGGTGCTATCAAAGATAGTTTGTGTTACTGGCATGAACTCACAGATGATGAACTTGCCGTGAGAAAGGAGGCATACGAGCAACGTGTTATTTCAGGGGAGGAGCAACCTAAAGCAACCCACAGTGACAAGGGAAAAAGGAAGCGCAGTAGGCCTGCACCATCCGTCAGCGCAAAGAGCAAGTCTATCGTCCCAGACTCAGACAATGAAAATGAAGATGACACTAACTGTCCCTCCACCAACAATTCCCCCACCACCATATCTACTCTCAGTGATACCACCCCTCCTTTGCCTGCCATGAACAGAGCCAGCCCTCTATCTAACAGCAACCACAATGTCCCCCGATGCTTTCCTGCTTTCACTGAGGCTTGAACACACCCAGACTTAGTTGAAGGCACCACGGCTGTGATGGGACCCGATAATCAAATTCCATCGCTCCTTCCTATCAGGGGCATGGCAGGGACCAACCAGGAGCACCTATACAACATTTTTCAACCCGGAGACCTGAGTCCATGGGACCCAGCGCTAAACTGAGGAGGAGAATTACTGGCAGGGTAGCATGGGAGACTGACATGTTGATGAAAGACATTGGGTTGATTTCATAGCATTATCTTATGTATATCCTGCATTTTCAAACAAGAATTGATCAGGTTTTCATCATAAAATGCCTGTCACTGCAATGGATAGTGAGCATGAAGGTTTGCTAAGTGTTTGGTTTGCACTGGTGGTGTCTTGTTGAAGGAACAAGCCGCTTGGGGCTGTGGTGATGAACACCGCAAGGGATCTTGAGCTTTTTGGAGCTCAGTGACATGGTGGAAAGGAAGAGATGTGACACGTGGACTCAATGCGGCAGTGGGATGCCTGTCGCTGTGACGGACAGTGAGCACGAAGGTTTGCTAAGTGTTTGGTTCACACGTGATGGCAGGAGGGGTTGCTGAACTACATCTGAGTGCCCTCCCAACGTTCCCGACATTGTGGAAAGTGCTGTCACTGACAGGATCATTATCAGTGCTGATCAGCGTTATCTATATCTATGTAGGGTCCGTAATCTCTGCAGTATAAGCTGGTACAAGTGCTGGGGTAAAGCTGGTGGTAAAGCTGGTGTAGTGGTCAATTGGATCTGAGGGAAATAACCCACACCAGCCAACCCCGCTTCCAAGGTTTATTACCTTTACTTCTTATGTCACTCAGGTGGTTGGAGAAGGAGGGATAGAGTGGACGGGAAAACAGGGGGTCGGACCAGGGGTGGGGATGTTCACAGGTGGTATTGGAGGTGCCTGGATCCGGTATATGACAACGAGCTTCTCTTGCTCATGAAATGGAAACTAGCAGATGCAACACCACATCAGATTTATTTGGACATGGCATTCATCCAGGGCCTCCATAACATACTTGGCTGGGACTTTCCAAACAGCCGTGATGCAACACTGCAAGATCTTCATCCATCACTGGCCAATCTCAATCACATGTGGCATCTCATCAATATCCTGAGGTCTATGCAGTATCCCAGTGGAACAGGATTTGAAGGCAGGTATTGCTCCTAGATATCTGCTGCTCATACTGACCTGGAATTACCAGGTGCACATCTCCTTGCTGAGGAGCACGCAAAGCTACCTCTGGAACAACACTATGTGCACTGTGCAGAGACACATGTCATTGAGCAGGGAGCAAGACACAAACTCGTCATCTGCATGACACCACGTATGTCACTGCACCTCATGCAAGCTACACACCTATTCATTGACACATCATTTAAGCATGCACAAGGATGGCAAGAGTTTGAAATCAATGTAGGGAGTTATGTTACTCTGGGCTTGTATTGATGGTTTTTACTTGGTTTCACTTGCCATTACTTTCCTTAGTTTATGTACGCATTTTTACTGCTTATGTAAACAAACAATCTTCTTGAGCCACCACCATGAGCAGTGCTCTTTTGATTCACTTTTCTCTCTGAGCACTACCTAGCTCTAGTCCAGAAATCCTCTAGGGTCAAATGCACCTCCTTGCAGGTATAGCAGCAGGCAGCAAGACCCGACACTTTCTGCACCCAGCAGAATTGTTGTACCCACATCGAGTCATGGAACATCAAGCACCAATGATGTAAATCTCACCACACTGTTTATACTTTTACACATTAATGTCTCATTTTCTAGCTGTTGTCAGCAGTAGAGCATTTACAACATCACAAAGTGCTAAAGCTCACCTCATTCTCTTTGAACAAATTTTTGAAATCACATCCACTGACACTGGCTTGCCTGTGTTGTTCAACCATATCCATGGCTGCAGGTTTGAGACAGTGATTGCTGATAGCCACAAAGGTCAAGGGTTAGGTGCATGTAGCAGCTGTGCAGATAGTTCTCTTAAATAACCAATAATGTTGTAGGTTTGGGAATGTACTGCATGCAACTGTCTTGTTCCATGACAATGCCATGCCCATATGAGTCACAATGTCGTCTCTGCGATCTAGGGCTGTATGATTATCTCCATCGATTCTATCGGCTTTGCATGGCACATTATAAAAGAAATGTCCATGGCCTTCGCACCCATGTTTCAGACAAAGTATATGCAGCAATGCTGAGCTTGGCAACATCTGAGCCCCATCCAGATATTCAGAAGACATTGAATATCATTTGCGATGGTGGTCCAAAAGCTGCAGGTGAATTATCAACAATAAAACACTTTATAAAAATTGACACATCACCAGCATGGTTGAAAGATAAGCTTGAAGGCATGAAATTCGCGTTTCCAGCAATATATCAGCCAGCAAGCCTGATACCTCTCGCTTTTTGGAAAGCATCTCCCGCTACAACTAATGGCAATGAGCAATCTCATTGTAATGCATATTGTGAAGGCATTCACTTGACTCTATTAGCTGGCCTCATGAAAGGCATGAAATACGACCAGGGAGCAACAAACAGTATGGATATTCACACCACATTTGGGGTATCAACTTGAGACCAAGGCACAACTTATATTCACTGCACGAAACAGTGCATTATGCAGCAAGGTATGACTTTATATTATGAATCTAAACACTAGCTAATTTTCGTCAGCTCGAGTACAACAGAAACACCACTCCTCACATATAGTGAATGCAATGCATGGCACACTTCCACAACCTGCTATGGTGTGTGCCGTCACGATGCCAACAGCACAACATGCAGCACCTCCACAGCCTGATATGGCAATGCCAACAGTACAACATGGGCATGTCAAAGAGGCAGTAGTTGAACTGCCGTCGTTCTTGCTCCACAAACCACCATCTCCAGCACAAATCAGCACATTTAGTGTCCTGTCATTTGCATTAGTATCAGGTGCTCGCATCATAGACTACTGACCCACGACAATTCAGTCCACACCGCCATTCATGATCGCAGACAACTCAGAATGCCACATCAGAGTCTTGTCATATAGTTCTCTTGCTGGGGCACTCAATTATCAACACGCAGCTGAAACATCATCATATGACGTACCTGCTGCTGTGCTCTCCACAAGCAACACAGTATCCCAAGCACAGTCACCTAGTACCATACCTCAGCCATCTTTAACTGCAATCAGTGAAGATTACTCACTCATATTGCACCTCGAGTCCGTCATGCTGCCACTTAGCACATATAGAACACTGGCAACCGCACTTGGAGTCTAGGATTTAGTCACACGAAAAGAATACGAGAAAATTGTTATAACCAACCATACAGTAGCAAGCTAGTAATAAATACAATTATCAAAGTTGAAATAAGGATGAGAGAACCGTCAAATGCTGAAGGATGAGCACACTGTCAAGTACTGGATATGTCGTCAAGCGCTGGAGAAGGATGAGAGCATCGTCAAGTGTTGGAGAAGGATGAGCACTTCATCAAGTGCTGCAAGTGCTGGAGAAGGACGAGCACAGCAAAAGTTATGAAGGAGTGCAATAAGGAGGGAAGAGAAGGGATACGGTGGTGATGGTTTCAAAGCCAGGTGTATGTTCAGGTTAGAAACCCAGCTGTTTGGATGGGATTTTCTAAGCGAGGAGGTCCTGGGGGTCAGGCATGACTAAGTAATGTCACCTTGCTCATACCTTGTTCTTCTTGAGTTTGGGAACCAATGTATTCCAGAACGGTAACAGGTCAACTATGACTCAATCCAGGCCATCTGTGGCTGGCCTGAGCCAAGAAAGTCAAAGACATTCAATCTTTCTTAGGTTTTGCCAACTTCTACCACTGCTTCATCTTCGATTACTCTAACATCATAGTCTTGCTCACCCGCCTTACCCACAAGGATGCCCCTTGGGTCTTCTCTGATGCCAGATGTTCCTATTGCCATCAAAACTGATGCCTCTGATTATGCTATCACTGGTATTCTTTCTATACAATGTGCAGACAATGAGCTCCATCCCATTGCCTTCTATTCCCACACTCTCTCCGCTCTGGAGCTCAACTATGACACTCACGACAAGGAACTTTTGGCTATTCATGAAGCTTTCCACATATGGCAGCATTACCTTGAAGGCTCCGCCCTCCCCATAGATGTGGTCACTGACCACAAAAATCTGGAATATTTCACTACCATGAAGCTCCTTTCTCACCGCCAGGCTCGCTGGTCAGAGTTCCTCCACCAGTTTAATCTCATCATCCATTTCCAACCTGGCCGCCTCAGAGTAAAACTTGATGCCCTTACTTACCATTCAGATGTCTACCCAAAAGAGGGGGATAAGGACTATGCTCAGGTCAATCCACATAATTTTAAGCCAGTGTTTACTCAAGAACAGCTCGCTTCGTCCCTACAAGCCACTATCCTAGCCAAACCTATGCTCTACACAGTGGTCATAATGGATACAGAAGTGCTCCACAGGGATATCATCTCTGCCCTTTCCTCCAACCCCATTACTAGCAGCTTACTCCAGGTATCCCTGTAGTGTATTAATTAATACTACAGTACCATACTGTGTGGCCATTTATAAATGCCTGCCACTTTTACAGTAAGGTAGTCTACACACAGTTACTAGTCATTCTACATGTGTATTTGCAGGGCACTGCTGCAGTACATTCTGCATTGTATTGGTTTGTTTATGTGCTGTTATGATTTTTGGCAGGCAAAACATATCACAGCTGGTGTGGCTGCTCTGCTTTGGCTAGCTTTGTTTGTTTTCAAATATTCTGTCCCACCCATTTAGGCAATACAACTAGGCAACTGCATGGGTAAACCCCTGGGTATCTCAGGTCATACCCGCACCCGTACCTGGGGATATACCCACACCTGCATGGGGGTATGGGTATCATAGTGGGTATTGCATATTATAAGGATTCAACATCCTTTACGCACCAACTGCGCTTCAAAAACAAGATGCACGAACCATAGGTTCGGAGTCATCCACGTGAGTCACTGATGTG